TCCCAAGACTTGTGGGCTGATGCCTCACTGGGAGTTAACTTGCATTTCCCTCATGACTAATGACGGTGAGCCCCTTTTCTGTGTATCTGTCGGCCATTCGTACGACTTCTTCAAAAAAATGTCTGTTCAGGCCCTTTGCCCATTAAAGAACAATTTCTTTAGTGTAGTACACTTTTTTTGAGAGGCGACGTCAGTCTCCGGTGCACAACACGGTGACTCAAATCTCTGAACTATGCTGTGCTCACGCAAGTGTAGCACCACCTGCCCCCACGCAACTACCACGCAACGCCCTGACCACACCCCTTGCTGTGCCTTCCACTCCCAAGACTTACTCGCCCCACAGCCTCACCCATTTTGCCCATCCCCCCTTCCCTCCAGCAGCCTCTCCCCCAGACTTCTACCAACACCGGGCCACTGTACATCAGAAATGTCAACCTGTATAGACGGAGAACTTGTATTGAAAATAATAGTGAATTCGGGGCGCCCGGGTGGCTCAGTGGGTTAAGCGGCTGCCTTCGGCTCAGGTCATGACCCTGGAGTCCCGGGATCGAGTCCCGCATCGGGCTCCCTGCTCGGCGGGGAGTCTGCTTCTCCCTCTGACCCTCCCCCCTCTCATGTGCTCTCTCTCATTCTCCCTCTCTCAAATGAATAAATAAATCTTAAAAATAAATAAATAATAAAAAATAAAGAAAATAATGGTGAATTCGGAAGACCTGTATCTGGAGTACTAGAATGTCACATAATATAAACCCAAGTCAAATACTTAAGGATGCTTCATCCAAGTAGCTATATTCATTTCTAAATAACCCATTATATTGCCCAAATTTCATTATGTAACTTAACTAAAATGAAACATACAGCAGAAAATTAAGTACATTTCACGTTATTTTTCATAAGTGATCTAAGCCTATTAGGATAACCCTTGATGGTAGTCTATTAAATTTAGTGGCAATTAGTGCATAAGGGCCTACTGCTACCGATTTATGCTACACATTGTATAACCAAGATGCTTTTGGCTAGAAATCTGAGGCAGTGAGGCGGCGTGCTGGTTTCACGTTGGACTCTGCTCAAATCCCCAGGGCTATACTCAGCGTGGCGCCAGCCGTATCACCCTCGAGTACCTGCTAGATTCTCTACAGGCAGGTGTGCTCAGCACAGTCTCTTCCTATCGGAAAACATCGACTTGTCACTCCACGGGCACTGTGCTGACTAGTCGTAGGCACTAAGTATATGACTAATGAGAAAAACGACGGACTGGTAACAGAGCAGAATCGACCGACTTGATTCAGCAGGTATTCGTGAACAGCCGGCAGTCCAGAGTGGTGAACAGCTCCGACTCGACCACAAAGAGCCCCATTTCAAATCCCGACTCTACTTTCCAAGTGACCACGTCGCTCTGTGCCTGGTTTCCTCACCTGTCAGGTACCTCATCGGGCTGTAACAGTCGGTGAGGTGATCTCCTTTCAAATTCTGCATAATGCCGCGCACCCAGTAAGTCACCAGTAAGTGACCAGGAACCGCGAGCTGCCCCTGCGGCCTTTACTACGTGCCATGCGGCAGCAGCTGCACCGGGCAGGGGAGGGATGACGGGGAACAGACAGACGGACACATTCTGACAGAAGTCTGTCTGTCTTGTCTTTGGCTCCCCACAGAAGCACCCAGGAGGCCTGAGTCCAGAACGCAGACAGAACTGTTGGCAGCTGAACTTTGGAACCGCGCTTCTGCCCCGCGGCCCGCGCCCCGCAGCCTGCCCTCGGCACCCACCTCACACTTGGGGATGGGGAGTCGGGGGAGACAGAGAGAAGGAAAACACTGTAGTTGGAAAATCGAGATACTGAGGGCTTGGACTTTGGTGTCAGAAGGCCTGAACCGAAATCACAGCTCCCAAACCTCCCACCTGTTTGATCCTGGCTCAATTATTTAGCCTCGCTCCACCTCCTGTTCCTCTTTTCTAAAACAGGCATAATTACGGCCTCATCAGGTTATTGTGATGATAAAGTAAGATAATACATGTGAAGTATTTAGGATGATTGCTTGGCACATAATAGGTCTTCAAAAACTGTGTTAAATTAAGAAGAAACCTTAGGCTCATTCATTTAACTCACTACTACTGACTTTCATTTCTCATCTGTAAAAAGAGAATTTAATAATACCTGTCTCTTAGGGTTGGTATAACTAAATAAGATAATTCACATAGAATCACTAAATTTTATGCCTGAAACTAATATTGCACTATATGTTAACTAATTTAAATTAAAAAAAAATGAGATAATCCACTTAAAAATGTTTTATAAACTGATAATAAAACATCAATGTGTATTATAAGCCTTCTTTGAATAGGAAAGCTGTCTTCCCTAAATATTTTGCATTTCTTTACTTAAATAGAAATGAGTATGTGAAAAAAAAACATCATTACAATTTTTAGGTTACAAACGTAAGATTTTTCCCCAAGTGTGACTGGAGATCAGCTGTTCAAACAATAATTATTACTTTTCCCATTAGGAGTTTATGAGCCAGGTCTTATAACTGTGTCAAAAGTGTTTCACTAGGTGACAAACTCCTAGAAAGAAGGAACAAAGACTTCTATACATCTGTGCTCTCCACTGTCAACCAGCAATATTATAAATACTTAATAAATACCTTAACTCAATAGAATATATGAACAATGCAAAACTTACATCACCTATTTTGTCATTCATTAGCTTGTCCACTCATAATCTTAATTTGTGCAACCAAAAAAAGTACCTAACAGAAAACTAACTATGCATCTGGAGTACAGGGGGCACTTACTGAATAATCAAAGGAATGTACAAGTCAGGTTTTGCACTGGGTGTCAGGACATCAAGTTTGACAAGGCATGGATCCTCATCTCAGTGCACTTACAACCTGGGAGAAGAGGCAGACACACTGCATCATTCTGACTCAGTATGACAGGTACTATGATGTAGGAATGTTCAAGATGTATGCCAACAGAAGAGACAGAATGAAGAAGGTAGGTCTTCAAATGTGAAATAGATGTTTGACAGGTAAACACAGCCCCAGGGCATTCCAGGTAGAGGGAGTAGCAACGCGAACTGTAAGTGCAAGAAACAGTGAGGGGTGGACTGGAGATAAAATGGAAGAGGTGGGCAAGGAGCAGGTCATGGGCCGTCTTATCTTTCATGCAAATGTCAAGGGATTTTATCCTGTGAGTGACAGAAGCCATCAGAAGGTTTTAATAGAGTGCAAACTGAATTATAAGTCAACTTTAAGACAGAGAGGACACAGGGAAACAGAGAGGCCTGAGGTCAGGAGCAGAGGCTCTGCAGCAAAGCCCAGGTGAATGATGAGAGTCAAAACTCGGGGAGGGATCGCAAGGATGGAGAGGGGCTGTGGGTGAGGGATATTTCAAAGATGAATAAAAGCAAGAGAAACAGTTTGAATTTGAAACTCCTAGCATCATACTGCATCTCATTACCAATCCTGAATTATTCTATAAAGAAGGCCTCCACGTTCCATATTAGATCTTTTGTTTACTTATCCTTCTATTCCCTGTGGGTGTGCAGCACAGAATCTTGTGCAATGGAGACCAAATATGTATGTGTTGAATGAAAGATTTAACTAAGGATTAAAGGACTAATCAGAATAGAATAATTAATTCTCTGATATCCTTTTACCCAGGGATTTGATGGCATATACACAGAAATATCAACACTGAGTATTAATAGGGAGCACGTAAAAAAAATAAACAGATAACTCAAATAGAGAAGAAGTTTAAGTACTCCCCACAGTAGAAAAGTCCTGAATACCTTCAGTGTCGCCACCGCCCAGCTTCGTTCCTGGTCTATCCAAGACGGGAGCTGATCCCGGATCCTCTGCTGAGAGTCCTTATAAGAGCAATTATTCTCTTTGGTATATTTGGTAAAATTCAAACTTAGAAAAATCAACAAGTGACTGCTAGCTAATTTTACGAACACTGATTTGAAAACTCATTCTATGTATTATTACTTAATTTATTTTACTATTGTAAAATTCTATATAACAAGGTATAGACAACCATTTACACAAATGTTGCATTCGTTTTCATTGTGCATAATCTTTTATGAAACTTCAGAAAAATGTAATAAAATAATAAAAAATTGCCATAAATTTTACATTATTTTTAATAATATCTTGCATTTCAGACAATCTAGATTTTGCATTACAGTTTGGGTATGCTGCTTTGAAGAAAAAATATTATTCATTACATGTGCAAATAGAAAATTAGTAAAGAAAAAGATAAATTTGAATGAAGTTACCAAAAATTTTTTTAAAAATTTTAAACTTCAGTTTTGGGGAATTTTCCTAGTCATAACACAAAATTTTATTTTTCCAGGATTATAAAGTGTATTACTTTCTTAGTATCTAATTAGTATTATTCTCATAAGAATATATGTCTCTAAGGACAAAAAATATTTAGGTCCATTTTATAGTAATAGAGGCAAGGACCTATTCCTCTAGTTAAAGTATAATTTCAACAGTACTTTAAAATTCCTCTGAAGCAAATAGCATCTCATGAAGTCAAAGCCAGAACTATTTTCCCTAAGAGTGAAAGAATTTTATTATTTTTACTTACAGATCTCCGCAACATGTCTCCAACAACCACACCTGTAAACGTATCCCATTCCTGTTGAATAAAAATATGAGTAAAACAAAAAATATAAAAATACTAACCAGTTAACAGAATTTTCTCAATTTCCCTAAAAGATAGCTTACAGTGCAGCTTTCTAAGGACATGGAAAAAAAACTCATGTCACATCTTCCCACTTCTGGTACAACATTAACATCAAGAATGAGTTCATGTACAACATAACACATTCCTATGCAAAGTACGAGAAATCATTTTACTAAAGCAAAAGATGTAACTACAATTTCTCTCCCTATAATGTTTCAACATCGAAAAATTTACATGTCATGTTCAGTCAGCATTTGTCTTAATTTGCCCCATTACATGCCATTTTTCACTAATAAATAAGCAATAAAGTGCACCAAAAATTTAAAAATTGTGTATGCCGGGAAAAAACAGAAAAAAGTACTTCCATTAACTTATCTTTTCCAACAGATTAGAAGACTGCCATTATTCTTTTTTTAAATTAATCCACGGAATCCTGACTGACCCAGGGTTACAGAATCTAGTGCTCCGAGAAAATCTGTCTTTACCCTGAACTCACCCAAGAAAATAATGGGCACTATCATATTCTTTGTTACATATTGTTCAGCAAATAAAGAAAAAACATACAAAATTTGAGAGCAATATAGAAAAAAACAAAATTACTTCCTGCTTCCACCCAGCATGACCACTTACTGAAACTATACAGTCACAAGAGACTAGAAATGATTACTATTACTAGGTGGGAGTCAGAGAAAAATGTTCTCCTTTCCCAATAATTACATATACTCCAACAGGGAACACTAGGGGATATTAAATCTTACACAGTGTGGAACGTACTGATCATGGAGAAAAACATGATACAGGAGGGGGGAAAGGCATCAAAGCTAATGGTGGAAATAAAAGGAGTCAAATTAACAAATTTAGGAGAAACAATACAAGTCAGCCAGCGCGTGGAATTAGAAACAAAGAGAGAAAATAGGCATGTGGAAAGGTCTGCGTTCTTTTAAGTATACAAAGAAGGAGAACCCAGGACACGAAATTTGACCACGTAGAGGTGAAGGTCAAAGCTCACTGTCCATATACTATTCCCTCCCACCCTGCTACTCTACTCACTTGATGATAATGGCATCAAAACCAGAAAATCACTTACAAATAATTTGTTTTTAAATGTTAGAATCACACCAGAGATGGATTAGTTAGCTCTAACTTGAAGGAGGTTCTTTTCAAGTTGGAGAGAGGATGATCGGGCAGACCAGAAATAAAGTTACAGACAAAGAAGATAAATTATACATAAAAAAGACTAACATAAGGCTTCGGGCCCCAGGAAGCCTCTGAGAACTGCCCACCCTCTTGCTTCACATGCTGACTCGGAGCAAGTCAGTGAAGGGAATAAACGAGGCCGCTATACACCCATGTTGCTCCACTTTGTACGTGTGTTAGCTCCACTGCCCGTACGAGCAAGACAAGCAGGGCACAGGGGTCTAGAAAGGTCCAGAAGCACTGTGGTAAGCCACGCTGCCTCACCATACCTCTGAATAAATACTTGGCTCACCCAGAGGGGAGAAGCAGAAATCAGCATCTTACACTAAATTCTGACTTAGTAAAAAATTAACAGGTTGATAGATAATTTCCAGTCTAAAGTTATTTCTAATCCAACCATAAATCTGCCCATTACCAAACTTCTATGTAACTCTAACATTTTCCTCCTTTATTCCCACTTACATTTTCTTGAAAAAGTTCAGGATGCATGCCTCGAACAAAATGCAAAGCGAACATCAACTGATCAGCCTAAAAAGAATAACAAATGTTATCTTGCTATTTCTAAATTTGTGTTTTTGGAAAAGCATAGTCCTGAAATTTCAGTTCACAAAATCTGTGTTCTATCTTTAAATTATCTACTTTTAGCAATATAAGAAATGACTATTCAGGTGGCACCTAAACAGAACACTTCTGAGTGGCAGGCGGGAAGGATAGAGAAAGTACCCAAAGTTTTAGAGAAAATGCTAAAGATTAGTCATCGTATACAACCCATTAAAAAAATGTGTTTATTTAACTAGCTGAAATCCAATTTTGAGGTCTGAATCAGTCATTACCAAGAAGATCAACCTCCTGCATTAGTTTTCTTCAATTTGTCACTGTGTATGCTTACATGATCCAGAACATTCTATATGCCCCTAAATCAAGACATTTCATTTCTAGAAAGTTATGCAAAGGGATGAGGAATGTATTCATAGATAAGAAATGAGGATATTTAATGCAAGATTTTTTATTATGGAGGAAAAACTGAAACAACCTAAATGTTCAAAAGTTTATCATAAATGATATTCAAATGAAAATATAGAGCATAGCCCATACAATGGAAGGAGAGGCAATATGTTTACATAAACATATATGGATATATATCTGCAGAAAAAAATTGGAAAATTGGTATCAATTTTTATCAGTGATTTATTTTTACAACTATGGGTTATTTTTGGTTTCTTCCTTTTTACTTAAGTGTATTTTGTCAATTTTCTAAAATAAGCTTATCTCATTTCTGTTACAAAATACAGTAAATGCTTATTAACAACACCAACAAGCCTATCTACTCAAGCACCATCTTTTCCCACCAGTTTATAATTTAAGCATTTTATATAGCTTCTCCCATACTATAAATAACACTTTATATCTAATACATGCTTATGATTATAAATCTACACATAGACTAACTGTAAGGGCTGTGAAGATTACCAGCAGGTAACCTCCTTGCCTGCAAGAAAATCACCCCTCTGTCAGAAAGATTCAGTGTCTTAAGTAATACAATACAGAAGAATAACTGACTTCATGAAAGTGTATGTTGTGTATGTATACACAGCAAGTACTCAGCAAATGCCTATTAAGTGAGTAAATAAAAACCATGTGTTTACAACCATAACATAGTCAAGGACTTAAAAAAAAATTCTCAAAATAGAAAAATTTTAAGCAGATGGCCATCACTCAGTGTGGAAAGAAAGGTACAACCAACCACCATGTATAGGAAGTAAGTCCCATGTGACTTGAAACTATAAAAATCAAGACATGCCATCTGGGGGCTGTGCAGCATTCTTAGGTGTCACAAAGTACAAATTCAGGTTTGGGGTTGAACGGTGACTGGCTGGGTAAGCCTCTAAGATGTTTATTTTACACATTAATGGATATTTAAAATGCATCCCTCCTCTAAGGTAAAGAAAGAAGGATTAAGGTATACACACAAAGTCACACTCAGTATTACTACATTTACCTTAGCCATTTCTTCCTTTGACCTGAGGGAAAATAACGCAGTCTCCAGGGTTAATGAAGAAAAGGCCAGGCCCTGCCACTACGATTCTCAGATTAGCCGCTGTGGTCAGTGAGCTAACTTCATTATCACTGAGGCAAAGCTCCAAAACGTCGGCAGAAAGTAAGCCACATAATATACAGTCAAAAAGTGGATAATGGTGGCCCCCCTTCTCTCTGTGCTCGGTCCCAGAACACATCATGGCCTTAGGGATCAGCATATAATCACACGGAGCCAACTCTATGATATCCTCCACAGATAATGGCCTACATACCCCATGACCTAAACCAGGCTTCCTGGGATCTCTGTCGATGGCTTTCCCAACCAAAGATGGCCAAAGAAGCTGTTGCTGGCAGCCGTCTTTAGCCATAAGTATTTAAGAATGACAGTATAATAAAGAACAATTATGACTCAGAAATACTCCTAAAAATACAATTTACTGAGAGACAAGAGAACACATAATTTCCAAATAAACTGGAGCCAAGTTAAGGATGAATAAACCAAGCTTACAGATTTTCTGCATACTTACTTCAAACAATAACAACAATAAAAAACCTGTCAATATCCAGTTGAGAAAATATTTTGTACCTCTAATGTCCTTGGATCTACACTGCTCATCAGATCAGAAAATTTAGGTGTTTCAGTTCAATGTCAATTTATCTCATTACACTTGGGTTCTGTTACAAAATTCTTTACTATCAAGGGGATATATAATAAGCAGAATCTCAACTGATCATCGACAAAATGAGCTGAATGAAGGAAAATCCTAAGAGACGCCTGCACAGTATAAATCAGTAGCATCGATTCATATGAGATACGGGAATCCTAAAGTCCACTTCTTGGCTGGGATACAGTTCACATTTCCAGATGTGACGATTTTGTTTCCCCCACACCCTAGAGTCTCCGGCATCAAGCAGAGTGGGTTTAAATTCCAGTTCCAACATCCTCTACATCTGAAAAACCTACAGAAAGGTGCTAGCTCCAGATCTTCATTTCCTCCTTTCTAGAATGGTATTGTTGTAGGAATTAAATAACAATGTATGTAAAATACTTGTACAGTGCCTGGAACATTGTAATGTGACAGATAATAACTACCCACTTTATAGTAACCTGATGTACTACATAATACTGTATTGAAGAGGAAATTTATCTTAAAAAATTCTATAAACCTCATGATTCTCAGAGATTAAGAAGCAGTAGAAAGAATAATAAATCTATTTCTTTTATTGGTACTCTACACTATTCATTGCTTTCAAACACATTCAAGGAAAAGTATAAAACAGATGTTACCACATGAAGCCTTGCTCTAATCTAAAGAATACCGAGATAGCATAGAACTTGAGTACTCACATTTGTCCTTGAAGTTAAGTCCCACATTTTAATGAACAATTCTACACAATCCAACTCTACTTATAGAAAATCTAAAGGGTTAGATGCTAGGTTTCAAAATTTTCTAAGCAGAAGAGATGATCTAAATTATCAGGATTCATTTTAATAGCAACAAGTTATAAAATTTATAAACATCCAATCAGAGAAATTCCACTTCTCTGTTAAAACAAAACACATTTTGACAGAAAAAAATACCAGAATCCAAATTAAATGACTGTCAGATAAACACAATCATGAGACGCTATCATTTTATTTTTAAAATGTATGATTGATTCATCCGTATTTTACTCAACCAGCAAATTCATTCGAAGAGGGAGGTGAGGTGAGCGACCCATCCCCCCACCAGGCAGTCCTCCTGCCCCAGAGCTGAGCTCTCTCGGGGAATCCTCCCACAAGGAAGGGCAAACACAAGAGTAGATGCTCTCCAAACACTCTTTCCAACCCTTTTCTGTACTCTCATCCAATACATATGGAAATTGTTTAAGCTTCCAACAGCAACTTCCACTATTTTGTATCTGTTCCAAATGATACACTGGGATGAAGAATGATACAGAGAAGCACTAATTTGTACACAGTTCCATCATAATCCTAAGTTTTGGGGAACTAAATATGCTACTTATCCTATAACTGTCCAAAATACTTAGTTTACTGAAATAAACACTTTTGATTTCTTGGAAAGAAAGAAAGAACGGCAGACCCAATAACCTCAGTGAAACTGCTCACCAGCTTTCTCCATTGGGTTTATAAAGTTTATTAAAAGTCTAAATTTTCTGCTACAAAACAAGTCAATCATTCTTCGTTGCAGGTCAAGCTGCCTTCCCTTGGGTGTGAGGTGAATACTAATCGCAGCCTCTCTCGCTGTCACCAACACGACAGCAACATCAGCAAGACTGGCAGGCACTTTAATGTGAAGCTGGTTGCTGAAGCTCTAAACACCTCTCACTAAAATATAAATCAGTTCCATCCCAAGTCAGATATAATGCTAAATCTTGAGAAATGTACCTCATTGCTTCACAATTAATGTGCTTTCTGAATTATTATTCAACACTGAAATTCCATGGAATGTTGAATTCACAATGAACAAATTTAATACTACTGATAGAGAAATATGAATATGAGAAACCACATATTCCATCACCGATTAAAATATGTCTTAAGAATTATACATGATAGCTTTTTAAAAGTAAGTGTAATTGTTCACAACAGGAAAGTATTTCTCAAGACGGGCAATAAAAAATTCCACTTGGGCACTACACTGTCAGGATGTTCAACCTTCCAAGCTCTCCCCTCGTGCAATCAAACGCTGGCTGGAGCCTCACTTCAATGTATTTTTACAAGAAGTGACCCTCACTAAACTGCACTGATACATTAAATCGTCTTGATGCTGAACATATAGCTTTCCCTAATTACATTACAAAATGTACGACATAAGGATTTAAATCTCACCAGTAAATATACTGTATTGCTAAAAATAAAGTAAGAATATATAAGTAGAGGCACAGATATATGGGTCAAAAACAAGAAATTCCTAATAAACTACTAACCTTTGGAACGAATATGAAAGTTTATATTATCTTTCCACTTAAGCATTTTTCAGGAATAATACTTATTTATAACACATCTACCTTCATAAGGGTTTTGGTGGCACCTTAAAATAAGTGCAGGTCTGTGATATTTTCACAAATCACAGCCTATTTTAGTGCACAGGCCTTGAAAGGAAAGTAAAAAAGCATTAAATATATTATTAGGAGAGTGATCGAAATGAAACCTTGCAGCTCTAACATATTCACTAGAAAAACAAGAAAGATTAAAGCTACATTCAAAAACTAATTATAAAAATTCAGAACATAGCAATCAAAAAATAAATCCAATAAAGCAATTAAAAATAAAAAATAAAATATAAAAACAATTACAATAAAGTAGACTTGTTCTGTAATGTAAAGCGTATTCTTTAAAATATCAAGGAAATCAACAAACATAGCAAATAAGGGAGGAAGGTAAAAATAAAGTTTTAATAAAAATGCAGAGGAGATAAAAAAATATTTGTAAACCATAACTTGATTAAAAATAGAAAGACTAATAATATATCCAGGGTTGACAAGGATACAAGGAAGGAGATACCTTAATTACTCTGTGGGTAAAATTATTAACTGATAAAAAACTTCTAGAAGGCAATTTGATAATATTCAACAAAATTTGAAAGGTATCTTTTCTTGGACCAGCAATTATACTTCCATGAAGAAATCTAATGAATAGAAATACCTACATATGTACATAAAGATAGATTTACAGAATTTCACTGTGTTCACTCATAATAGCAAAAAATACATATAAATAATATCCACCAACAGAGTAGTAGATAAAACAACATATGACCATATTACGGAATACCACACAATCACTAAAAATAATGAGGTTAAACATAGTTCTACTTTTGGAAAGATCTTCAGGACCTGTCACAACAAAAGAAATGCAAGAGAACAAAATACATAATAAGGAAAAGAAAAAACATTATGTATTTGCACACATGCACATGAAGAGAAAGGAAATAGACAATAAAGAGCCAACTGAGCCTTGGACTGGTTTACTCTAATGGAGTGAAGCAGCGCAACGGGGAGAAATGACGAAAGGTTCTTCTGTATAGTTTTTCTATATATGTATATAGTCCCATAAAGTTTTTCTTTTAAAGATTTTATTTATTTATTTGACAGAGAGATAGAGAGCACAAGCAGGCAAAGCGGCAGGCAGAGGGAGAGGGAGAAGCAGACTCCCCTCTGAGCAGGGAGCCCAATGTGGGGCTCGATCCCAGAACCCTGAGATCACAGCCGCTTAACCGACTGAGCCACCCAGGCGCCGCTATATATAGTTCGATAAAGTTTGAAAGTCTTTCAGAAAATATTTTTTAAGTTGTGTCTGTGTAATAAAAATGTTTAAGTACTATGTGCAATAATACATCATACAAATGTTAGAGATGCCATCCTCATATCTATCTAAGGTCATAATGTTTTAGGGACAAAATGGGTTTTGAGATCATCTGCTTATAATTCCAGACATATATGTAAGTTAAAACTGGGGGCCAAATAGGTGATTTTTAGAGGGAAAGACCTCCAAAATACACAGATATACTGTCTATAGACCTATAAAGGTATCGCTAGAGTTCTCATTAAAGAAACATTCTGCAGAAATACCCAACTATAGGTCTGTGAGCTTCCAGTAATACCCCTTGTCTCAAGTAAAGATCGTCAACATTTTGACTCTACTCATAAGTTACTGTCCCTTTCTAAAGAATGTATTAACTCTATCTTTTCCAAAATTTTCTAAGAACTCTACATAACTGTACCATAATAACTCTATTTCTCTCATGCAGTTAATTGCCTTTACAAAGCTCTTCCTCAACCTATCCCCAAAGATTGGTAATTAAAAAAAAAAAAATCCTAAGACAAAATCCTCTGTTTCTACAATATTCAAAAATTTCTACGGGCGCCTGGGTGGCTCAGTTGGTTAAGCGACTGCCTTCGGCTCAGGTCATGATCCTGGAGTCCCGGGATCGAGTCCCGCATCGGGCTCCCTGCTCGGCGGGGAGTCTGCTTCTCCCTCTGACCCTCCTCCCTCTCATGCTCTCTGTCTCTCATTCTCTCTGTCTCAAAATAAATAAATTAAAAAAAAAAAATTTTTCTAAAATACATTTCATTTTATATTCCTCGGAGGCCCTTGTAATATGAAGACATCTGTGACAAATTTCATAACTCAGGCATTAGTTTACTGCCTAATGCCGGGAATGGAACCAGTTTCATCCCCTACCCAGGGGACACTGGCAATGTCAAGAGATAGTTTTTATTTTAACAAGTGTGTAGAGGAAGTGCTCCCAAACAGACCCCACAACAAATACTCATGTGGTGCAAACTGGGAACAGTGCTGAGGCAGGGACACCGAGTGCAGCTAGAAAATGACCCGTTCTCCTGGGATACTGGGCGTCCAGAGCCACGGCGGCTGACCTACGGCATGTCTGCCCTCCCTTCCTCACGCGTCATTCTCCTTCGTCCCAACCATATCCCGCAAGGCCGTGAGACCTTCCACTTAGCAATGAACATCATTCTGGGAAAGTATCAGAAGTGCCAATTTCAACACCTTTCCAGTAGATAAAGGTTATACAATTTAACTGTAACACTGTATTAAATCAAAGTACAAGTAGTATTTTACACATGAAAAAACAGTATTTCTTACCTTAAATAGACAACGGCATATATATTCATAGACCATATGTTTTAATGAGCTGATAAGAGACTGGATTCTCTGTTCTGTATTTTCAGAATCCTGTAGATTACAATTTGAAAACTGAAAAACCATTAGGAAATTTATAAACATTTAAATGATACCCACAGCGTAATCACACTTATATACTGTTCCTCCAGACTCAAAGCTGATTCCGGAACAACTATCTTTGTCAACTCAAGGGACCAAACGAACAAGGACATTAAATCTGTACACTAATAGGATAAAAATACTTGATGTATTTTTCTTTAATGCACAGAGTTAAGGCTTTCAATGAATGAAAATTACAGTCAACTTCCAATAATACAACATGAACTGAATTTGATGATACCACTTTGATACCTAATGGCATTAAGAATACTCTATGAGTGTGGGTTAAACCCATTTCATTCCTTGTATTACAATGATCAATCCAGCCTGAAAACAGGGTGACCAGAACCACACCCAATATAGAATTTTCTCATCCTCAATATAAGAACCTAAACAACCTTAAACCATGCCTTCCATGTTAACTAAGGATGAACAATAAATTTGATGCTGATGCTGTTTAAGAAATCATAGCACCTTTAGTTTTTCATGTTTTGTATTTCTGTATCATACAGGACTGCCATGATTTGGAAAATATCACTAATGGCTACTTCCTCTGCTTACTGAAGAAGAGCTCGGTGTAGAAACGGGCAGAGGAGATTGTCAAGGCTGGTCTGTTCCCTAAGTGTGATAGGTTTACCTCTCACCTCAGGAAGCACTTGGGAGGATACCGGCCTTGAAAAGTTCAATCCTGGTGTACTATTTAGGCTAAATTTTGTTTCCTTATGATTAAAACTGACAATAAAAACCTCACAAGACAATTGTTAACAGTTCAGAGAAAAGCATCCAGGATAGGCAGGGCAATGTGGGACCAGCACAAAACCTCATGGGGTGGCGCTCAGATGTAGCAGACCTCGGTCTGGCCCTGGAAGTACCTGTCCTACCTGACAGCTCACATGCAAAACACCCTCTCCCTTTCACTACTCCTTCACGAAGACCACATGTGACACGGAACCCTGGATCCACTCAAAGACACTCTATCGTGCACTGCTACAAGATCTAATGGATCTCCAGCACACTGCAGAGCAAGTTTTGTACTCTACATATTTGAAATTATATTGCTTTTAAAAATGAATTCAAGCACACGCACACACACAAACATGCACATGCACACACACATACACATGTGCATACACGTGCACACGCGCGCATGCACACGCAGACACACACACATGCACAAACATGCACGTGTACACACACAAACACGCACATACACACGCACACAAACATGCACATGCAAACACAAACATGCACACACACAAACATGCACATGTACACGCACAAACACGCACATACACATGCACACAAACATGCACACACAAACACAAACATGCACACGCACACGCACAAACACGCACATGCACATGCACACAAACATGCACATGCAAACACAAACTCGCACAAACATACACGCACACACAAACATGCACACGCACAAACATACATGCACGCACACACACAAAGGTCAATGTTATTCAGTAGCTGTACTACCAAAGACCGGCGGCTCCTGAGGAGACGCTGAGATACACGCTTTTGTAAAGAGCACAGAATAACCACTGTTCTCACTGGGTTCAGGCAGAACTGCTAACCTGTTCATCGGTTCTCACACTCCTTCAGAGTCACTGACTTTTCACAGAAGTATTTTTTGACGGAAGGACAAGAAAGAATTTAAAATGAACTTATAATTGTGTACTTTATGAGAAATTTATGAGAAATTTTTCCTGCAAAAATTATCGAGATCTATATATAATCCCTTGTTGGCGGAGCTATAGATGGACGAGGTGCTCTCGCCACCTCAGTTCCATACGCCAACAGCACGTGTCCAAAGGTAATGAGACGACATTTGTCTGAAAGCTTACACACGGGCACTTTGGCCCAGTCATCCAAGTCTGGGGATTTAACTGAGAAGAAAACTAGAGGAGCAACCCACTGAAAAAAGGAGAAACCATCAATAATGTCTGCCGCTGTCTTAATACATAAGCGCGTTCTGTGACATCCTTCTGTCAGGAGGTGAGGCCTCCTCCCCCACCCCCTCGACTGCTTCCGCCAAACAACAGACAGCACGGATGACACCGACCCCAGGTTGACTTATCACAGCTTCCGCCTCACGGACTGGAATACACGTGTGGCCCCCAAGATGTCCTATCAGAAATCCGCTACTCTGGGGCACCTGGGTGGCTCAGTCGTTAAGCGTCTGCCTTCGGCTCAGGTCATGATCCCAGGGTCCTGGGATCGAGCCCCACATCGGGCTCCCTACTCGACGGGAAGCCTGCTTCTCCCTCTCCCACTCCCCCTGCTTGTGTTCCCTCTCTCACTGTGTCTCTCTCTGTCAAATAAATAATATCTTCAAAAAAAAAAGAGAGAAATCCGCTACTCTGTGCGCCAGGAAGCCCAGCACGGGGTCCTCCTCACCCAGCCCTCAGGCCCCAGGCCCCAGCCACCGCCCCCCTCCCCTCATGTCCCGACTGAAGTCCCAACACTGTGAAAGAGAGGTAAGCCATCTCTGCTCGGCCCTGACCCAATTCCCACAGAACCCACGAGCCGAAGAAAAACACTGTCTGATCTGCCAAGTTAGGGTTACAGTGACATTCAGCACAGATAATCAGGAAAACGTCCACACAGCACGTGCTTACAGGGCTCGCACTGTCCAGCGTCTCAATCTTCAAAAATACCATATGCAGGTTTCTACTTATGGCACGAAAGTTGTCTGCAATATATTAATACTTGACGTAAAGCCAGCGTGCTACCTTTGGGTTAAGACCATTTATATCCATTAAGACTCCCTTCCCTCTGTCAGCACACAAACTTGATCGCGCAGAGGGCACTCCTCTACCCCCTTAACTACAACACCCGGCATGCACCACGGCCCCAGATGGCACACAGGGACACGAAATCTTCAATGCTGTTTTCCCCCAAGGAATGAGATTATGTAGATAACCTTTATACCATTTTAATGATAATCTATTACTTATTAATTTGTGCTCAGAATTGAAATCATTTCCATTAAGAAGACTGTTGCACTGGGGTAGTTTCTTAAGAACATAAAATACAATTAAGGAGCTAGTTTCTTTAGATACACCTTAAAATTGTTGGATGGGGTCTTCTGAAATAGAATTCTGAAGTTTTCTCAGGAAATTCTTTCTCTAAGTACCTAGTCAAGGATCTCTGTTACTCAGCATCAGCTGTGGGGTAACGGAGAGCTTACCTGTTTGTTTTGCAGAGCTCGCTGGAAAAGTCGGAGAAATGCAGCCAAACTAAAACGGTACATGTTATTAATTTTGGACAAGTCAGAGATAATGAAGTACATCTTGCTGCCATTCTCGGCCAGAGGAAGGTAGGCGTCCCGCTCCTGTGGATCAGAGGTTGGGTGGGAAAAACATCTTAGTGCTAGTGCTCGCCTGCCACCTACAGGCCGCTCCGCTCCCAGCGAGCCGCCCTTACCAGTCCTACATAACGTGCACCAAATACGACGACCAATCACAGAACTGTGTAACTAAAGGGAATGATACCATCTAGTTTCCTTATTCTTATAAAACTGAGGGCAATGTATTTAAAGAATTCTCTAGCTCCCGGATGACAGAGGTAGAAGTGGTTCATGGGTGACCGTACGGAGGACCAAGAGCACTTGTATGACGGAGAAGGTAAGGAGAAAAGGTAGGCAATTATGATCCGAGAATGAACGATGCCATCTTGTATTTCAAGAGAGAAGCGGTTTAGGTGATGCCAGGGCCTGGCTCCACTACCCCCCTGCAGGAGAGGAGAGTCGCAACCCCGAGTCGGGAGTGTGCGGGGGGCTGGGGCCCACAGGAACGCTGACGGGAGCAGAGACTGGAACAGGTGTCTGCACCCAGGAAGAAAGCCCCCGGCACTGTTCGGCGTGCGCACAGGGACTTCCTCTGTGGCAGAAGGGAAGGGATCCTCGAAGTGAACGGCCTCAGGTTCCCAACAGGACTGTGAGGAGTCACTGTGATCTGAGCACCAGGATGACAAACGTCATGCTGGGAATGTTACAGGGCTGACTCAGTGACACTTGCGCAGAAGGAGAAGGCCAGGAATTTCGGCATCCCCGTGCTGTGAAACAGAAAACGAGAGGCGCAGCAAAACCATGCTAGAGAAACCGAGGGGGCTGGGTTAGAAGCGGGCTATCAATCTGTTCCTATTCTGCTTCAACAGAGCACTTTCCCAAGTAAAACAGTTATGATATGTAAGTGTACGATTTGGACAAGGGCTGAAAAATACTGAAAGGAAAACGTGACAGGGTCACCGAGACGACCTGGCAAAGAATGAAAGGACGTGGTCAGTGAGGGCCCAGGTCAGGCTGGAGCCTGGAAATGCACAGTAGCACTCATCCGTTTGGGCGTCTGTTTGCCTTCAAGCAAAGCTCAATCATTAGAATGTAGGAGAAGAACAGACTGTTTTGAACTTGGGTTAGAATTCTGCAAAAGGGATTATCAAAAGAAAGGCAAAAAGCATTTTAAGGGAAGAAAATTTTTTAACAGAAAAGACACCTTACAACTCTTACTTAATATACTAAACATGCCTTAATTTTAAAAAGCTCCAGGAATGGCACAGATGCTTTTAACAGTCAGTTCCAATACTCTCACTTTCAATTTCAGTATAAAACTGTCGCCCCAGAACTTGAGATCACGTTATTCCAGAAGTCAGCAGAGGCTGGCAGACCTTATTCTCGGCACCCTGAGCCTCTCACCCCCTCTCTACAGCAGGATCGATCAGACCCACGGCTCTGGGGTTTCTGAAGAGCTCTCTTTTTTTGTAATTGTCATTCCCCCAAAGTCCTGACTCTACACTGTCTAATCATATTAACATAAAAATTTAAGAAAACATGATATATAGATCACCAAAAAGAAAAAAAAAGGGGAAATAATTACTTGGTCAAGGGAAATCTGGAGTTTGTAAGATTCTTTCAGTGACTCCTGAATAAGTGCACTGCTTGCTTTTGTCTGATTCAAAGATTCAATCAAATCCTTATTTTCCAAAATATTCCCTTGGGATGTGGCAAGTGTCTGCAGCAAAAATTAATAAAATAATGTGAACATTATCATACATGTTAAAATAACCAATTAAAAGAAGCCCATATTAACTATCATTAATTTGATGTTTATGAAAACTTGTATTATTTTAAAAGAATTTCAACATTTTATAGCTTATGAGAATAAGAGTTAATCATGATATACCGTATCATCAAAGCATTGCATATGTATTAATTTTATCAATCTAATAAAAATAAAAACTACTTAAAGTTACAGATTAAATCATAATTTTATGCTACATTTTAATGCTGCTTGAAATTCTAAGCATATAATAGATAACTAAATATTAGTGAAATAATACAGTATACAGTATTACTTAAAAATCACTTGTCTTAGACATTAATTACCATTCCTTCTTAAGATCTTGTATTCTAAGACATCTACTTTTTCCTCTTTGAATTTTGATTTTAAGATATATATATTGACATGTCTTTGGCACAACCAAAACCATGTGGATGGTACTATTAAATTTTTAAAAATCTGCTAATTATATTCACTAAAAAAATGTAATATAAGAAAGCATCCTGAATAACTAAATTTTACCTCTAAAAGAGATTCCTCAAGCTTGGCTAACTGTATTTTCTTATCTTCTTCCTGTTGTAATAGTTTTGTTTTCTGCTCCTCTAAGTCAGGTTTCTCATGCTGAATAGTTAAAGCCAAAAGCTTTAAAAAAAATTTTTTTAAGTCAAAGTTATTTTAGTGGTAAAGTTCAAACAAGACAAAACATAAACTTCCCACAAACAGGCCTTGTGCTTGACCAAATTTATTACGATTTTATGTACCTCATTTGATTCTTTCTAGTTAAACATGAGACACTTCACAATTATTTCTGACAAAAAAAGAAGCAAAATAAACTGATCAATAAAGTATTAAATACTATAGGACATCTGTAAGAAATTGCATTACGTAACATATCAATATGTAACATTTTTCTAAAATTAAATAAAATATATGAAAACTAGTTTTTTTAGTGTCAAATATTCATATAAAGAAATAAAGAGATATATTACTTAAAATACTATAACATCACAGTCTCAACAAGATACCATTTCATCCCCATTAGGATGGCTACAATTAAAAACACAAATAACATGTGTTGGCAAGATGGGGAGAGAGTGGAATCCTTAGACGTTGTTGGCGGGAAAGTAAAGCACAGTCACTTCGGGAAAGTCTGTTCTTCAAAATGTTAAACAGAGTAACCATAAGATCCCGCAAGTCCACTAAAAAAAACACTGAATTGTACACTTTAAATGGGTGAATTAATTGAATCTTAATAAAGCTATTTTTAAAATGCTATGTCAAATTCTTCATTTTGAAACTTTAAATTAGGGGATGACATTGGCAGGTCATAAAACATGTAAATGCGAATCTGCTGGACAAGCATCCTCACTGAGCACTTCTTACGGATCTGAACAGCCCCTTTCGCGAGGGGATGGACAGGTTCTAGAGAGAATGAGCAATTCTGTCAATTAATTCTGCCATGCTTTGAGTAATCCCTTCACAGTTTTATTCATAAGACGTATCATCAAGTAAGTCAAAAGATACTATCCATAAAAATACATGCTGTGAGCTGTATGTTATTATAAGAAAAAATAAAGGAAATTCTTAAAAATTATAATTAAGTAAAAATTGTAACAAATATACATACTATCATATGAAATCAAAACAGGAAGAGTCTACAATTGTTAGGTGAGTAAAAAATGGAATGACTCAAAGTCAACAGGCATCATAGCCTTAAAAGGAAAATGAGTAAGGAACTACATTAAGTAAAAGCCTAGATATAAAAACTCATTTTGAGAGTCAAATAATGATCTAAATTATAGAAAGTCATACACAGATACAAAAATTCAAAGACACATATGTTCTAGTGGGAAAAAAAAGGTCAGGTGGGGAATCCAACACCCGCCCTCAACCAGCCAAACAGGTCAATTAAATGCAATTCTCACATTTCAACTTCAGTTTTTCACAATTAGAAAACGTAGCTGATCTCAATCTATGAGCCTTCTCTCTCTCAAACTCTACCACACATGACAGAAATCGACCCTAAAATTAACGTAATAGTGGGAGAAGCAGCGATTCGATGTTAACAAGTGCCCAAGTCTAACACAAATGATAACGTAAACCCGAAAGCTTGACTCTAACTCACAAATGTAGTTTCAAGATGGATTCAAAAGTTTAAATACTAATCACTTCCACAAAGTTGATTCCAATTCAGAGTATCTCCTGAGTACCCAAAGCTACAGGAGATTTCTGAGGTCACTTCTTATTGCCCATACATACCTGTCCTCGCAACCCACTTCTTGTTGTAGTGAAGTTAACCTCCGTAATGATGGAGGCTGCATCTGGCGGGATGAAGGGATTCGGGTTTCTTGTTGACAAGAAAAGGCGGAATTCTTCATTGTAGTCAATAATTTTGTCACCTATTTGTACCACATAACGCGGTCCTATTTGTTTAAAATGACACAATTAGTTGGCTTCAATGTTCTGTCTTTTGCTTCATGACATTAAAAAATATAATTTATATTTCCTAGTATTTCTAAATAGTTGGTAGCATAGGCTTTTCAGTAGAGTACAGAATAGCAACAGTTAGCTAGCCAAAAGACTATTAACCAGAATGCCCTATTAATCAGCACATATACAAACAGGGCTAAAAACTAGTCATTAATTTGATCCCGGGATCCTGAAGTATAAAAGAAATATATACGTATATTACATTTCATTCCAAATTTTTCTGAAATGACTGATTATAAATGACACAAAAAATAACTCAATTATATACTATTCTCTACAGAATTCATTAGTTAAAAAGTGTTCATTGGGGGGGCCTTGGTAGCTCAGTCAGTTAAGTGTGTGACTTCAGCTCAGGTCATGATCCTGGGGTCCTGGGATTGAGCCCCACATGGGGCTCCCTGCTCAGTGGGGAGTCTGCTTGAGATTTTCTCTCCTTCTCCCTCCATCCCTCCTGCTGCTCATGCTGTCTCTCTCTCACTCTCTCTAAAATACATAAATCTTTATTCAAAAAGTGTTCATTTTACTAGTTTTTAAGACGTACTACTTAAAGACAGAATGAGCTGGTAAAAACCTAATATTATCAATAATATGAGTAATTGCAAAGATGCCCATTATTAACTTCAAAAGGATTTATTCAGACTGCCATATACAAGTGATCTGAGATGAGAAATTAAACTAAGAAAAAACAAAGTTCTGCCTCATAAAGGAGTATATTCCAAAATTTAAAAAAACAGTGATATACAACACATACAGAGAAATAAATCAGCAATTATACCCACAACTTACAATTTTAAACTGACACAAACAATTTATTTTTAAAGTACAAAATACACACTTTCAAATATTATTTTCAAAGACTAAGAAAAGTATCGTAAGGAATTTTTGAGAACTCCAGGATAGATTTTTAAATTTTACTTAAAAACTTTTTTAAGTTAATATGAAAATAATTCAATAAGCACTTTATGAAAAAGGATATATAAATGTCCAAAAAGGAATATTTTGTAGCAAAACTACAATCACCATTATAAAAACACAAATTTAGAAGCCCAGTGAAATACTTCTACATCAGCTGGAATGTTTCAGGAAAACTTAAGCAGGATAAATGCAAAGAAAACCAATCCTAAGGACATCATAATCAAACCACTGAAAAACCAGTGACAAAGAAAAGTTTTAAAGCATCCAGAGAAAAATCACACATCACTTACTAAAGAGCAACAATAAAACCAGCAGGTGATTTCTCAACAGGAATGACATAAGCTAGAGGATGAAGGAATAAAAACTTTAAAGTGCTAAAGAAAATAAATACCAACCCAGAATTCCATGTCAGGCAGAAAAACAAATATCCTTCAAAAATACAAGAACAAGAAGTTTGTTTCCAGTGGGCCTTCACTAAATGAAATAGAAAAGGAAATGCTTCAGACAGAAGAAAAGTAATGTGGACGGGGATGAAGAGCACAGTCACCATGCTGAGCACTGAGTCGGGTACAAAAGTGCTCAATCACAGGATCACACACTTGACACTAACAGAACCCTGCCTGTGAACTAAACAAGAATTAAAATTTTTAAAAAAAGAAAAATAACCTAGATGTAAATGAGGAGATGATGGAAATGATGGGAGAATGTGAGAACCATAGGAAGGAACAATCTGTGTAAATACAGATTTTAAAAGCAGTCATTATAACATGTCACCATGACAACATATCACAACAATAATGCAAAGGCAGGCAGGGGTCTACGGAGTAAAGTGCACTGGAGAAGTGGCAAAGTATTTATTTGTAGTAAAATAAGAAGTCAAAGATATATACTGTTATATGTACGGTGACCCATCAAAAAAACAGGAAATGTTTTATCAAAAAAAAAAATCAAGTTAATTACAAAACTGGATCAGGTATCACGTGATCTGGTTAGCTGCATTAAATCACGCGACAAACAGGAAGACCGCACAGTGAGTGAAAATGAAAACCGAGTGGTAAACTGAAGAGAGGTGCCCTTGAGAAACAAGGCCAACAGAAAATTGAAAGTAAATGAATAAAAATTATTACCATGCAAACACCAGGCCCCCAAAGTAGTGTAACCATTCTAATATCAGACTCTAAAACTTGATACATTTCTGAAGAAAAAGGAGGACATTTCATAACAATAAAGAAAATAACCCAAACAGGAAAAATCACATTTTCAAATATGTATGCACCCCAAAACAAAGCTTCAAAATATTTAAAGCAAAAACGAAAAGAACTGAAAGAAAAACAAATTCAAAAATCATAGAACCTTTAAGAAATTCTCAACATATGATTGAGAAAAACAAAGCAAAAAAGAGTAAAGACACAGAAAACACTACAATGAACAAACCTGACCTAACTGACTTTAGAAAAAATTAAAACAACAGCAAATTTCACATAATTTTCAAGTGTACATGGAAAAGTGAAATGTAATGAAATGTCCTATTATAAAGAAAGCACAACAGGGTTCAAACAACTGAATACTGCAGAGTAAGTTCTCTGGCCATAATGGAGTTATGCTGAAAATCAGCAACAAAAACGGGAACGAGAAAATTTCCAACTACCTGGAAATTAAGTAACAATAAAGCTATGTAATTCAATGAATTGAAGAAGAAATCAGGACTCTGGTATGAAGCTGGAGGAGGGCTGAGAGGGAAATTTATAGACATAAATGCATATATTTAAAAAAGATTAAATATCAGTATCTTGAATTTCCATCTCAAGAATCTAGAAAAAAGAACACCAAAGGAAACCTAAGGAAAAACAACAGGAATGAAATAATAAAGAGCAGAAACCAGTTCAAAAATACAATAAAGAGGGTGATGGGCATTTAGGAGGGCACTTTTGTGGGTGTCGTATATAAGTGATGAATCACTGAATTCTACTCCTGAAACCAATATTGTACTGTATGTTAACTAACTAGAATCCAAATAAAAACTTGAAACAAAACAAAAATTAAAATTAAAAATTTTTTTTAAAAAGGAAATCAACAAATATTGGGGTTCATGTAGAGCATGAAATCAGCCATAATACCTGGCTTGCTAAAATGTAACACAGAGGCTGCTGGGGGGGGGGGGGGGCGGCGAGGGAAGGTTTCGGAGGAGGGTGTGGGCCTTTGGAATGACAAGGCCCGCATGACCACTCTGCCGTAGGAATGTCGCGGGGAGTTGCCTTCCCCAAAACTCTCTAGGCCAAACAGCCGCCCGGGGATCTAAGAGATGTGTGCGTTGTCCCCTAGGCTATGTTTAGCAGAACTCAAAGAACATGCAGATTAGCACATCGTAGCTTTCCCACAGACAGATCCTCCTAGTTCCAGTTAAGACCCCTTGTCACACATCACATGCTTGAGAAACAGCGTTAAGGATCTGTGATTAACCTGAAGGACCAATAAAAGCGGGAGCAAAGAAGAGCAAAGGGTCTTCGTCTCTGAGCTATGACCCCCTTGCCTTTCCCTCTCTTTCACGGCAAAGTTTGGAGTCATCTTTCATCCTTCGGTACAGAGGTTGCTGGCCGTTCCCGGCAAACAAAGTTAAAAGCTGGTATTTTGAAAAGATTAGTAAAACTGATAAACGCTCCCTGAAGATGGATGGAGGATAAAAAGAAAAATTATCAATGTCAAGAAAAAGGGAGACATCATTACAAAACCAACTGAAATCAAAAAGTTATGAGAACATTACATAAAAAACACACCAATACATTTGGCAATTTGTTTGAAACAAACAAATGCTTTAAAAATACGTAACTTTAGCAAACTTGACATACACACAAACTGCAGAAGACAAACAGAACAAATGCTGCCAGCTGGCAGTTTGCAATGAGAGGTCCTCCTGAGACTGCATGGACGCGGGAGGACGGTACAGAAACACGGGGCTTAGCACAGGACAGGCCTCACGGCAGGTGACTGGAAAATGGTTCAAGGACAGTGTGGTTTTGCTGGGGAATGGATACAGACAACCCTATGCCTGGTATCTTAATAATGTTTATCTAGGAGGGGAGAGAAGTGGAGGGGAACTACATAACTGATTTAAAAAAAAAAATGAAAGCAGAAGTCACTCCAATTAGCTGGAACACTGATGTGATACGGGATGCACTCTTGTTCGGGGCTGTGACTTGAGTCTGGTCACGGCGGGCCTGTGGGGTGCTGGTGCTGAGAAATGACTCACATTCAACAGGGGGACACCGAAGCCGGGCTGTGGGAGCCAGTCCACCCACAGGACTCCGGCGCCTCTTCTCTTTTGCATTTACGCAACAAACGATACAAGCAAAACTATCTATGGTGTTGTAAGTCAGAAACACGGTTAGCCCTATGGGGGAGCGTGGTAAATAAGGGGGTTTCTGGAGTGCACGTCAAGTTCTAGATCTTGACCTGGGTGCCTACACAGGTGTATTCTGTTTGTAAAAATTCATAAACTGCACACACACACACACACACTTCAATAAAATGTTAAAACCGAAAAATACCTGGTTTTCTCTGGTGAATAGGACTAGTCAGGAGGAGAGGAGGGACAGAACACTACTGCCTTCGGTACTATTTGGTTTTGTAAACTGTGCATGTATTATTTTGACCTAAAATTTTAAAAAATCTCCAAGTAAATGGTTCACTGTCTAAATAGGACCCTTGGATTTAATCCGATGTCCTACCGTTAGAAACTATCAGACAAGGAACTATTAAGCCCGACACAGTCCGAATGACATCAGGCCTCGATTTACACCGGAGCTAACCTACAGAGTTCATGGCAAAGTTCGTTTTGACCATTTTTTCTTTGGGACACAAAATCGTCAGTGTACTTTTGAGAACCCCAGAGACAAAACGATTGGATACAAGTGTAAAATTTGGTCTCCTACTCTCTCTCCAGGGAAAGTCCAAATTGACATGTTTATTATCTTGGTTCTGAACCTGGATCAGGTTTGAGAATTGGGTTTGGTTTGGTTTGGTTTGGTTTGGTCAACATTTGTAACAGACATTGTATCTGTTTCCAGGTCCAAACTCTTCGGAACTATATTATCATCTGACCTAGATAAATCCAAGTACCATGTGAACTGCCATCTAGGTCCAAACATTCCATTACATGGATAACATCTTGGTAATGGTCTCTCCTGACAAAACTGCTCACACTCTATTGAATACCATTCCAGGCTGACTAGCTAAAGATGAACAGGATCTAAGTGAGGACAAATACAAAACCCTACCAACCAAATAACCAAACTGACACTGCCCAAGGAGACAGCCCACAGAGCCCATTAAGAATACTGCTGTCTTTACAGTCACTGTATACAAAGAGAATGATGATCACTTTCTTGGCCCATTAGAAGCAGCATATTCCATACCTGGAATTTCTACTACTGCCTATTCATCTGGTCAACAAACGTGTGCCCAGGCTTGAATGGCAACTCTTGCAAGGCTGCAAAGGGCAACCTTGGAAGGAATCTAAGCAATTATAACTCAGTCATTGCCTGTGACCCCTCTACCCTCCAGGTGCACAGAATTACTGATGTCTGCAAATAATCGCAGGTAACAAAATCCTAAGGAATGCTACAGCCATCCACTATCCATAGGTAAAATTTCTGGCAATCCAGAGCATTGAATATCCCGTACAATGAGCTGACCTCGGGTAGTGTTTCTGGCAACAGAGCATGTCACAAAGAGGCTTACTGAACAGATCAGTACAGGGATTGATAGGTCAGAACTAGAGGAGCTCGACCTCAGCACTACGGGCACCTTGTGCTGGAAAATCATCTCTTGTGAGGAGATGCCCTGTGCATTTTAGGATGGCCCTGGCACAGACCTCCCAACTGTGATAACCCCAGGGGGACAAAATCACTCCTGTTAGAGAAACACTGGTCTGGCTGTACTCAGGCCATGGGGCCATCCACATCCAACTTGGCTCCACAGACATACCCATATGGAGAACCACACCCACTGGGAACAGATACAACAATTAATCACAAACTTAATCTCTATGTTGCACATCCATAAGCCCGGATGAAGCAACCACAACTAAAAGGAAGCATCTGGACTAAAAAGCCAACCACAATGTTCAGCCTTCATCTCTACTCTAATCCCTGATCCATATTCAAGCCCAACATGGAAATGAAATAACCATAAAGGACTGGAATGATTAACGACGTTGTTAGTGAAACTTGGAACTATTTGCCAAATACACGAGCCTCTCCCTAGACGACTTCTAAGTAGCTAGCTGATCCCGGGTCTTCAATTACGTACCAATACCACATCGACCTTCTGCATGGCTGAGTGACTACCACACATGAATTGGGAAGTAAAAAAACAATGAGAACTTGAAAAAGAACCGTGCCTTGCCATTCCTTTCGATCAGGACACATGTGAGGGGATTGTTGAACAGCATAAATGTGAGGAGGAAGTCTATTCTAACCTTGTTATTCGTGCCAACTTTGACCTCAGTATGAAGAAAGGCAGTTCATACTGCTCAGATTAGGGACACGGGGATGTAAATGAGACTGGACACAGACTCTGATGTGGTTCTAGGATGACCATCCTCTGTCCCCAAAGGAAATGCATGATGACAAAATGGCAATTCATGAGCAACTCAACACTCTGGAAAAGGACAATCGGAAGTATAGTCAAAGATGGTAAAGAACTTCAACTACTGTGATACAGATATGTCCAGCCCTGGGGGATAGGCAGGAAAAATAAGGTAAGGGCAGAGATTAATTCTCTTTTCCTAATTCTGAAATAAACAAATTAACCCAAACAGCCCTACACAACCATCTGGAATAGTGGTTCATAATGTGAACCAATCAGGATGTGAAATATGTAACTTGGCACCAGATCCAACTTCAAGGGACCTTGTCAACACCCATTCTCAGACAGATGGCCACTAATTACTGCCACAGATACTGCTAAAACCTGACACCAATCACAGCTGATAGGGGCTCATATTTAATGAGCCGTCAAGGGCCAAATATAGACTGAAGGAAGTCAAATCCAGATGGCCCTCAAGCTTCATTTCCACCTCCCCTGTGAGACAGCATAGCCCCCCAAAACAAATAATCCAGTTAAGAAATGGGCAGAAGACATGAACAGACATCTCCCAAAGACATACAAATGGCCAACAGACACATTAAAAGATGCTCAACATCACTCCTCATCAGGGAAATACAAATCAAAAATACAATGAGATACCACCTCACACCAGTCAGAATGGCTAAAGTTAACAAGTCAGGAAACAACAGGTGTTGGCAGGGATGTGGAGAAAGGGGAACCCTCCTACACTGTTGGTGGGAATGCAAGCTGGTGCAGGCACTCTGGAAAACAGTATGGAGGTGTCTCAAAAAGTTAAAAATAGGGCTACCCTACGACCCAGCCATTGCACTACTGGGTAGTTACCCAAAGGATACAAAAATGCTGATTCAAAGGAGCACATGTACCCCGATGTTCACAGCAGCATTATCTACAATAGCCAAATTACAGAAAGAGCCCAAGTGTCCATCAACGGATGAATGGATAAAGAAGGTGTGGTGTATATATACAATGGAATATTATTCAGCCATCAAAAGGAATGAAATCTTGCCATTTGCAACGATGTGGATGGAACTGGAGGGTATTACGCTAAGTGAAATAAGTCAAGTTAGAGAAAGACAAATACCATATGATTTCACTCATACATGGAATTTAAGAAACAAACCAGATGAACATATGGAGAGGGGAGGAAGGGGATAGGGAAATAAACAGTAAGACACTCTTAACGACTGAGAACAAACCGAGGGTTGATAGAGGGCAGTGGGCAGGGAATGGGCTAGACAGGGGGTGGGCATCAAGGAGGGCACTTGTTGTGATGAGGACTGGGTGTTGTATGTAAGTGAGGAATCACTGAATTCTATCTCAGAAACCAGTACTGCACTGTATGTTAACTAATTAGAGTTTAAATAAAAATTAAAAGGGAAAAAAAAGATAGCAAGAGCTAGCTCCACAGATCTGAGTTAGTACCGGTAAGGAACAGACTGACTGAGAGCAGAGACTGCAGTCTGGAGGGTAGCTCCAGGTTGCAAAGGCAAAAGTCCCACTACGAGAGGTCTCTTCACAACACATCAGCCACTGCCAGGCCACACGTGCTCACCTGTGAGATAACAAGCGATCCACGAATGCATTTTTTGCTCTGCTTCTGGTTTGCCCTAATAACTCCAATCCTATTTCAAGCTTGCAGGGTTAGCATAAGTCTTGTAGTGCTAGCACCATGCGTGGTGTAAATATGTGCGTGTATGTATGTATAAGTATGTTCTTTGTACACACTTTGCACGACATGGTCTTGAGTTGAAAGGCATTATATTCTAATCGTCAAAGGCTGGGTTAGGTAGCGGTGCAGGAAAGAGGAAACACAGCAGTCCTGAGACTCTATCCTTAGAAAGGCCTGCTTGTGAGACAGGCTCATAATAGGCTTCTGGAAATTTGGATGTGGGGTGGGTTCTCATGTAAGAGTGCTCACTGTGCGTAAACTGTTTGTACAAATAATGTGGCTTATGCAGAACACCTGCTTTTGTGTGAGGAGTCTGGAATTTTGTCTCATGCTAGGCGGAACGTGCTGATATAAGCAGCCCCCAGTAAAAAGTGTGCGACGGAGAGTCTAATAAGCTTCCTTGGTACATGACATTTCATAGGTGTTGTCACAAGCTGGTCCTGGGAGAAGCAGCTCATCCGGTGGGACTCCAATGAAGAGGCTCAAAAGCTTACACCTTGTTTCTTGACTCCTGACTTCACGCTACATGCTTTTTGTCTTTGCTGACTTGACTTTCTATCTTGTCCCTGCGAAACATCTTAGCCACCAGTGAGAAGACTGTTGCAAGTCCTGTGTCTTCCGGTCACATACTGTCCCTGGGAGCAGTGCTGGAGAACCTGATGCAAGGCCACCTCTATAAAGGCAAGAGCTTGTCGACTGTTCCTGTTAGACCATGACGGCATTCCCACCATTCAACCAGAAAAATCAGATTCAGTGGCAAGACCAAAAGGGTCAAAGTTAGTTATGAAGTTAATTACTTTGGAAATTTTAAAAACAGTTACTCTCCGGAAAATGTCAAATATTTACCTTGAGCAACCAGATCTCGTCTCAATAATGGATAAAGAACAGGTTCTACACCATCCATCTCTTGTATAATAAGGGTTTTCCCAAAACGTACCGCCAACTCAAGAGCTGTAATAAAGTTACTATCCTGAGAAAATAAAAAAGAATACACATTAATTCCTTTATTACCTTAATATCTACAAAGGTCCTTACAGATAATGAAGGAATCTATTAATAGGAATAATATGAATATTTTAAAATTTAATATGCATGTTAATAATTCAAATTACTCATGACTGCTTTTCTAGTTGTAAGTACTTGCTGATGAATCATTTTAGTTGAATAAATTATCAAATAGATTTCATAAATAATTTAAATAGACATACAAAAAATAAAGATTTTTACAACAATAAAAAATCTTTTTTCAATCCTTTACTATGATTTCAAATTTCTACTTGATGCAGAAACAAATTTTCAAATTCTTTATATAAGTTATTCCAATATTAATAAGAACTACGTTGGTTGTGTTCAAAATCAAATGCTGAACGGAAGAAGAAAGACAAATGATGAATTCTAGCCTACTTTCCTTGGTGTGAAATGTGATAGGTCTGACCACTGTGGGGAAAAACCTCCGGACAAAATTCTGTAACCGGGCAAGAATTTTAAGACTTTCTAGCTAGCAAAAGGGTTTTAAACATCACTTCAAGCCTCCAACTATGGTTACAAAAATTAAATATTTGGAATAATAATTATTAAAATCTCCTCCCGTAAACCATAAATGGCATTAAAGTATTTTATTATCTAATTTATACCTATTCTTAACACACAAATGAAGTAAATACCCCTATTTTATAAATGAAATACGTTTGAAAGAGGTAATTGTTCAAGCACTTGAAGAATATCTATGAAAACGAATACAAAATACACTAGGCCTTCCACAAAGGGAAAAAAAAAAAAAAAAAACTGACCCCAAAGAATTTTCTCAGCAAGATAAATATGGCAGTGAGAGGTCACTACCCCAGAAGACGATGATTACATTTTGCAAACCAACATGTCTACTGTTGGGACACATGAGAGATGCTCGTTGGTGAGATTGCAGGGACACAAAATGACCATATGCTGCAAGTCTGGGAGGCTGTCCCCAAGTGGAGTCGGGAACTCTTACTTCTCTAGGATCCTATACTTACGTCTTCAATCATAATGTAGTATAAATGCTTATTTAATTGTCTCTCCAACCTACCGGGCCGGCATCACCACTAGGACAGGAAGTGTGACTACTTTACTCACTAGTGAATTCCCAGGGCTTAGATTAATGCCTAGCACACATGAGCAATCAAATAAATACTCTCATCCCTTTTGTAGTAAAGCTAAAAGTTACACTTCCTTCCACGGGTCCCATGCCAGGTAAGTCACAGGACCGAGTTTGTGCCCTCTGAATACAGACCCAGCATTGTGTCCACCCTACCATGCTAGTACCAGTTGGTATCTCAACTATAAGTCATACAAACCTGCTGGTTAATAACTTCCAAACGTGAGTCTTTCAAATGTGTCTTTAACCACTCTGTAGCTTGAGAAGAAGGGTCTATAAGGAATGGGCATACTTGACTCTAGTTCCAAAAAAGAAAAAAATTATAAGCTTCCATCAAATGGAAATAATTTCCTAAAAAAGATGAAATCAGGTACTCAGTGAGTTTTCTCTCAGGCTTTAGAGAACGTAAACACACAACCATACGGAGGGAGTAAAGGTGCAATTTTTAGCTGCACCCAGAAGCTACATCAATCCATTCCATAGCTATCAGAAGTTCATATTAGAAAATTAAATTCAACCACAGTAAAGTGAGAATAGTCCCCTTCGCTCCATGGTAACTCAGAGAACGTATATTAACACTACAGTGACCAAGAGCTCCAGTCCCAATCTGACACCATTCACACCTGTCTTCTGGCTTTTAAAAGACACAGTCAAATTATTCCAAACTTTATATACTCTTTGGCTGAATAAGCCATAAAGACCTTAGAAGAGAAGTATGAACTCATCATAAAAGCATTGTTCAAGTAATTATCAATGTAACTGTTTGTTTCAGACATTAATTCTTATAAAGCAGTATATAGTTAATATTATAAAAGGAGCACCCCAGGGGCGCCTGGGGGGCTCAGCTGGTGAAGTGTCTGCCTTCGGCTCAGGTCATGACCCCAGGGTCCTGGGATCGAGCCCCGCGTTGGGCTCCCTGCTCAGCAGGAAGCCTGCTTCTCCCTCTCCCACTCCCCCTGCTTGTTCCCTCTCTTGCTGTGTCTCTCTCTGTCAAATAGATAAAATCTTTTTTAAAAAAATAAAAAAATAAAAAAAAATAAAGATCTGGGTAATTATGACCAAATATGTACAATTAGATTTTCAAAGCAAAAATAACTTCAGGTTATTGAAAAAATAAAAAAATAAATTGTGGTTCACCTGTCAATTATCAATTGATTTTTTTAATTATAAAAAACGACAGATTTTAGGGGCGCCTGGGTGGCTCAGTCGTTAAGCGTCTGCCTTCGGCTCAGGTCATGATCCCGGGGTCCTGGGATCGAGCCCCGCATCGGGCTCCCTGCTCCGCGGGAAGCCTGCTTCTCCCTCTCCCACTCCCCCCGCTGTGTTCCCTCTCTCGCTGTGTCTCTCTCTGTCAAATAAATAAATAAAACCTTTTAAAAAATATTAGTTTTGGGGCACCTGGGTGGCTCTGTCAGTGAGTGTCTGCCTTCGGCTCAGGTCACGATCCCAGGGTCCCGGGATCGAGCCCCGCATCGGGCTCCATGCTCAGTGGGGAGTCTGCTTCTCCCTCTCCCTCTGCCCCTCCACCTTGCTCATGCTCTCTCTCTGTCTCTCTCTCTCAAATGAATAAATAAAAAAAAAAATCTAAAAAAAGGAGCACCCTAGAAAAGACATAGCTTGTAGATTAAGATCTAATGAACTAGGAACTAAATTCATTACAGGATACGCTGAAACAAACAGAGAGTTAGAAACCAGTGAAAATGCACTAAACACACAATGTCACTTAGCAGGTGAAAGGAAGCCAATTACAGAGATATCATTAACAAAAATATATGTAAATATATAACTAAATATATTTGGTAAATTTGAAAGTCTAATATTACAAGAATTGTTACCCAGTAAATCAGAATTAAATAATAACTGGCCTAATTTTTCTTAAATGTTCACACTTATTAGAAAAAATGTGATGTGGTTGTGCAACAGGGATAAGAAAACACACGAAGTCCAGGTGACGTGAAGACTTAGCCCCAAGGAGCATCTAATACGAGCACAGAGGCTATTTCAAGGACACACCAAGGAGGCAGATGGTGGGGGCCATCGGCCCTAGGGACAGAGAGCATTTTGTCAGCAACGTTGTTTAAAAGTCCCCACAAGCTGGTGGTAATAAAGAGTTGACTGACTGTAAACCAGCTTTATTACTGTTTTAAAATTCCCTCCAAACCACACACCCCCTTTTTGCTTGCACCTGGACGGACCGTTCACGCCCACCATAGCTCCCACAGTGGCACACTGCAGTAGGATCCTCAGCCAGCATCTCTTTCCAGCTATTTTCCCTTACCGTTCCATCATAAACAATAACAACAATAAAACATGCCTCTCCTACTAAATAAGGTGATAAGTAGCCTTGTACGTACTTCCTATGTACTACGCCTACGTTTGAGACCTAATTTTATGCTAGTATTCAGAAGCAAACATTTCACAAGACTACAAGACTTTGCCTAGCCACAAAAACAATTACTTTAAATTTTAAAAAAAGTTCTTACCCATGATTTCAAACCAATGATCTGATGCAGTTAAAAAAAAAAAAAAAAGACAATATATTTCAGTAGGACCAAAAATATGCTTTAGAATTTCCAAGAGTACTGACAAGTTTGATTTCATGTTATTTATACTCCTCCATAGAGATTTAGACAAAATCTCTGAGGTATATTTTAAGTCTGTGATCCATGATTAAATGTAGTTAAATTCTACATGTAACAAATTATAATAGATCCAAAAATATTGAGCTTTCATTCATTCATGAGTTCTTTCACCTACCATACACTGAACAACTACTCAGTAAGACAATATGAGGGATACAGAAATTAATGGCACATACGCTTACCCTCAACGGGTTCACACCCACGAAAGAAGCAAAAACTGACAATCTACAAAGAGCACGCAAGAGTCTATGAGTGGAACACAGGTGGAGTTAGGGGGAAGCCGCGAGAAAGCAGTTCAGGTCAAACCAAGTCAGGAAAGATAAATGGGACTTAGCCTGGAAAAGAAGTGGAAAAAGCACGTCAGGCAAAGACAAGAGCATGAAAGGCAGAGGGATAAAAAGCCCAGCACGATCCGGAAAACTAGCGGAGCTCGGCAAACCTGGAATGAAAAAGCACAGGCAAGAATGATTCAGAGGATACAGCAGGGGCAGTCAAGGTCCTTCAGCTCTTTTTAGGCCATGCTTAACAATGACACGCTCATACATCAAGCAACGGAAAGTCACTGGAAAATATCATCAACGGAGCATCGTGCCCAGGTTACTATGGTGGAAAGAGCGCTCCTACGGCAGTGAAGGCAGTGATGTTGGGGGCAAGGGGCCGACAGTGTGATACTGTATTCCTCCGGTGCCTCACTGCGCAGCCAAGACGAGTCCACTTGCATGGACGTGCTTGGAGCAGGATGAGCCCATGGCGCTCCCGAGACAGAGGCGTAACGAGATTTGTTGAGGAACCAGCTGCGCGTGAATGAGAGAGGCCCACGGGGACTTGCAAGTGTCCTGCTCACACTCCTAGGCCAGGACGGACGCCTCCACGGGGGGCGGTGAGAGAAGATTCCCACCGTAGAAAGCCACCTTGGCCCTCCCTGCACGCCCACCCCATGTCTCTGAAGGGACCACCAGTCCCCTAGCACTGCCCCAACGGACGAGCACATGACCCAAGCTAACTAATCAGAATCCTTTGGGGAAAGGACACCAACACTGTTGGGGGAGAGGGGTATGCAGACACAACTCTAGTCTTCGAGCAGGAGCTCCGACAGTAGTCGGCCTGGAGCCACCAATGGCCATCCGTAACACAGGGCGGACAGAACCTATCTGACAACGAACCTCTTAAGTTGGGTTGAGAAAACAACATCCTGGTGACATCATTTGAATCCTAGAGCTGATCTCAATGCTTTCAGCATCTTAATTATATTTAAAAGCACAAGTTCCTTTTTTTCTTCTTAAATGTACTATGCTTGGCCAGTAAAAAATCCTTGACTAAAAAAAAAAAATAAACAATGATTAATTTAGAGACGGACACAAGTGACTTCACCCTTCTGTGCTGCAACTTCCTTATCTATAAAAAGGGTAACACACGGACTAGACAGGGCTGATCTGAAAATTCAGTGAGTTAAGTGTTTAAGTGCTTTACCTGTATTAATTCTTAAATAGTAACATGTGTAAAACATAGTGTGACTACTTCAGTGTTACTATTATTTATTTGGGGTTTATCTGAAAAAAGAACTTTCCCTACGTGATTTACCTTTAAAATTTTGTGTTCTTTACATTAAGAGCCAATTAATTTGCATTTCCTCAACATACACTGAATGTCAGGAAGAAAAATAATCTCAGAAATTCTGTGTGGTTTAAAAAAAAATCTAACTTGACACTGAATTGTCTACAAACAATAAAAAACATTCAATACATGTCTTCACAAGAAAAAATCTGTGAAATTTAAACCAAGAAAAATTTATAATACTGTAAAATTTAAATTAATCACCTTTCCCATCTCCTTTTTGGATACTCTTCACTCACACCTTCCCCCTGGTTTCTAACAGCCTTATAGCTCTGCATTACCGCTGGGTCCCACCCACAATATTAGAAAGATCACAGAAATTATCACCCAGGCCAGGACACCTTTGACAGTAAAAGGAAAGCTAACAATAATCCCATCAGGACCACAGGTGTAAATCACAGGACAAGCAATCCAGGACACAGGGTCCCCAATGGCCACCTTCTTCCCCACCCATAAGGACATAGGTCACAGGAACCTCTTACTGATGCACTTAAACTAACTCCCGTTACAAGGTCATTGGTAGATTAGTTGACTATTTCCTCTTCCAGACAATACTTCACTTCAATAATTTAACACAAATATGAGAAGTTCAAGCATCTTTTAAGACAAACAAAGGAATAATTATGGACACAAAGGTTTTACTTAGGACCACTAAAGGAGACAGCAACTACAGACCTTGAATGTGGGAAAGGCTCCAGGGAGAGGGAGAACCTCTGGGAAACTCTAGCGGGGTTAATGAGATGAGCTACATCTCTCAATCAAAATTACATTTTACTCGTCATGCCTAGTCATTTTTTTCTCAGGGCAAACTTCCCAGAAACACAATTTGTATCTATTTAGAAATCTAATTTCACATACATCACTTGAGAAGGTTTTTATAGACGTGGGCTATCCAGTCACAGCCTTATGTTCAAGAGCTTACTCTAAATCTAGAATACTTGACAACTGAGAAAGAGGGTTAACTATAGTGGCAAATTCATCCCAACAAAATAACTAATTACCCTAACAAATCTTTCCATCTGTTTTTGTTTTGTCATATAAATGCATATAAATATCTACAATAAACATGGCAATATTAAATACAAAGTAAATCTAAGCTTATTAAAATTAATTTCAAAAACAATTTCATGAACTATATTCATCACGAAAGGTAATTCAGAACACAAAAGTAAACATTTTCAATTAGTATCATCAGGAAAAAAAAATACTGTGATAAATATGTTTTTTCTAAAGGCTCACCCCCCTGACTCCTTATGGAATAAAAAAAAGAATGATACTTAAACTGTGTGTTTTTTAGATCTGCGAATGATTGTTTTCTTGGATTGCTAAAAAAGGAAGACGAGGTGAGAATGAAACTTTGGGGAAAGAATAACAAATAGGATAAAAAGCCATACTTTTTTATATAATGTAATGAACTTATTTACCTACACATTTAGAGTTCCAGATTTGTGATTCTACTGTGAAAAATGATGGAAAATGTTTTAAAAGAGAACAAGCCAAATCAAGTTTTTAAGCAGTCAAGGCTGCTTGATCTTTGGTCAGCAGCTCCTCACTGGGGATGCAGCAATGTAATGAGCCAAAGCATGTCAGCCGACTGGTAAGCCTAATCAAAGGAACCCATTTACCCAGGAATGCAGGGCCCACAATACAAATCTTGTCGTACTATGGCTCGTGTTACCTAAAAAGGAGCATTCAACATTCATGCTTCTGTTGGAGCTGTGGAGTCACCGAAGGAGGAGGCGGTGTGCGGGCAGAGAAAGGGGCTGCAGGGAGCAAAGAGGAAACTGGTGTACGGAGTGCAAGCCACTGAGGCAGAACCAACAGGAAAACCCTATCAGCACAGGGAAGAACCACCTTCCCATTATCTGTTACATCCACAACAGTTCACCAAGCTAAAGGTAAAAATCATACTTCACTAGAAGAATTATCATGGTTTGTATACCCGAGTCGCAATTTGATTTTCATATTCATCACTGCTAACATGGCTGTAAGAGTTTCACATTTAAACAATGACTTTGGAGAAATATACATTATGGGAAAGAAAAATTTTCAAAAAAATGCATATCGTTATCCCTAACCTACAAACCAAAACTTATCTTCACTTTGTAGAACTTCGTTTTGTAAAAAAAAAAAAAAAAATGGTGAAATCATATACTGTAGATTCAGTAACTATATAACCAGGTAAATCAGGTACCACTAAAATATCTCCATTACTATTAGGGAGTTCAATTTAGAATTTTTTTGTCATCAAAATAATGTCACTTTAGTTTATACTTTTATATTAAGGTAAAAAATAAATTATACTGAAAACTGTAGATTCACCAACTGAATCACAAATGGATTTTCGTTCCCAAAATATCTTCACTTTCATGTAATGAAAAGAGTAACTGTGAAAGCCTAAGAATTTGAAAAAGGTGCTTCCTGGGACAAGCTTCCACAAGAATACTTCCAATAAGAAATTAAAACTGATTAATTACCTGCAAGATAACAAGAGCATTTTCTATGGAAAGGTCATCGGATGGTAGGCCTTCACTTTTCCAAATTAACTGCTCACTTTCAGTACAAAGAAATCTCCTTAGATCAAATTCTGAAAAGTTTAAGATAATTAATATTTCACTACAGTGATTGTGCACTTGACAAAGGGAAGGGAACAAAACTATTTAAAATATACTCAAACAACAGTCCCATGACCATTCTTAATATTCAATCCGTTCTTCCCACTTTAGCACGAGAAGAGAGAGAAAAGTTTAAAAAATAAAAAGTGCAAAGGAATGGAACTCAGTGAAATTATATTTCTTGTATATTTAATACATATTTCACAACTATAATAACTTGAGAAAACCACAAAATTCACAAGGAATTTTGGAGTTCTTACATCTTATTTTATGATATAAAATTACTGTAAAAATCAATGTATTAAAATATTTAACTGCGGGCGCCTGGGTGGCTCAGTTGGTTAAGCGACTGCCTTCGGCTCAGGTCATGATCCTGGAGTCCCGGGATCGAGTCCCGCATCGGGCTCCTTGCTCGGCAGGGAGTCTGCTTTGCCCTCTGACCCTATCCCCTCTCATGTGTTCTCTCTCTCTCATTCTCTCTCTCTCAAATAAATAAAATCTTTAAAAAAATAAATAAAATCTTTAAAAAAATAAATAAAAGTTTCAAAACCAAAAAAAAAAAATATTTAAGTGCATTCATCCATTATCAAAAATACTCCGTGGTCTCAGTTTCATAGAGTGATTTTAGGAATAGAAGAATCATTGCAACAAACAATTCAGAGAACAATTACAGAATTGAGCAAATCTAAAGTAGATTTGGTTTCTTTTAGCTTACAGAAAATTTTTCTCATTTAGAAAAAGTAAAATGGCAAAAATTAAAAGATGCATTTTTAGGATATTGAAATTTCAAAATGTGAATGACTAAATACAAACTTTCAAGACAAGCTGATTTGGTCCATTCTTCCAAACAGGTTTTTCTCAGACCTTCAGGAGCAGCAGAAAGATACGTAATAAATGCAGCAGCTAGCTGAGCTCTCTTAGGAAGAGTAGCTAATTCCTCTGTTATCTCTGCAACCTGGACAAGAAGAGAGAAAGCAGGTGAGGGAGTAGGGTATAGATATGTTCTAAAATGTGAAAAACATGACAGCTTCATAAACTAGAGTTTTGACTGTAGAAAGAAAATCATGTATTGGTTTAAAGTAATAAGCCTTGTCCTGAATACAATTGTGAAAATGTAAAAATATCAACAAGATCTCTCAGACCCTGCTGAAATTTTTAAAAATGTGTGCAATACCACTATTATTTGTAAAGATGAACATATTTTGTCATTGAAATTAAATGTATGAAATGTATGAATGTATAAAAATGTATGAAATACCGCTATTATTTGTAAAGATGAACATATTTTGTCATTAAACATTCCTAATGAAGCAGAACTTTTATCCCAATTATAGTTAAATACTACCAATTAGCATCACTTTGTAAACTACCATTAAGTACAGAGAGTATGAGCAAAGGTACAAAACAAAATTGTAAGGAAGCATGGAGACTCATTAGTTAAAAGCATAGTGTGGCTGCAGAAAGAGAAGCAACACAGGAGTAATGAAAAGAGAGAGGCAGAGACAATGGGCAGGAAACGCTGTGAATGGTTTTCCCTGCACACAAAGGAGCTTTTGTTGTAAGCTGCAGTGGTAATGAACCACTCAAAGTGTTTAAACAAGACAGGGAGGGATGTAATGAGACTGGGTTTAGAAAGATTATTCAGCTGACAAATGAGGAATGGACCAATTTAAGGGTCAGATAGGATGGAAACAAGTCAGGAGAATTTAGGCAAAAAAATAAAATAAAATAATTGGCATTAAAGACAGAAGACAAATATGAGGGCTATTTGCAAATGGATATGACAAGTAAATAAGGAAATCTGAATAGACAGGTTATTAGTAGTGAAACCCAATCAGCAATCAAAAAACTCGCAATAAACAAAAGTCAAGGACTGTATGGCCTCACAGGTAAATCCTACCAAATAATATAAAGAAGAGTTATTACCTATTCTTTTCATATTACACTAAGTGAAATAAGTCAGTAACAGAAATACCGTATGATTTCACTTACCTGAAGCATCTAAAAAACAAAATGAATGAGTAAACAAACAAAAAGCAGAATCAGACCCATAAAAACCGAGAACAAACTGATGGTTTAGGGGATGGACAGAATGTGTAAAGGGGAGGAGACATAGGCTTCCAGTTGTGGAAGGAGTAAGTCACAGGAATAAAGGGCACCGCTCACTTTGGTGAGCACAGTGTAACATACAGACTATGTTGTACACCTGAAACTAATGTAAAATGGTGGGTCAACTGTACTCAAATAAAAAAAAACATTTTTAAAGAAAAAACAAACAAAAATACCTGCTCGTCTCAAAGTATTCCAAAAAAATAGAAGAGGAAGAAAAACATCTAAATTCATTCTATGAGGTCAGCACTACAGCACTACCCTGGCACCAAAGCCAGACAAAAACACTACAAAAAAAAACTAAAGGCCAATATTTTTGATGAACAAAGATGTAAAAGTTCTCAACAAAATATTACCAAATCAAATTTGACAGTATATTAAAAAAAAAAACACCACAATCAAATGGGATTTACTCCAGGAATGCAAGAGTGCCTCAATATTTGAAAATCAAAGTACTACATCACATTAATAAGAAGGGTAAGAGCTCTATGATTATCTCAAGAGATATGGAAAAACCATTTGACAAAATACAACACCCATTCATAATAAAAACTCTCAACAAAGTGGGTTTAGAGAGAACATACCTCAACATAATTAAAGTCATATATGAACAGCACACAGCTAACGTCATACGCAATGCTGATATAAAAGCTTTTCATCCAGGATTAGGAATGCCCACTTCCACCCATTTTATTCAACATAGTATTGGAAGTCCTAGCCACAGCAATGAGACAAGAAAAAAATACGAAAGGCATCCAAGATGCTAAGAAGTAAACTGTCACTATTTGCAGATAACTTGATACTATACATAGAAAACCCTAAAGGCCCCCCCAAAAAACTATTAGATCTGATAAATGAATTCAATAATGTTGCAGGATACAAAATTAATATACAGAAATCTGTTGCATTTCTATATATTAATAATGAAGTAGCAGAAAGAGAAATTAAGAAAACAATCCCATTTACAATTATACTAAAAAAAAAAATATCTAGGAATAAATTTAACCTGGGAAGTGAAAGACCTGTACTCTGAAAACTGTAAGACACTGATGAAAGAAACTGAAAGCAATACAAACAAATGAAAAGATACACCATACTCATGAACTGGAAGAATTAGTATCATTAAAATGTCTATACTACCCAAAGCAATCTACACATTCAGTGCAATCCATCAAAATACCAAGAGCATCTTTCACCGAACTAGAACAAATAATCCTAAAATTTCTAGGGACCCACAAAAGACCTTCAATAGCCAAAACAATCTTGCGGGGGTGGGGGGAACTAGAGCTATCACAATCCCAGATTTTGTTGTACACCATTAAGTTATAGTAATCAAAACAGTATGGTAGTGGTACAATAATACATCAGTGGAATAGAAGACAGAGCCCAGAAACCCACATCTATATCATCAATTAATTTATGACAAAGGAAGCAAGAATATACAACTGGAAAAAGTCCCTTCAAGAAATGGTGTTGGCAAAGCTGGAGAGCTACATGCAAAAGAATGAAACTTGACCGCTTTCTAATGCTATATACAAAAACAAACTCAAAGCACATTTAAGATCTAAAAGCATAAAACTCCTAGAAGAAAATAGGTACTAATCACTCAGATGTCGCCCACAGCAACATTTTTCTAGATATTTTTCCTCAGGTGAGGGAAACAAAAGCAAAAATAAACTAATGGGTCTACATCAAACTAAACTGCTTTTACACAGCAAAGGAAACTATCAACAAAACAAAAAGGCAAACTACTGAATGGGAGAAGATATTTACAAATGATGTATCCAGTACAGGGTTAGTAAGCAAAATACCTAAAGAATTCATACAACTCAACACTAAAAACCCCCAATAATCCAATTTAAAAATGGGCAGATGACCTGAACAGACATTTTTCCAAAGAAGACACGCAGATGGCCAACAAACACATGAAAAGATACTCAACATCACTCATCATCAGGGAAATACAAATCAAAAGCACATGAGACCTAACCTCACATCACTTAGAATGACTAACATCAAAAAGACGAGAAATAACATGATGCTATAAAGAAAAGGGAACCCTCATGCACTGCTGGTAGGAATGTGAATTGGTGCAGAGACTATGGAGAACATTACAGAGGTTCTTCAAAAAATTAAAAAGAGAAATCCCATACAATCTAGTAATCCCACTCCTGGTATTTACCCAAAGAAAATGAAAACACTAATTCAAAAGATAAATGCATCCCTATGCTCACTGCAGTATTTACAGTAGCTAAGATATGTAAGCAACCCAAGTGTCCATCAATAGATGGATAAAGAAGATGAAAGGATAAAGAAGCAATCAAAGACGGCAATGGAGTACGAGGACCTCAGGCTCACCTCATCCCTCGAACTCAGCTGGATAACTATCAAATCATCCTAAATACCCCAGAAGTCACCCTGAAGACTGACAGAACACACTCCACAACTAAAGGGAAAGAAGAAGCCACATCGAAGAAGGTACGAAGTGTGGAGATGTGGTCTGGGGGAGAAAGGGATTGCAGGGGCTGCAGAGGGGAGGGAGCCCTGGTTGCAAAGAAGCGGGAGAGACAGGGGCACACCGGGGAACGCACAAGGAGAACGCTTCCCCAAAGCCACAGTCTGGGAAAACGACAGGGGCTGAATTTCTTGAGTTCTTGCAACCAGCCAAGATTAAAGCCTGGAGTTTTCAAGGTCAGCGGGCTTGCCTGGGCTAGAGCCTGGAGGGCACTGCCCTACCGCTGGAGAGGAGGCAGGCAAACAACCCAGAGGCGGACAGTGTGGAAACAGTGATCTGGAAAACCTGAAAACGCCTGGGGCACATGGGGGGAGATTATTCGCTCTTCTTGGAGAGGCAGCGTTCACAGAGCCGCCTCTCTGGGAACAAAGGAGCCCGCTGGCCCCACTCCCCTCCCCGCCCCTCAGCATAAACACGGAGCCACCTGCAGTAAACAGCGCAGCGCCCACACTGGCTGCCTAACCTGCTTACACCAGGTCCCACACCCCTGCGCTCTGCCGGGAAGGTCCTCCTCCGGCAGGCTTGCTCAGGCCCAGAGCAGCAGGCCCCTCCCCAGAAGACAAACGGAAACCTCTGCCCACACCACGTCTCCCAACCAGGGAGTTCTGCAAGGCCTCAGTTCTGGTGGAGTTGGTGTCAGGTCTCATTTCACAAGCAGAACAGTGCACACCTCATTAAAACTCGCCACATTCAGGCCAGGGACCAAACACTGTCCACAGAGGGCAAGGAGAGCCCCTGCAGAAGGGGCTCGAAGGACAGAGTGCCAAACCACAGCAGCAGAGTGCATGCAGCACACATCTGAGACACTCCCTGAAGCACCAGGCCCTGGGCACTGCAGACCTCTTCTTCATACTCTCAGGATGGGTCATATAACAGGCTTTTCTAACACAGAGAGAAGGAAGAGACACAGGCAAGATGCCAAGACAGAGGAATTTCTCCCAAATCAAAGAAAAGGACAAAGCCACAGGCAAAGATCTAAGCCAAACTGATATAAGTAACATGCCTGATGGAGAATTTAAAGCAACGATTGTGAGGATACTCGCTGGGCTTGAGAAATGAATGGAAGACTTCAGGGAGGCCCTTACCACAGAGATAAGAGAATAAAACAGAATCAGTCAGAGATGAAGAATGCACTAACTGATCATGGAAACAGGACTGATGCAAAGAACGGCAGGCTAGAAGAAGCAGAGGAACGAATTAGTGATCCAGAAGACAAAGTAATGGAACATAATGACAATGAACAAAAGAGAAAGAAGAATTATGGAACGTGAGAACACACTTGGAGAACTCAGCGACTCCATCAAACATCATAACGTTGGTATGACAGGAGTCCCAGGAGAAGAAGAGGAAAGGGGGCAGAAGGTTTATGTAAGGAAATAATAGCAGAAAACTTCCCTAATCTGGGGAAGGAAATGGACATCCAGATCCAGAAGGCACAGAGAATTCCCATCAAAATCAACAAAAGCAGGCCAACACCAAGACATACTGTAGGAAAATTTGCAAACCACAGTGACAAAGAGTCTTAAAAGCAACAAGACAAAAGAAGTCCTTAACTTACAAGGGAAGACCCATAAGACTAGCTGCAGATCTCCCCAGGGACACTTGGCGGGCCAGAAGGGAGTGGCATGATGTATTATTCAACGTGCTGAATGGGAAAAATCTGCAGCCAAGAATACTCTACCCAGCAAGGCTGTCATTCAGAATAGAAGGAGAGATGAAGTTTCCCAAACAAATAAAACTAAAGGAGTTCATGACCACTAAATCAGCCCTACAAGAAATATTAAAAGGGACTCTGTGAGTGGAAAGGAGAGACCAAAAGTAACAAAGACAAAGGATCAGAGAAAATCTCCAGAAACAAGGACAAAACAAGTAATAAAACTGCAGTAAATACATATCTGTAAATAATTATTTTGAATGTAAATGGACTAAACACTCTAATCAAAAGACACAGGGTATCAGAATGGATAAAAAAGTAAGACCCATCTATGTGCTGCCTATAAGGGACTCATTTTAGAACTAAAGACACCAGCAGACTGAAAGTGAGGGGATGGAGAACCACCTCTCATGCTAATGGACATCAAAACAAAGTCAGACTGGCAATACTTACATCAGACAAACCAGACTTCTTTGTTCTTGTATTGTTTTTGTCCTGCTTTGGTATCGGAGTAATATGGCCTCATGGAATGATTTTGAATGTGTTCCCTCTATTCCATTATTTGTAAGATTTTGATAGAGACTGACATTACTTCTTTTATATGTTTGGTAGAATTCACCAATGTAACCATGTGGTCTTGGGATTTTCTGTGCTAAGAGATTTCCAATTCCTAACTCACCTTTCATTCTTCTTATTGGTCTAAGAAAATTTCCTATTTCTTGGATTCACAATTCATGATTCAATCATGGTAATTTGTGCATTTCCTAAGTTATCTGATTTGTTGGTATATAATTGTTTTTAGTAATCTGTTATCACACTACGTATTTCTGTGGTTATCTGTTGTACCGTTTTCTCTCGCATTTCTCATTTTGACTTTCAGTCTTCTTTTTCTTAATGTAGTTAAAGCACTGCCAATTTTGTTTATTTTTTTGGAAAAACTGGTCATTACTTCCAACGTTATATTATTGTTTATTTTGGTCACTATTTCATTATTTCTGATTTTTCTTTGTTATTTCTTCCCTGTACTAATTTCAGCTAAGTTTTTTCTTTTTCTAGTTCCTTGTGATTGTATAATGTTAAGTTTTTTATTTGGAATTTTTTTCTTCATACAAGCATTTACAGCGTAAATTTCACTCTAACATATGCTTTTGCTGTATCCCACAGGTTTTGCTTTGAGATATATTTTGATTTGCTGTTTGATTTCTTATTTGGCCTACTGCTTGTGCAGTAGTATGCTGTTTAATATTTATATATTAAATATTTAATATTTACATTGTAGATTTTCCAGCTCTTTTTTTATTGTTGATCTTTAGTTTCATACCATTGTGGTTGGAAGATATACCTGGTATAATTTCAGTCTTCTTAAATTTGTAATATTTGTTATGTCTCTTTTTATGTGATTTAACCAGGGGATTCTTCTGTGTATTCTATTTTTCTTGGATGGAATGTTTTTTATAGATCTTTTAGAACAATGTATTCTGAAGTATGCTTTAAGTAAAAAATGTTCTTGGTGAAAGCATATCAGAGGAGATGGGCTCCTGGGTGGCTCAGTCAGTGAAGCGCCTGCCTTCAGCTCAGGTCATGATCCCAGGGTCCTGGGATCGAGTCCTGCATCGGGCTCCCGGCTCCACAGGGAGCCTGCCTCTCTCTCTGGTGGGGGGAAGGAGGGGGGAGTCGAACTAGTTCAAGAAAAACCCACCCACCAACCAAAACAAAACAAAACAAGAGACAGCACTTTAACAAAGTCAACATAACAGTATTTCTAGAAGGAGTAAGCAGCCAACAGTGTCAAATCCTAAGCTGGTGGTCCCAGAAGGCCTAGTCCAGTGGGATTTCCCTTGAGTCATTTCCGTTCCTGCTGGCCCCCTGGTAACCTACACAACTACGGGAGGAACAGGCTGCACTCAGATGCACACATACAGAAACATTCTGCTTGAAGATGAACTCACATCATGGCCCCGTACGTCTACATCACTGACCCTCAGCCAGCTCAAAGTGCACGGCTACTGCCCTCCTGTCTTCTTTTTCTAACACATACAGTACACTGCTGATTTTCTGTGTTTTAAAGGAAGCCTCTCTCTGACGGCCGTGCCCCCGCTGCCCCCAGCCAACCTGTGCATTCCAGCGCTTGTGCTCTCTATTGAGCTGACTGATCAGGACCTCCGCGGCTTGGATTGTCTCCTGCGCTCTGCTCACTTCAGCTTCCAGTTTGGTGGCTTCTGACGTCCTGCTCTGGAATCTGTGAAAACGTTAACATCAATTAAAGGCAAAGGGATTTAAGAGAGATGACTGAAGGAGCCTTAGTAAGTGAGCTTTTCTCTACGTTAATGGTAATACTGATAATATTTGCGTTCAGGATAGCACGAACGCAGCAGACACAGCAGGGTGCAGATGTGAAAGGCAGGGCTGCTCGAGCACAAACTCCTCCCTGTGATGTTCAGGGCCCTGTGGGAGGGTCGACCCCCCCCGCCCCCGCCGCCTCCTCAGTTTTCCCTCATTCGAGCCTCCCATGTCAACCTCTGAAGGATAAACACGCTATCCTCTTCTGGATATCCTGCTTCTTCAGGACGTCCCACATGCCTGGAATACCTTCCAGCCCCTTTCTTACCCCACCCCCCAGCACTCTAACTCCTTCAAATATCTACCTATCAAAAATCTAAAGAAAATTTTAAAACTCACTTCAAATATCCAACCCATTACATATATTCTTTCCCTATGTGCCCACTTGCCCAAGTTTATAACCATCCTTTTAAATTATTTTCCTTAAAAAATACTTGTACAAATTATTTTATTAAATAAAATAGTAATATTCCAGCTGATTACCTAGTCCTCCAATAAATACATAAGTACTTATAAAATGCCCAGGATTGTGCTAAGCATCAAAAACAAAACAATAAACAGCAACAAAAAATCATGTCACGTAATCCTCAGAACAACAGCTCAAAATAAGTGTTATGATTCTCACGTTCCAAACAGATTTTCTTACAGGTTTCACCAGTAAGTAGAGGATCTAAAATCCACCCACGTATGGGTGCATCTGACACTATGTTCCATGCAATTTACAGTGCATCTTATTGCCTCTCTAAGCGCTCAATTCCTTCTCCTACACATGGGAGTAGAACTCAGTTTTCCAGTATGGTAGCCACGAGCCACAAGTGGCGATTTAAATTTAAATTAACTAAAAGTAAACAAAATCTGAAATTCAATTCCTCAGTTACATTACCCACATTTCAAGGGCTGGTGGCCACCACACTGGATGGTGCAGACTACAGAACTCCCATCGTGTCATCAGCTCCGCTCGAGACCTGGAAGTAGAGACCACACCTACTCACCTCAGCAACTCATACTACGTACATGGTTCTGCCGTAAGTATTTGCTGAATCAAGCTAACTTGAATGTTTCTGTATAAATTATACTAAAATGGCAAATGTCTCAAATCTGTCAAGTTAGAATTTAAATATTGATAGATCATATTTATTTTTCAACTACTTTTTTCTTTGTACATATATAAGAAAATAAGATTGTCACTCACAATCTAGGGTCAATTAAACCTTAATTAAGAATCAAGTAAATGGCTATTAACCGGCATTGATTCATTCTTGATAATCACTCTAAACTGGAAAATGCCATTCTGTTTTACTTAAAATTCAAAGTTAATTCTGAAGGTTTTTTTAAACAATATTGACAGTATGGCATAGTGATTAAGAACAGGAACTTTATAGAGTGAGACAAATCTACGATCTAGTGCTAGCTTTGTCAGTTACTAACTGTTCAACGTAGGAAAATAAACCTTCCTAATGTGCAGGATGAAAATACCCACCTCTCTGGGTTTACGTGAAGTACTAAAAATGACACGTATGTGAAGTGCCCAGCACAACAGATCACACGTGTACTACCATATGTGAACCACCCAATAAATACCAAACACTTGGCTGAACAGTAAGCACCAATTCTCAGCATAGGACACTGAAAGGAATAAATACTTTCCTCACGCTTCTCTAATTATATCTAGAAGAAAATGATGAAGTTTCTTTCTTGTATCTATAACATACAAAAAAATTCAGAAATATTGAAATGACTGGATTTATGGGTTTGAGGCATTTTTTTTCTCTATAAGTAAATATGTGTAAATATAAACAAGATCATTATTTCCTGTATGGGGAAAAAAATAATAGTTTTCAGTCTGATCAATTTATTTCTTGGTACAGTAATTTATATTTCTTCCATAAAAAAAAGATGGAAAACGGAACACACCACTTGAAAAAAAGTATGTATTTAGAAAAGTTGGAGTCTTACAAAACTAGAAGCAAATGATAACATAGCACAGTGTTTAATCACATATGCTCTAGCTTTCCAATTTTCACGATTTTTAAAGGGACATGGTCCCACATTTGCTATGATTCCCACACCAGTATTTTCCACCCTATACTCTACAGCAATCACATGAAGCCAGAGGTTAAGGAAAGGTTTTATGATTAATAATATTCATAAATGGTCCTGAAATTTAAGTACGATATTGCGTAAAGGAGTATGTTTTTAAACATTCAAAGTACAAAACTAAAAGGACACAATAGTCTTAATGTGATCCTGCGCCTCAGGCAGATTACAGAACAGGTCACGTGAAGCAAGTCTGGATAACACGGAAATGCAGACGCCAAATGTAAGGACCTTGGGCATGAACCTACTACATTCTCTCCCTCTTGCGCGAGTCTCCCGTGGCTCAGGAGTAGACACAGGGACAGCTCCACAAGGGAGACTTCAACTGTGTTTGTTCCTACCAAAATCACTGTTTAAAAAAGGAATACCTTCTATATTATTTCATATGCTTCCCTATTTTAGAGTGATAAATCACTAAAGAAAGTGAAAATAATGATTATAAGATTTCCAAAACTGAAACCTTAGTTTTCAAATATCCAAAATACATTTTTTTTTTCAAAATACATTTTAAACTTAACTTACTTCTCTTTGAGTTCTGATACTTTCTGGCCAACAGAATTTAGAAGCTCCTCTAGTTTCCTTTTTCTGTCTTCAGTTTTCTTCAAATTTCTAAAATATAATTCCATTTTATAAAAGTCATTCTATTTTACATATCAACAACAGCAGAAACAAGCCCTTCTATCCCTTCTAAAGCCCTACCAAATGAAACCAAGGGAATTAAAAAAAAAAAAGATATTCATGCACAAAGATAAAGAGAATGAAAGAGAAAAGGACTGCACTGGAGTGACTTTAATAAAATTTTGAAAGGTGGTAAGTGACATAATGGAATGCAAAATGCCAAAAGTTGAGGGGCTGCAGGAAGAAAAGTCAAAGAATTCCCAATGCTCAGGAACTGAGGACAACAGGTCCTCTGAAGATAACAGAGCTGAATACAGAAAGTTTTCCAATAGTTGATATAATCAATCCATCAACCTCAGATTCCCTCCCACACTGAGAATGGACTATCCTCTTAACACATCCCTGAAGGTCAAGCTTAGAACCCTCACCCACCCCCACCCATACCCTAGGCAGAAAGTAGGAAGATTCTTCTAGAGAAGACTAGACTTACCTCCTCCCTGCAAAATTACCCACAACATCTGAGAGACTGCCGTCAAATGACCATCTCCCACTGCTGCGAATCTGTGCTTTGCACAAACTGACTAAAGGATCTGTCAAAACACAGACTCCAAGGCCTCACACCCTGGCACTCCCAGCATCTCTGACTCAGTAAGCGTGGACAGAGCTCAAAAATGGGGGCTCTTCCCAAGTTCCCAGGGGACGCTGATGCTGCTAGCTTGGGGATCCCACTTCGAGAACTACTGCAATAGAATAAGGCCTTCAAAATTGTGAGATTTAAACTACTTCTCACCTAGTACTGTAAACCCAGGTAATTTTAGACGGGCAAGATGTCAAAATATTTTTCATCCTATATACCCTTTCTAATGTGGAGGATGTGTTCTAGAAAAATGAAGGACTAAACTAAGAAAGAGAAGGACCCGAAACAAAAGAATACAATCAGAAAAAAAAAAAAAAAAAAAAAAAGAATACAATCAGAAAAGAGAAAGAGATGAAGATAGTCGCTGGAACCGTGGTGAAGAGAAGCCTGAAGAGAATAGCTGTTAGCAGCAGGCCTGGGGAAGACGGACCCACATTAGAACAGGAGGACAAAAGGCTCTAGGAGGGATAATAGTAAGAAAGAATACATAAAACACAGAGATTCTGAATATGGTTTAGGGTCTGTTTTAAGGCTGTGGATAAATATGTGATATGTCAACAGAAAAAAAATAATCAATTTTAAAAATGAGGAAATTATTAAGAAAAAACAAAAAGATGTACAAGAAAGGAAATATACCCATAAGATACGGTATGTCTCAACTGTGGAAAATACTTATATACTCAAAATAATATAAACATTTAATATTATTCATTACAAAAATATGTGACAAATTAACACAAAAATTTCACATAAGTATATTGAGAAAAAGAAGTATAGGCAGCTAACAGTCTCCTTGTCCAGGGTAAGAAGAGATGAGGTCACACACAGATCAATCGAGAACATAACATGCCTCTCCTGCGCATAGAACCAATGCTGACTTAGGAACAACCACCAACTAAAAGTAAATGTTAAACTGTCCCCCTACCTGCCCAGACCATGTGTTATAAAATATATACAACACATTTCCTAGAACTCAGAAGGAGAAAACAAATTTAAAAGCCCTAACTTTCCAAAACCTACTTTTTTGTACCTTAATATTACTCATTCACAAAATTTAACTCTTTGTAAAAGAACTTCTACCAATTTATCCTTCCAACAACATAATAATGGTAGGGGGGAAAAAATGAGTTGGTTCTGCTCTCCAACTTCTTTTAACTGCATTTTCTTTTGATCTGTTTAATTTAATTTTATTTAACTGACTCATGTTATATGTTTTAATGCTGTCAGATGCCTTTTTAGGTATAAACAAGAAATATAACCTAGATAAACCCCAATAACTAAGTTATTAAATTGGTGCAAATAAACAAAGGTTAGACTTCTTTATATTCAGTATCTCACTCACGATTCTAATCCCGCTTGCTCAGTTTCCAGAGGCTGAATGCGCTCCAGGACGTGGGAGTACTGGACGTTTGCTCTGACCCACGCAGCCAGAGGGGCGGCCGCCGTGCTGGCCCGCTTCGCATTCTGAAACATCCATCTCAAGTTAGCCAGCACCCTAACTTCATTTCAAACAAAAGCAAAGGTAATCCTGGTCTATTTTGCTTAAGCATTTAATAATTTATCCCCCCAAATGAAGTTTTTGGTTGACAGTTAAATAACAATAATGTGAATTGTTATTTTCATTAAGATAACCTTGAACTTTTGCTTCCAAATAAATATTTGGAAGCACATAAATATTTAATAAAATGATATTTTATTGACCTAAACACTCCATCAGCTACATTTATAATGAATATGTGTCTGTCCACAATGATGTTCAGGCATCAGTTCTTCTCTTCTGTCCATGGGACACATCCTTATTGGATAAAAGCAACCCTGAAACCATGTTACCAACATCAGAGATGATGCACAAAACATTTTGTATAAGAGATCTAAAAAAAATCCCAGCATCATGGAATTTAAACTGTTCACTGAAATGAGATACAAGTGTCCTCAGGCAAGTATCTGTTATTATATGACAAATATGCAGGAAGGAAGAAAGGCAGACCAGGCAGGCGGGAAGTTCAGAAATGACAGACTGATACTAAGATGCAAACATGTTGCACGTACGACACTGACTGTGCTCTCCAGACCCACCTTGATTCCCGCCCACCTGTCTGCCGCTCGAGGCTTCTGACACACAAGCCCTACGGCCCACTATTATCGTTTACTCTTAGTCTTTAGGCAGTGTAAATAATCGACAATGAAAAGCCATCACGTTTTAACAAGCAGAATATTACAGAGCATGGGAAGGGGACTGATGGCGTAGCTGTTAAAAATTACCTTTGAATCAAAAGATCCCTTATTTTTATAAAGAAGTTCTTCAACGCTCTCTCTTATTTCCTTGGGAATATTTCGTGCATCAAAAGTTGCTATGTCTTCTCTTACACCTCTTTTTGCAAGGAAACTAAAATTAAAACATTACTTCAAATGAGGCTAAATAAAATTTGCCATTTCTGACAATAACACCGATTTAACAAAATGGTGTATGCAGTACTTTTCATCCACTAGTTAACAAAACATAGGGTCCTGAAGTATCCCAGCTTCTCATGTGCTGCCCGTCACTTTGTAAAGACCACAAGGGTGAACTCCAGAGAGAGGCCCCGCGGTTCCTCGCCTCCTGTCGATAATGTGCAGCGGTGAAGGGCACGCTTCACAGTCCTCGGATTCTACCCACATCCCTTTCTGTGAACTGCTCTGTGCTCGTCTGTTCTAGGATAGGAGAGAAAATTTCCTGACTCCGTTCTAAGAAAGGGACTCCCAAGTGTTCCTCAACCTGCACCTCCCTTGCCACCTCTGGATAGGAAAGGACTCCACCATGACCCCCAGTCCCAGTGTGGATCTGAGTGTGGGCACAAACCACAACACCGTCACCAGAACATGAAAGCTGAAGCCACGCGGCTGCATGTTTCGTTAACACCCGGCCTTTTCTCTCCCTGTGCGTGTCTTGTATTATTTACAGGGCTCCTGCCCTCGCTGCTTCGGCCCTTGTCTGACTCCACCAAGAGTGCAAGACTCTGAGGAGAACGACAGTATTTCCTTCATCAGTAAATCACAGGAAACACAATGCTCTGTACCGTGGGCGGGCCAAATAAATGATGGCATTTATTGAGATGTTCTTCAAGATTTTAGGCATTCTTTTTTTCCCTCTGTGGATACTTATATCACACGTTATGGAGAAAGGAAAATACAGATCTTGATATAGGATCACACAGAGTATCTTGAAATATTACAGCAAAATGTGTAACTAGGTAATTAATGAAGCACAGTTTGAAAAAGAATGTAAGAAGTATTTAAAAATATGAAAGAGGGGCGCCTGGCTGGCTCAGTCAGTACAGCATGTGACTCTTGATCGTGGGGTTGTGGGTTCAAGCCCCATGCTGGTTGTGGAGATTACTTAAAAATAAAATCTAAATCAATCAATCAATCAATCAATCAATGTGTACTTCACCAGTGAAATAATAACATTTTTCACAAATTCAAAAACTTACCTTTTCATGCTCACCCAAGATGTATCAAAGATACCCATCAACCTTAAAACGCCCTCAAGAATATCTCTGATGACATCAGGTGGCATACGCAGTGAGCGAATTTCTGAAAGAGATTCTGGCTTAATGTTTCCAACTGCTAGTTTAGCTTCATTGACTAGAGGCTAAAAAGACAAAGAGCATTTTTACTTTCAAAAAATATATATGTAAAAATCACTAACTCTAGAAGTTACTGAATATTTGTCATTTTATTAAAAATAACTCGTTATTAATATCCTTTCTCTTCAAATTATCAAAATGCTTTGAAACCCACAAAATACAAAATCTTCAAATTCTTACCACCATAACTGCAAGAGTCTAATTTAGAAAAAATCCCATTTGTTTTGAGACAATTTGCCATTTTCAAGAGGCTCCTTATATTCTATGACTAGCTGGCTAATAACCTAGTGAGGAGCCAAAAAAGAGCCTGAGAGTTTGACTTAATTTCCCTACAACACATTTTTCTCCTCGACACTCAAACAACATGGCTCACAGGAACGCGGATGGTTTCTGATGACCTCCCTTCTCCCGGCCGACCTTGCTTCCTGCGTCTCTTCCATGAAGACCATTCGGTTGGAACCCATGCTTGCTAATACTGCTAGAACTCCCAGACACAGCCGGGAGTCAGACAACGCTCCGCTGTAGCCTACCTGCACCTCCTTTAATTCATCGTCAATTTTGTTTTTTCTTTCTTCAATTTTAACAACTTCTTCTGCTATTTTGTGCTTCAGTCTTTCAAGTTCTGTCTTTTGCTCACTAGCATCCTAGAGGAATATTTAAATGGTATTCCAATTAATTTTCATGCACTTGATATTTTAAAGCATGATATCAAAAATATAAATTATTTTAAAATAACATCTTCTATTAAATGTTTTCCTAATGTTAATTGACATGAAAGTTTCTAAGATGCCTGGGAAATGAATGTTATAATTTACTACGTATTTACTATCAGGAAGTTTCTATGCTTTATTTGTTTTAATGTTTCCAAATAGCAAAGCAATAAATGCTTATTATATAAAAACCAAGCAACTCAGAATTGCAAAACTTAGAAAATTATCATAATATACATTTAACACTTGGAATAAATAATTCAGAGAGGTTGGTACTACTATGCTCATCTCATAAATGAACAAACTAAAGTCTTCTATAATTTTTTTTTTTTAAAGATTTTATTTATTTATTTGAGAGAGAGGATGAGAGGAGAAAGAGAGCACATGAGAGGGGGGAGGGTCAGAGGGAGAAGCAGACTCCCCGCTGAGCAGGGAGCCCGATGCGGGACTCGATCCCGGGACTCCAGGATCATGACCTGAGCCGAAGGCAGTCGCTTAACCGACTGAGCCACCCAGGCGCCCTAAAGTCTTCTATAATTCTAACAGTAAAGACTAACAACTCTTAGAGACTACAGTGTATTAGAAGTTTGTGTTTCTACACTTTAGACAAAAATTGAAATCACGATACAATATGATGGTAAATAAATCAACAAAAATCAGTACAGATTCAAAGAACAGTAAATGACATACTAATAACACGTGAACTCTCTGTTCATGCATGCAAGTATCAAGGATCCCACATACGGAAGGAGGAAATTTGTCAAGAAATCTTTCGAGAGTCCTTACATAGGTGGTTCTCAACCACGTTCTGATCACCAGGGAGCTTAAGAACGAACACCTGGTGTCTGTTGCCAGGTCTATCGAAGCACTTCATCTGGGTGCAGGCAGGGTGGGTGCAGGCAGGGTGCACAAAGACCTAAAGCCGCACCAGGTGGCTCCAATCTGGAGCCGAAGCTGAGACTCGGGGCACCGGCCAGCTCCTCCACAGTCCCACCCTGAACCCCCCTGCATGTCAGTGCGACTGGAACGTGGGCTCCTCAGAAGGGAACTCACGCGGGGTTCCATCACACACGCCAACATCCTCCAAGGCCCAGCACGCGTGTTGTTCTGCCACCTGGAAGTGAGCCCTACTCCAGGATTTTACAGTATTTAATCTGTACTTTTCTCAAGTCACAGACCTGGAACTGCAAGCTTTGCAAGTTCACACAGTTTGATATTTAGCTATCTCTCCAGATTATACTTTGTTATAAAATAATGAACAGAAATGTCTACTTAGAGTTAAGCAAATTTACTAGCATACAAGATACCCAGCGACTCTTCTGTGTCTCAGCTAGGCAAGACAGCTAGCTACCGTCATAGAAAACCCTTCTGCGGGGGGCCGACCACAGGGCAGCACAGCCGTCCGAGTCCGACTGCAGCTCGCCACTGTGAGGGCACATGGGCACACGCACTGCTCAATGGTCTCCTTTCATCAACAGCATTATCCTTCACACAGCCTTCACTTGTTTCATATTTCAAATTACTCTTCAAAGGTAAGGAGGTGACAAGTATTTTTTAATAATAAAAATGGCTGTCTGCTTTACATAAATCTTTATAGTAATTTGTTTCCAAAATACCTTGAGGAAAAAGTGATGCTAAAGTTTTATAGTATGAAAATTACATTTGATTTTCTATTACACTACTTACCAGGTCAGGTACTCAATAAAATTATCCTGGAAACACTGAATGTGTACATAACCATTATGTATCTGGAAATGTTACTGCTTTTGAAAGTTTCCCAAATGCCAATGGAATTATTTTGGCATATCAGGGGAAATTTTGATTATGTCATTCAAGTCAGTCTAGATAATCCTCCTGTGAAGCTCACAGTCCTTAAGAACCCTACCCACATTCAGATTTCCAATGAAGACGACCAAACTCACAAAGAAAGCTTCTTTTGTGAATAAGAATAAAACAATCAAGTATGAAAAAGTACATAAGAAAAGTGGGAAGAGTGGGAAATAGAAGATTTCATAAAGTACCCTCCGAGAGCTAAGGAGAGATGAGGCAACAGTGAAAGAGACCAATAAAAAGGGACGCTGCAGGGGCGCCTGGGTGGCTCAGTCATTAAGCGTCTGCCTTCGGCTCAGGTCATGATCCCAGCGTCCTGGGATCGAGCCCCGCATCGGGCTCCCTGCTTGGCGGGAAGCCTGCTTCTCCCTCTCCCACTCCCCCTGCTTGTGTTCCTGCCCTTGCTATCTCTCTCTCTCTATGTCAAATAAATAAATAAAATCTTTTAAAAAAAAAAAAAAAGGGACGCTGCCAAAAGGAAGCATCTCCTGAGAGATAACATCAGAGCAGGAATGAAAAGCTCAAGAGGTGAATTAGAAAATGAAGAATTTTTAAAGGAAGTAGAGCAAAAAGGGAAGGAAAAAGGTGAGAAAACATAAGAGAATCAGAGAAGCAGTCAGGGAAGTCCACAGTCCAAGTAACAAGCATCCAGGAAGGGAAGACAGAGACATGGAGGGAGGGGAGTATGGCCACATGCAGTAAGGACACTTCCCTGGACTGCGAAAAGAAGTGTCCTGGGGCAGAATCCACACGGTGTCCAACACAGTGAATGAAAGGAAATCTAAGCCAAGGCAGATCATGTCACCTTCAGAACAATGACTTCCACAAAGTCTCAAGAGAGGAAAAAAGAAAAAGATCACCTGCAAAGGATCAGAACTTAACAGAACTTGGGAGTGTTTCGGTCACGACAACAGAAGTTGGAAGAAAATGTCTGGAAACAAGGGGATTACATTTCTTGATGACTGACCATGCTGAGCATCTCTCTGTGTGTTTACTGGCCCTTCCTATGTCTTCTACCATGCAGCGTAGGAGGGTTCCCCTTTCTCCGCATCCTCACCAACACCTGTTGTTTCTTGTGTTGTTGACACAAGATCTTCAAATCTTTTGCTCATTTTTAAATTAGACTTTTAGTTTTATTATTGTGTTCTAATGGTTTCTGTATATTCTGGATACAAGTCATTTATCAGATTTATGTTTTGTAAATAATTTCTCCCAGTCTGTGACTTGCTTTTTAATTTTCTTCAGAACTTATTTCACAAAGGAGAAGTTTTTAATTTCGATAGGGTCCAATTTCATCCATTTTTCTTCTTCTTCTATTTTGGTATCACATCTAAAAAATCTTTGTCTCACCCAACATCATTTTCCCCTGTTTTCTTCCAAAGTTTTATAATTTATGCTGTACATTTAGATCTAGGACCCATATTCAGTTAATTTTTATACAAGTTTAAGGTAAAGGTCTTATTTTTCTCTACATGGATATTTAAATACCATTGTTTAAAAAGACCATCCTTTCCCCATTTAATTGGCATTTTGTATAAAATCAATTCAAGTTTTAGTTTATTTCTGAACTTCATAGTGTTCCAATGATCTGTCTGATTATCACTACACCAGTATCCACTGCCTGGATCACCATAGCTCAAGTCTTTTTTTTTTTTTTTTTTTTTTTTATTTTATTTATTTACTTAGAGAGCAAGCAAGAGAGAGAGCGTGAGCAGGGGGAGCGACAGGCAGAGGGAGAGGAAGAAGCAGACTCTGCCCTGAGCAGGGAGCCTGATGTGGGGCTCGATCCAAGGACCCTGAGATCATGACCTGAGCGGAAGGCAGACGCTCAACCAAATGAGCCACCCAGGCATCCCTCAGTAGTAAGTCTTTGAATCATAATTCTTCCAACCTTATTATTTTATGAGTTTTTGTGCCACTTCCTTTTATTGAGATTTATACATTAGTCTATTAAATATTGAAGTTAATTTTAATTAAAAGAGGCATTAGACTTGCAGTGAGGTTAATAGTCACCAACATGGAGATGGACAAACATATATGAGATATAATCAAGAAGATAAACTTACAGAACTTAGTGATTCATGAAAGGTAGGGACTGAGAGAACATATGTCTAATATAATTTATAAGTTCTGTCTTGAACAATTAGCTATATTGTCAACAACACAAGAAACAACAGGTGTTGGCGAGGATGCGGAGAAAGGGGAACCCTCCTACGCTGTTGGTGGGAATGCAAGCTGGTGCAGCCACTCTGGAAAACCGTGTGGAGGTTCCTCAAAAAGTTGAAAATAGAGCTACCATACGACCCAGGAATTGCATTACTGGGTATTTACCCAAAGGATATAAAAACACTAATTCAAAGGGGCACATGCACCCCAATGTGTACAGCAGCATTATCTACAATCGCCAAATTATGGAAGCAGCCCAAGTGTGCACCGATAAAGAAGATGTGGGATAGAATACACATACACACTGGATGTGACCCAGCCATAAAGCTCAGAGACGTTTCAGAAGACACGTCTAGCAGATTACTGGGGATTTGAGTCTGAAGCTCAGATGAGAGCGTAGGGCTGAAGGACAAGGGAAATGGATGTTGCGGGGGTCAGCACAGAGCAGCCTGGGAGGGCACGCGGACACAGCGCCTGCGCGGACAAGAACGTCAAAGACGTCTCCTCTGAAAGGTTCGACAAAGGCAAAGCAATGGCAAAAAGTGGATAGAATCAAAATATTAAAGTATCATGAAAGTACAAGTAAAATGAATAAAGACTTATTTTGTAAATCTTGAGAATATTAAAGGCAGGAGAAAAAAACCCTTGAAGCCTGAAGGAGATAATTTTTTAAAAAATAAAAGGAAATCTCAACTTAACTAGCAGAGGGTAAACAAAATCGCTTACAGACAAATCTATACCAACGTAAAATGTTATATATTTACAGGGTTTATATATATTAGTATATGGTGAATTGAGAAGAATATAGCTATGATTTTAAAATAACATGGGAAAATACTATGCTTTTCCACAAAAGCTCAAGTACTTAATACCATCAGCCTGACTCAGCACAGACAAGCAGTATTTTTTAAATCCACGTAAGTAAAAATGTAAGTTTTCACAGTAATAATCAGGCAGATGTGGTCTCCCTACGTCTGCATTTTCGTGCTCCCTCAAAGCGTTACCTGCATTGACACTGTGATCTCTTGCAGAGCAGCATCTGCTTCGTCTTGCTTAGTTTTAAGTAACACACTTTGTTCTCCAGCTTTTCTGTTCAGCTCGTCCACAAGAGCTTTAGCTTCATTCAGTTTAGACACACCAGCCTGTATCAATAAAATTAACCAACATTAAAAAAAAAGGAATTTTATACTCTTTATCCTGATGACGGATAAAGAAGATGTGGGATATATATACAATGGGGTATCTTTAAAAAGAGTCAAGGAAAAACCTAAGTGTGTACACATCAAACACTTGCAAGTGGACTTGGGTAGCTCCTTACTGCTAATTATAATGACTTATTCCACCATACACCCATTAAGGTGTGGTACAAGACTCCACAGAGACATAAAAGAAAAACAGACTTTAAAGTGTCACAGTAAAGCCGAACAGATCAACACATACTTGGGAGCTTCAAGACCAGGATTTTTACCCGCTGAAGTCTGTGGGAGAGAAAACAGAAAGCGAGGAAAAACTCGGCAAAGCTTTTCCACTTCTCAGTCTCCCTGACTACATAAAAGGACTCAAGGCCTACTCTTGGGTGGACGTCTGACCCTGCGCTGGCCGTTACTGCACCCCATCCCACTACCCGTGAGTAATCCAAGGAATGAACACGAAAATATTCCCCCTCTATAATATGAGTTGGGTTTTTGTCACCTAACAAATGAGAAGATTTCGGGACACAGCAGTGGCAAAAAGCAACATAACCAGTATTTACTGAGCACCCAACAGAGAGGACAGCATCATGCTGGTTCTTTATCTAACTGACCCAATTAGGTTGCAGGTCAACAGATCTATGTAATTTACCCAAAGCACCCCAGACAACTAAATCAAGAAAATACCTTCCCAAAGCACGTATAGTTAGTGGCTTGCTCTGAATGAAAGAGGGGTAAAGATAACTTTGTCAATGATTAGGGTGGATCCTACTTATGACACTAACAGAGAGACACTACGACTTTGGAGAGGAAATGCCCTCCGACAGCTTCCGAGGCTGGCATTTTAATGCCACATTGAAGTTGAAGCTCTGTAACTACAGAAATGGAGAAAGACAACTGTTCAGAATGTACTGACATAGATAAAAGTATTATTTTATGAGGTATAATTTTAATTTTAAAGGTTATTATAAAGCTTAATCTCAGATATTATGCTTCAATTAATAATAGACATTTCTGAATTTCTAAATACACTTTGATTTTAAAGAAACTTTTAAAGATCACCATAAACTATCAAAAAAGCACATAAATACCATCCAGTGGAGAAAAAGAACAATTACTGAATCTAAATAAAAATTACAAAACCGTTAGTAAACCTATGAGCAATACGGGTAGGTGAGATTGTTTTAAGGCCTGTAATACCGTACTCATTCATACCAAATACATGCCACAGGCAATGGACTATAATACACATAAATCCTTGTACCCCACAGATAAGTAGAACAGTTTGAGATTACCAATACTGCACCTGCAAATGACTTTGTCTTTTTAACAGTTCGTTTTTCTTGCTGCTACTGATGGCAGAATACACGCGTAAAAAGGTCATGTATCGGCTTGGGGTAGCACCACATGCTTTACAAGATTCATGGATTAATAAAAATGATTTTAGAAAATCAGGATCAACTAGAAAGAGAAAACAAAATGATTTAACATATATATGATCTATTGCGAATTAGAGAAAATCATCTTAACTACATTTATTTCATACCAGATATCTCCACCTACAGAACTATAACTACGAGGTATCATCTCTGCATAAAGGTACATCTATTCGCAGCTCCCATGTTCCTTATGACTTTGAATTACTTAATTTCAGTGGTCTCTATCTGTCCACTGTGACATATTTGCTCTGAACACTTTTATTGCTGTAAGAGAGAGAAATCTACAGGTTGTCATAGCATATAAATTAGTTGGAACTACAGAACTTGTAATCTAGAAGCAAACACAATAAAAGCTCCTTGAATGGAAAAGAGATACCAAACCAAGAAACACAGGTCCACTGTCATTTGACACATGGCGAAACAGGACCTCAAAAGCCAAAAAATGACAAGTCAGTTCACACAGGATGCAACACATCCATTACTAAACATGTTATCTTCCTCTCATCACCTCAATCTATGTTCTTTCATATTCTCTACCCCGGTCAGTAAAGTCAACTTCTCATCACTGTTCTAAGCCAGAACCCCAAGAAACGTCCTTGCGCCCTCCTTCCTCTAAGGGGTCCCCTTAGAGTGCCCCCTGATGCCCCCAAGTCCATTCCTTCCTCTTGGATTACTGCAGTGGCCTTCCACAGGGCTCTGATCGCCTTCAGTCTTTCTCCTTACACCCCCCTAGTTTCCAGTAATTGAGGAAAAGGATGGACCCAGACACTTCTGTTTCTACAGCAAGACTCTGGTTACGTCTCTGCTAAAATCGCTCCATGACCGCAGATCACCCAAGTGTCAGAATCCAAATTCCTTAGCACGACACGGGAGGCTTGTCATTACTGAAGCCGCCTGCCTTCTCTTCACCTAGTACTCTACTGCTCACACGTCCATGTCTCAGCCGTTGGGCTGCTCACAGATCCAGTAAAATAGCTCGTTTATTTCTTGGAGCTTTTTCCATGCTAGTCACTCTTCTCCAAACTGCCCATCTGCCCATGTCCATTTGCTGCAACATCTGCTAGTAAGCTGTCTCACTTTCAAAGGCTCTTCATATCAACTCCTACCATCATTTATCTCACTGTATCAGAGTTTATGTTTATATAGAACATAATTCTTGCTATTCTTTAGTACCGTAGGAGCTCCTAAGTCATCTCTAGTATCCAGCCCAGTACCTAAAGTAAAACAAGTTCAATAACTATTTGGTGACTAGATGGTAAGATAAATAAATTAATGAATGCGCTATGATACTAAAAAAAAAAAGACCACATTCAAAATTAATTTGGAACTGGAAAAAATAATGAAAGTATAATTAAGAAAATATTGTGTCCACACTCAAACAACACCCTAAAACGTTTTCATGTGTGAGTTGCACGCTGTGACATAGCTAAGTGAAAAGTGAAAACTAATAGAGAAGCTTAGCCTTCTAGCCAAAGACCCCAGACAATGTAAGTAGAACATCCGATCATCCAGGTCAAGAATATAATTGTTTAACTTCTTAAATGTAAACAATAGATAATGAGTTAGGTCCTGCAGAAAATGACATAAACACGAGTTTATAAATACAGAGAGCTTTAGTTTAGTTTTCATCAAAAGAAATCTTTGTTAGGAGACACCTGGGTGGCACAGTCAGTTAAAAGCATCCGACTCTTGGTTTCAGCTCGGGTCGTGATCTCAGGGTCCTGGGATCGAGCCCCGCATCAGGCCCCACACTCAGTGCAGAGTCTGCTTGGGATTCTCTCTCCCTCTCCCTCTGCCCCTCCCTCTCTCTCTCTCAAACAAATAAATAAATCTTTAAAAAAAAAAAAAAGCCTTTATGCTAGTTTATCATTATTCAAATTCACAATCACTGTGAATCTTTAACGAATCTATGACACCAAAAAAATGGCAATTATTTTACAAAGTCAATTTCATCAAAATACTACCTGAGTTTTTTTTCTTTTCTACTTTCCTTTTTTTGTCGCTGTATTTTTCTTCGCCATCTGTTTCACTGAATAACATTTCAGGTATCTAAAACAGGAAGAGCATTTCTTCAAACCTCAACTCAATAGGAAAAAGTTTAAATAAATCCAGTATCAAAGGTTAAAAATAAAAAGAACACTTTTCTACTAGGTTTCTTACTAGAGTAAGAGAAATAATGAATATATCCATCTTCAGAATTTTTAGAATTCTAATATTCTAGAATATTTCCTAGACAAGATTTTTGACACACATCAACCATTAATTGATTGCAAATTACTGACAACATCTCACTTGAAAAATGATTAGACCATATGAAATGAAGGAGCTCACAGTTTGGATTGAATTAGAAAATAATCACAAATGCCATTTAAAATCATACAATAAGAAAAATAAAAAGCTTTATTTGGCATCAGGGCATAGAGGGATAGTAAGGATTCTGAGGTCTCCTGAATAAGAAGGAACTAAACGTAAATGAAAAGAACTCCACAATTGGTAATTAACAGTTTCATAATTGATAATCTTAAAAACTGTTGTCGAGCTACCAATAGAATTCTGCCACTATCACAAGTAAGATCAAGTTTCATAAACAGATCCCATTATTATAATGGAAAGTATGAGAATATAATAAGAGTACTCATTTAAAATATACAAAAAAACCCAGAAGTAAAATAAAATACTCTTAGTTTCCCACCCAGGAAGAAAATTAAAGCAGCAGAACACGGACATTTTTGCAAGAGGAAGCCCAAGGAGCCCAGGTATGTGGGTCAAAGCCTCACTTTCTGAATCTCCCAGACTAAACACAATGTCACAAAAAAGACCCCTTTACTGACGAAGAATTTGAAAGTGCCATGGTTCGTGACCAGAGAGTACTGTTTTTTCCTCAAACATCTTCACTGATTTCTGCCAAAACCCTGGAGCCTTTGGGAGAGTATTTCAAATTTATCCTTTCAAATAAACTGAATTTTTTTTCTTAGGAAACTTGCTTTCTTTAAAATAGTCTATCCCTGGGCGCCTGGGTGGCTCACTTGGTTAAGCGACTGCCTTCGGCTCAGGTCATGATCCTGGAGTCCCGGGATCGAGTCCCGCATCGGGCTCCCTGCTCGGCGGGGAGTCTGCTTCTCCCTCTGACCCTCCTCCCTCTCATGCTCTCTGTCTCTCATTCTCTCTGTCTCAAATAAATCAATAAAATCTTTAAAAAAAAAAATAGTCTATCCCTTCTGTGAACTAGCTTGATTGTGTAAACATTGCACAAGATATACATATATCAGAACATCACACCGTACACATTAAATATATACAACTTTTATTTATCAGTTTGTATCTCAATAAAGCTGGGTGACAAAACAATGCTCCAGCCCCAAACAACACCCTCCATCTGCAAAGTGTTCCTGGCTGGATTGGCCCACACTCCCCTCTACCTCCATTTTCCCCCTCGGAGATAAAAATGGCATATTAACTCTATTAATTCCTATTAATACCTTCACCTCTCAATTCCTTCAACTCCTGTCCTTCTGGTGTCTTCTCCACCACCTTTTCCTCAGCTAATCACGCCCTACCGCAAATGGTCAGACCCTGAGACCGTGTCACTAACAAGAACTGAAATCATTCCATCATCTCACTTGCAAATATCCCAGCCAGCCCCAGCTCATTCCCTTCGTAAGGCCAATAAACCTCATGCCCCACTAAGACCTGCGATGTATGAATTTGAAAATCGCCACACTGTCGTTCACCGTCTTCCTATCTCGAGCTCGCAACTCCCTCGGCCCTCACTCACTCGGCTGTTCTCGAGTCACAAAGCCCCAATGCCGGCCAAGTGCAAGTGAGCGCCCACGCTGACTGGCCTCCGCTCAACTCTCTGATTGCTAGCGCACGCCAGCCCTATGCCACCCAGCCCTCGTACCCCCTTCTCCTCAGCCTCCCCCTCTTTCACTAGTCCAAACTGTTCTGCGTATCTTCTTGCATCCCTTCAGGGTCCCACAAACTCTCCCCTCGGCTTTTCTCTCAACTCATCACCTTGCTGTCGCTCACTGAGAAAAGAGAAACCATCAGAAGCCTGTGCACCACGCCCTGATACCACACCTGCCCACTCACCTGGAGCTGGGCCCCTGCGCCCTGCTTTCTTCGCTGCAGGGGCCAGTCCCTAGTCCTCTCACTTGTGCGCCAGGCCACGACACGGCTGCACAATGTTCCCCTGCCTTTTTCGCACGTTCTTACTTGTTTGCATTCCCGACGGCATACGAACATGCAATAGTATGTCCCATTACAAGTTTTAAAAAAACAAGTATTATTTTTACCTACTTCCTTCCTACTGATCCATGTCTCTTTACAACAAAATCCCTCACAAGAGGTGACCACACTCACTCTCTCCAATCTCCTTCTCACTGTTTCTGGAGCACATTCCAGTTGGCGGCCGCTAACTGAAACTGCTTTCTCAGCCTCACAATGAGCTCCCTGCTGCCGGAGCCGAAGTCAGCCCCCAGGCCCCATCCACCTGTGCGCACCACTGCCCTGAAACGCAGCCTTCTGCTCATCTTCACACTCTGCTGGTTTCTCCCCCGCTTCCCCACAGCAGCCCCTTCTCTGTATCCTTTGCAGATCCCTCGTCTTCACGTCAACCTCTTCATGTTGAACAAGAGCCCAAGACTTCAGTCCTTGACTCTCTCCACCTTGTAGTCAACGCTCATTCCTTGGTGGCATCATTCATTCTCAGAGCTGTAAATACCACCCATACTCTGACAATTCCCAGTGTTTTATCCTGGATGCCTGACCCTTCTTTCCCCTGAACTCCAGACTCCTATACCCAGATGCCTTCTCCGTCCTGCAGTCTGGAGGTCTGACGTCTCGTAAAGAACACACCTAAAACTGCAAGCCTCATATCCTCCTCTCAAAACGCTCTTCTCAGTCTTCCTGTTCTCCGTACTCCATCCTTCCAGGGACTTAAGCCAACATCCTTGGCAGTATCCTTGCATCCTCACCTCCTTTTACATCTTAGTACAATCTGTCAGCAAATTCGGTTATTTCTACAGTAAAGCATATTCAGAATCCAACCACTTCCCACCGCCTCTCCTCCTCCATCCCTAATGCACACCATCCTTCTCTCTCACTGGATTACTGCAACAGCTTTGTAACTAATTCTACCCTTGCCTTTGAGAGTCTATTCCCAACCCGGAAGCCAAAGTAACCCCGTTAAAACATTAGAACGGTGTGTCAAAAGCCTCCAAAGGTTCCCTCACCTGTTTCCAGGAAAAGCTAAACTCCTTAGAATGGCTCCCAATGCCCCATCCTAACTGCTGTCCTCTTACTTCCCTGACCTCATCTCCAACTACTCTCCCTCTGAATCACTCTAACCGCTGACTGGGCTTCCGGCTGACCCTCAGAATCACCAGGCACGCTGTCGGCTCAGGATCTCCCTGAAGGAGACGTTCCCCCAGCGACCCCCCAAAACCTCGTAAACCCCATGAGGGCAGGGACTTTCATCTGCTTTTTCTCTGCTATAACCCCAACAGATAGAACAGTGGCACATATTAGAGACCCGATAATTACTTCTTAATGAAGCCTCTTGTTCATGTGGCCTCTTAAGACTGGAATAATTTTCCTGTCCTTTATCTACCTGCTGAAATCTAACTAACCTATCATCTCATCTGTAAAACCTTATCTCTTATCTCAAATTACAGTCCTCCCTCTGACTCACGATAGGCAATAGTCTGTACTTCTTTACGCAAAAACGAAGAAATGAATGATCGAGAATATAAATATTATTCAAAGAAATAATCCTGAAAAGTATTATTTATCAAACAAAGCAATGGCAGAGGCTTCCACTTAAGATGGTTCAATGAGTTCACACTTCAAACACATCCCCCTCCCAACACTTAGCACCACAATGATAGATATTCTTTAAAAGATTTAATTTTTTTTAATTTAAGAAAATGGCTAAAATTATTGCTACAATGTTTTTATCACAGGCTAGCTAACGAAATGAATAAAATTTTAAAAGTACAATAAGTACCTCTGTAGTCCTTAAGAACATGAAGTTCTACACTCGACTAAAATGTCATATAAGAGCAAAAAGAAAAGAGAGAGGTTTTCAAACATGTATATTCAGTGCCACAATTAAGGTAATGTAATAAACACCAAAGCAAAGTCAGGAAAATCTGTAACTTCAAAAAGAAAGTATGCTATTTTTCATTTCCATACTTAAATGTTAAACTTACTTTCCTCATGCTGCTATCTGACCAACCCTCCATCCACAACACCTGGCATTTCTTATGCAAAGCTGGATTACTCTCACAGTTTATTATGAAGTTTAAATTTGCAGAATCCATTATCAAGACGATATGCAAGTTTTGTTGAATTCCTAAAAAAAATATAAGAAAATTACCATGGACATTACAACAATAATAACTGGGGAAATCTATATATGGTCTGCTTTTATGAGTTTAAAATTTTCTAAAATGAAATGGTAGGAGCCATTAAGCAATATTACAGTTATGATTTTTATTTTTGTTAAAAAATACTTGTGTGTGTGTTTGTGTGTGCATGCTAAGAGAAAAGATGCAGAAGGAGTTCGGGAAGAAGGCAAGTGTATGTACCAGATTGCTGTTTGGATGTTACTTTTCAAATGTGAAACTGGATTCTACTTTACAATTTTTCTTTCAAGGATTTTGGTTTCAATATTCACAAGCAAATTGATCTCCAATTTTCTTTTAGGAGAAATAAATTTTCCTGTTTCATCAACATTGTTTTCCCTTCATGAAAGGGAATTTGGAAACTTTGCTTCATTATCCATGTTCTGAAACTGTTTTGAATAGCACTGGGATGACCGGTTTCTCAGAGGCCTGGTAGAGTTTCCGTGTGAACTTGAAGGAGAGGGAGCAGACAGGAGCTCTTTAACCGGCTTCTCTGTTTCAGTAATAAATGTTCTTTTAGGGAAAGAAAGCAGCTAAGTGTTGTAGTACTGTCTGGGTGGTATTATTAGTGACTTCTATCGACTTCTTCAATGTGAGGTATTTGCAGTGCACATAAAACCGCTTCTGTGATCAGAAAGCTGCTGAGCCAGAAAAAACTAGAGAGTCTGGCAAAATCTAAACAGTTCGATAATTTTCTAAGATAGGAAGTTCTGAACACTAGTTTTACCACACAGGAACAAAAGCAGTGAAGTAAATATTCCAAGGAACATGAAAACACTTTCATCTTTCCCTTCTGCTAAAATTTTGCTAACATGCTTTTACTATAGGTTGGCTTTTCTAAAAGCACCATAAAAAAGAAAAAAGTATAAATTACCAAATAGACCCAAGATTTAAGATACCTTTGCAACCTAATTAGAAAATATGGCAAATTAAATGGTACTTATTTCACATGAACCAGAATTTGAATTGATGAATTCAATACAGTCACTTACTATATGTGAAGTAATTGAAGACTGGTCCGAAAAAACCATCCTGCGAAGCCTCATCCTTGAGAGGCAACAGCAAAGGCTCTAATTCTTCCAGGGTATAGAGTCCAGGAACTTCACCTACGGAACACGGCACTTCTCGTGAGTTTTAGCTGCATCACCCCAGCTGAAACACACTTTACATCCACAACACTTGTTCTATTTTTGTATCAGTCTGCTCTTATTCAGGCTGTTTCCAAAAATACATAACCCTATCACCTCTCTGTTACTCACAAATCTCCCTCTGTTGCCTTCATTTGCTAAAACTCAAACTCCTGAGCAAGCCGTTCGAGACAGTGGACCATCTAGCTGTCCACCTGTCTTTGCGGGTTCTTCTCCACCCCTCCCATACGAGACCTTGTATTCTAGCCTCAGTGAACGTCTTTGTGTCCCATAAATATAATGAAATACTCCCTCTTCCTGGAATTTATATGCACAGCCTTCCCCTGGCCTTTACCTTCCCCCCCAAATTACCATGTGTCCCAGGAGACACTGCTGTGCTGACTTCCCGGGTGCTGGGGAGAGCACTCTTTCTCTCTCCCACATCTAAACATGTCACTGTTCAGCATGTATCACATCACGTAACCATGAATGAAGTATTTTTCCTTTCCTGCTCAATTAGATTCTGAATTCCCAAAGGACAAATTTGATCATGTTCAATATTAACCTTAGAACATCCTTAGCAAAGTATCTGGAACATAAATATTTATTAGATGAATGAATGAATGAATGAATGAATGGAAACCTGTACTAGAAATCAGAACTAGTCCAGGGCCTGCTACAAGGCAACAGAATGGTGAAAAGGCAAACCACACTGGATTAAGACCACAAGTGTAACTAGGTCTTATTTACAACTATGAGTCCAGTATTTAGAACTGGGCCTGGCACATAACAGGTGTTTAATAAACATTTATTAAGCCAATATACTTAAAGTTTGCAAGAACCAGTAAGATTAAGTAAAAACCCTTTTGCCGAGCATCCAAGGCAGTGCATTCACACAGGGCCCATCACAGCCTCATCCCTACTTTCCCTCAGGCCCAACTCAGAGGTGCCGGACCACGTCTTGTCTGCCAAGCTTGTACATACCCAAACACACACACACAGAAATCTGCTCTGTCTTTCAATTTCAGCCATAACAAGACACTTTTTTTTTTTTTTTAAGATTTTATTTTTTTATTTATTTGACAGACGGAGACACAGCAAGACAGGGAACACAAGCAGGGGGAGTGGGGGAGGGAGAAGCAGGTTTCCCGCAGAGCAGGGAGCCTGATGTGGGGCTGGATCCCTGGACCCTGGGATCACGACCTGAGCCGAAGGCAGACGCTTAACCCACTGAGCCACCCAGGCGCCCCAACAAGACACTTTCGATTCCTTAAATGTAGCAAAGAAACCTAGCTCTAGGTACATACTATCCACTACAGCAAATAAGAATTTGAAACAGAAAAACAAGACAAATGCCTATTTTCTCTGAAAGCATTTTTCAAATACTTTTTTGCTAAAAATGTTGGTAAAATTTAACTTACGATTTTTGAAGTTACAACTTGCTAATAAAGACCAATTTATCTTAAGGTAAAAAGGTAAAAACAATAATCACTGCATTAATGCTTATGTGGATGCTTGCTTTCACAAAACAAAACGAGGATCCTAGCACAAAGCTGTCTCTCTGCTGGACCAGTTTCAGCCGTAAGGAACAGGCCTCCACCTAGTGACGACTGAAGCAAGATGCAGGGACACACACTGTACACATGGACAGGAGTGGTCCTGTGAGCAGGTCCCGAGCCCCAGCAGCCCCACTCCAGCACCTGCCTCTGCAGGACTTGGGCCGGAGACTGGCCTGCTGACTGCCTAACCAGCGTCCCTGCCTGCAGTCACGTGAACACCAAATGTAGACACTTCCTTTCTAAGTCACACGTGTTCCTCGACCAGAGCTGTGACATTCTGAAGAGAAGACTATTTCATTTCAGAGCCCACCTAACATGACACAAAACAAGCATTAACTAAACACGGGGTCCGACAGGCACATCATGGAAACTAGCTTTTAACAAGGTTTACTTTGTACTTAGATAACAAAACAATCTTGGTCCAAGTTTAAAACTAAGCTACCTCCTACCAATTCTAACAGTGACGACTCATAAAGAGATTCGAATAAATGTCACAAATTCTTCAGAAAAGGAAGACATATAGGAAATTGCAGGTATCCTCTCCAGAAAACCATGAAAACAGTCAGGTGACTCAAGAGACAACAAGAGCATACCGCGATCTGAGAAACATGGACCTCAGATATTGAGAATATATCTGTATTTACATATCCATGTTAAGGCCATTATTCAACTATTCCACTAACGATGGACAGTGAGGTTCCATCACATTTTTATTATGAATTATACTATGCATTTCCCTGCATGCTAAATCCACTATTTCTGTAGGTGAAATTCCTACACGTAATAGAGCTGCTATATTAAAGGGTATGGCACATTTTTTTAAACAATACTGACTGATAACTTTCCCAAAAGACTGTAACAGATAATGGTCCCACCAAAAGCATATGAGAGGGCCAGTTTTTCAGGACATTCACCAACATTAATCATTTTGGGGGAACGCCTGGGTGGCTCAGTCGGTTAAGCGTCTGCCTTCGGCTCAGGTCATGATCCCGGGGTCCTGGGGTTGAGCCCCGTGTCGGGCTCCCTGCTCAGCCTGCTTGTTTCCCTCTCCCTCTGCTGCTCCCCCTGCTCGTGCTCTCTCTCTCTCTCTCAAATAAATAAATAAAATCTTTAAAAAATAATAATAATAATAATCATGCTTACGTAATTCTTCCATCTCCTGATTTTATAAAAATGGGCTTTCTCAATTCTCCAGCTCCAAGCATGCTTAATCCCAGGACCCCTGAGTAAAACCCATACCACACATGCTCTGAAACACAATTTTACAGAAGGTAACATTATTACTTTTCTTTTCTTTGAAGAGAAATCATTCACTTGCCTGAAGACAAAAGGCTATTGATCATCTCCAGAAACGCAGGATGCACGAACTGGTAATCCTCGAGAAGCAGAACCACCTGCTGGGCTTCAATCCCTGCAAGATGCAGCACCTGCGCGGAAAGTGGCAACAGAGGTCTTCGCACCCATTACAGGTGTGGGGCCCAGTTAAAAACTGCCATTCTTCACACAAATAACGTCTTTCTTTTCTCCTTTTTCTCTCTTTCTTTCTTTGTAATCAAAATTAAATATCAAACTTCAGCCATATAGTTTGGAAGGTAAATCCAGTCCATGAACAAACAGTTGGGGAAATGTTAATATGATTTCACAGCGAAGACAGACGATCATTTTTAAATACACCCACCTGTGTCCTATATAAATTCTGTCCTTTTATCTTCCATGTCCACCTAGCCTCTCTGTACATAAAAATATAATTTTCTAATAACCACAGGGAAAATCATCATCCATACTGAAGACTACGATGTATATCAGAGACATAATGGTCTCTGAAGGCTTTTAAAATAACAAGTAATTGTGCTTTAAAACCAAATAAAGCAAAGGATTTGAGTAACTCACGTGTTTGAGATCATTTTTGAACTGCTTCAGTTCATAGCCTCTGGAAATCTTTGGAGAAAACAGCACGGCTCCATGCATATGACTGACGAGGGAAGTAATGGTCCGCCGGCCCACGCCACTCCGTCCTGCCAGGAGGAGGGAGCCTCCAGGGAAGCTCAGCACCCTGTCGATCCGAGACATATACTCCAGCATTTCTTGGAAAAGTAAAATATCTAAATTCTGGCTATCTCGTCCATAATGAATGAGGCCCTTTTAAAAAACCACAAAGAATATTTTATCATTAATATATGCCCCATTACATAACATACATGTTATCTAGAGGAAGGCTTACACTTCTGATACACTCTGGAAAAGGGGCTAAGTGGCGGTGTGTCATCTTATGCTCCACAGCCTCCCAGCAATCCAGCTCTTCTACGAAAAACCTTGTGTGATACCAAACACGTTCAAGAGCTCACAGTCATCAGATACCTGCGGGATACTGCTGATAGGATGGGTAAAACGTAGGGCGACACAGCAGGCTAATTACAAGAACTTCAAAAACTCTCAAATTTTACTCGTTGTTTCAACTCAGATCAGTGTGTGCAGACCATAACACCTAATGTTGTGAACTCTTGCTGGTGCGCACTGCAGGGGAATGAATCCAAAGCCCTCGTGCGGGCCGCCCCACCAGCAACTGTGTGTCAGCATGAGGGACACCAGACGCTGCAGCCTTAACAACTTCCAACACACCCAGACTCGGCAGCATCCATCCCACGCACCGCACAAGCTTTTCTGGATATAAAATCCACACTCACTTCCAAAGCAAATCATCATACATAGAACACTGTTTCTCCTTCTTATATTGTCTAATTTCACAAAGAAGAAAGAACTAAACACATCTCTAGTAGAGTGCGCCTCAGTTTCAGTGAACCAGCGCACCACCACCACCTGAGAGCCCGGGAGAAATGGGGAATGAGACTTCCTCAGGCTGCGACCCAGGAGGCAGCGTATTTCCTGGTTCTCAAAGTGATTCTAATGCTCGCTGAACTTGGACGCCACTGCTCTAGGATGATTTTCCAATTAATATTAAACCTCATTAGTAATTCCAACATCAGATACATTTTGCCAACATGTACCTTGGCCATCTTACCCATATCTGTGTGAGTACGGGAGCATTTAGTCAGATCTACCACAACAGACCACACTCCACAAGAACCAGCTCGGTCTATTGTATAATCTTTGTTTGCCTCGGAAAGCTTACAACAATTATTTCTTAAATGACTACAATCATAACCAAATCCCAATTCAAACTCATGATTCAGATTATACCTTCCTCTTTTTTTTAAAGATTTATTTATCTGAGAGAGCACGCACACACGTGAGATCACACATGCACAAGCGAAGGGGGAGGGGGGCAAGGGAGGCAGAAGGAGAAGCAGACTCCCCGCTGAGCAGGGAGCCCGACTCGGGACTTGATCCCAGGACCCTGAGCCGAAGGCAGACACCCAACCGACTGAGACACCCAGGCGTCCCAAGATTATACCTTTCTAATAACATCCTTGAGATCCGCAGAATTCAGTTTTCCGAGTGGTTTTCCATGGGGAGGCAGTGACTGTCCTGGGGCCACCCTTATTCCTGAGTTGTGTCGGGCTCCCCATGTAACATAGAAACTGTCTGCAGAAATGAAAGGTATTTTTGGTTTTATACGTGTATTGGTAATGGCAGCACCAGGAAATACACTGTTCGTTAAATTATTTTTCAGTTAATCCTCCGAATAAGATCCCCAGAAACGTGAAAGTAAATTACAGTGTGCCTGGTGAGACGATAAAGTCAGCTAAGATACAAAGACCTTACACTGCCATGTCAAACTTTCCCTGAAGAGTAGCTGATGTGTCCCCACTCCAGCCCTGACCCCCACCTCTCTCTCCTCAAACGGAGGGTCCTCCCCTGAGTGCTCCCCACTACTCTCCCTTGTGCTCTTTCTCCCTACTTCCCTCCCCTCCTCCACAATCTCCATATAAAATTGGCAACTAAAACTCAAAACTCTCCTTGAGAAAGAACACAGATTTATAAATACCATCAAGAGCCCTAATTCTAAAATAAAGGAAAAAGTAACTGAATTTTAATTAGAAAACAAAAACCCCACCACTTCCCTTATAGTTATCCCCAGCAGCATCCTGTGACCACACAAGGAAAATCTGTTGACCGTTCTGCTGAACCTTTCCCTCCTGATCCGTTGGGGAGGGTGCTCCATAAAGTACCCTCCTTCTCACGTGCTCCGCTCAATGGCAGTTTTAGCTTCCTTGGACCCCAGCTCCTTCACGTTCTTCTCCTTTCCCTCATCACTGCTTTTCCTACACTATCCTCTCCCTGCAGAAACCTCTATAATCAAACTCTTACTTGGGAACAATGCTGCCATAACCGCCAAGCCCCAATCCCCGTCGTAGTCACTGCCCCCGTCATGACCTGGTGTGCATTTGAGGCTTTTTCCTTAGATCTGTTGATCCTGATACTCAACAAGGCACAACCACCAGTCCTCTCAGTTCTCTGCGTATCCCTTCTACTCTTATTTTCCCTGGGATCTAAATTCAGTCCATTATTCTTTAATCCTAAACACTCCCCTTGAATTATTTAACCTTATTCTGTGGATTAGATTATCAACTACTGATATACCAAAACCCAGTCACCTACTGGCAAGTCTCCCGAGCTCTACTCTGGTCCCACACTTCCAACTGCTTAACAGACATGTAACAAACATACAATGTTCGTCACTAAACACAGGTGTTTAAGCACCGCACTTCCCGTTAGAGAGAAGCAGTAAGACAGACGCGACTGCTACCCTCACAGAGCTGATAAACCTGATGCACGTTCCCCAAGAGACACTCAAAGAGCCTGCAAACAGTGAAACACATAGAGGACTGAACTCACTGTCTCCCCATGTCATCAGGTGTCACCTCAGCTACCGCAGGATCTCCCGGCTTGTGTCCTGCCATATGTCTCTGGCCATCCAGTACATCCTCAATAGCTCTCCCGGGGGAGCACATGGAAGAACTGCACAGCGCCGTACCACTCCCGTGGGGCCCGGAAAAGCAGCCAAACCCATCGAGGCCCCCGGACCTGGCTCCACTGACTGCGCGATTCTCCTTCTCTGCCCTGCGCTGTGCACGCCAGCTTCCTCATGCCTCTGAACCTACGCGGAGTCTTCCCCCTCGCCACGCAGCACCGTCATCTTTAACATGATCTGACTCTCGTATCACTCAAAAAATTTTAAATCTTAGTTGTTCCTCTAACAAAATATGTACAGAACTATGTGCTGAAAACTACACAACACTGATGAAAGAAAGCAAAGAATATCTAAACAAATGGACAGATATATCATGTTCACAGGCTGGAAGACTCAACATAATGAAGATGTCATTTCTCCCCAAACCAATATACAGAGTTAATGCAATTCCCATCCAAAGCTTAGCAACATTACCTTTAGATAAGATTATTCTAAAATATATAGAGAAAGGTAAAGAACTTAAATAGCGAAAACAACTGTAAAAAAGAAGACAGCAGGAGAAGTCAGTCTACCCAATTTCAAGATTTCTAAACTAATGAAAACAGGTGGTGCTGGTGGGAGGACAGACATGTAATGGATGTAAGAGGACGGAGAACCAAGAGATATGTTCACACAACTATTCTGACAAAGTGCAAAGCAACTCGAGGAAGAAAAGTCCCCTTTGCAGTAAACAGTGCCGGAGCAAGTGGTCATCCATCGGCAAAGAAGGTGACCCGAGGCCTCACTCTTCACACAGACATTAACTCAAAGTGGGCTACTGACTTAAAACAAAACCATAAAACTTTTCGGAAAAAAACACAGGAGAAAATCTTTAAGAACTAGGACCAAACAGAGTTCTTAAACTTGACACCAAAAGATCCTGAAAAAAAATTACTAAGTTGTACTTGATAAAATTGAAATATTTAGCTGTGGGAGACCCTATTAAAAGGATGGAAAGACAAGCGAAAGAGCGGGAGAATATGTTTGCAAACCTCATATTTAACAAAAAACTAGCATCCGTAATATATAAAGAACTCTCAAAACTCAAAAGAAGATAAACCATCCAATTAGAAAATGAGCAAGTCACAGAAAGAGATACCTCACTTCAAAGGATTCAGAGACAGCACGTGAGCACATGAAAGATGCTCGAGCGCATCTGCTGTTGGCAGAATGCAAATTAAAGCCACAGTGATGTACCCACACGCACTTACGACAGTGGCTAAAATAAAACAGCATGACAAAAGCAAAGGCAAGTGTGCGGAGCAACTAGATTACTCACATGTTGCTGACGGGAGTGTAAAATGATACAGCCGTTCTGGAAAAGAGCAGGGCAGTATGCTTCACAAACCAAGCACAAGAGCACCATACGTCCCGGCAACTGCACTCCTGAGCACTTATCCCAGAAAAACAAAAGTGCATGTTCACACAAACATCTCTACATGAACTGCTTATAGCAGCTTTCGTCCTAATAGTCAAAAACAGAAAATAACCCAGACGCCCTTCAACAGGTAAATGGTTCAAGAAATGGTAGTACATCTGAATACCCACTCGTCAATAGAAAGGAACAAAGTACTGAGACTCACAGCAACCTGTGTGTGTCTCCAGAGAATTATTCTGAGTGAAAATAAGATTCTCGAAATGGCAAATTAAATACAGAACAGGCTGGCGGTTTCCAGAGGCCTGGATATGGCTACAGCAGGGCAGCAGGACAGATAACTCTGAGTATTAACTGTATCAATGTCAATACCCTGGTTGTGATGCTCCACCGTAATTTTGCCATATGTTACCATCAAGAGAAACCAAGTAAAAGCTACACATACTCTGTATGAATTCTTACAATTGTATGTTAATGTGCAATTATCACAAAATAAATTTTTTTTATTTCAAGGTTTCAAAGTAACTCCCTCAAAAAAATTAACCCTTCTACACACTACTATCTAGCATTTATCTCAAATATATTCAGAAAAGTTATACTAATTGTAAAACACTTCATGTTCTATTATAATTATCAGTTTAACCATCTACTTGCACAAATTTCGTGGCTTCTAAACACACTAACAATAGTTACCACTGTAAGGGCTTTCATATCTGTATCTGCCACTGGATTACACGTTTCTTGAGCACAAGAATGTATCTAGCTTATTTCCAAGTCTTCTAAGATTACATTTTTCTTAACAAATTAATATTCCACTATGTGAAAATCCTACTTGCCGAGATACGACATTTATCAAGCCTGTATTTTTAAAAAATACAACCTTTCCTTGAAAAGTAAAAACGGTGAGGGGGGAAAAAAGCATGTATTCTTTATTGAGTCCTACAAAGGAAACCCTGAAAGATAACAAATTCTAGAGAATTCAGATACCCAATAAGACACTGCTACTGTCTAATGCCCAAAGAACATGCTACCTTCTTTGCAAGAAGAGATACCATTCAGGCAATTCTCAGTCTGAGAAAGATGGTGCCATTTAAGAAACGAAACCTGCCCCCACTAAGCAAGGAGAGCTACAGGTCACGCTAACAAAGCCTCACTCAGAATGAGCCAACTCTGAGCTGCGACCAGGGCTCACTCTCACCTTTCATCCTGCCCTGGCTTCTCCAACTCATTTCCTGATTCTGAAACTCAAGCCGCACCTCGAAAATCCCTCTGCCAACCTCCTCATCTTCCTCATCTTCAAAATCCCCTTCGGCCTATGCAGTTACGACCGGGGGGCAATACCGAATCTGGCAGGACACAGAACGCGCTACATGGAATATTTCTAGCTTTACAGTCTAACCGGACAGAACCTCACTCTGTAGCTTGAAAGCGGTTAAGAAATACTTCCACGATATGGTCTTGTATCAAAGGTCCTTCCGCCACGACAGTTTTCAGACAGTTTTCAGATCACACGCACTACTCCCACAGCAGTCTTCAAAATGCAAGTTGGTTGTTAAGTGGTAACAGTTGCAAATGCAACTGAGCTGCTTTGAGTGAGTGGTGTTATGCTTTATTTATCCTAACTGTGGGTGAAGCTGGAGACAAGAGTACATAAGAAGTTCTGTGCTGATGACATGATTTACTTCTAAGCAAAAGTTAATTATAATCAAATATGGACTTTCCCAATGATCTTTAAGTCTCATACACATACGGCTTTAAATAAAACCTTTATTAATAAAAATCCCTCAGGAAACCTAATTTTGAATTGCAGATATAAAACACTATGGCCTGAATCCAAGAAAACAACTATTGTCACTATATTTTATTTATATTTATTTAGAAATCTAGCAAAAAGGAAAAAGCGGCCCCTTACAGTAAAAACAACATTAAAATTACCCAAACGTTTTATTTACACAGAAATACGAAATCATGCTATTAGCAAGAAAAGTTTACAATTCTTGTAACATTTATTTATTACATAAACTCCTTAACTATATTACCTGCCATATTGTCTAATACATCTGAGCCCCAATCTCCTTGAAACACAGATGTTAAAATGCTGTCAAATAAATGAAGTTCCTTGGCACCAACAATTTTGTCACGAAATAAGCGCCGTGCTTCATAAGCTACGATTTCTAATACATGATCTAGTGGGTGATTTGAGGATCCTAAAAAAGACAACATTTTCTTTAGTTGTAATAAAATTCAAATGACTTGCAGATGGTCTACCTCAACATAATACTAGAAAGAAAGAATAAAAATCTGCATACCGTCAGGTTGGCATCAGATAAGTACAAGAAAAGGGAAAAAAGGTAAAATTCAATGTGTTATTGATAAGTTGTTTTGATTATTTAAAGAATATATTAAGCATCATTATCTCTAGTTGTTCAATAAAAATACTAATTCCAAAAAGCATATTAAACATCACTAGCAATTTTATTTTTCCCCAAATCAAATTTTACCAGCAACAATCATAAACAGTTTAGAACACACACACACACACACACACACACACAGATACACTATGGCATTCCAAAGAAAGAAAAGCAATTTGAAATCATAAAAGTAAAACTTACCTCCTTCTAAATCATATCTGAATAAGCCAAGAACCCACTGGGTAAGGATGCAAGGAGTAAAGAAATAGTGACTATGATCATCAACTGTAAATTTGGCCCGCACCTGGAAAAGAAAATAAAGTCAACTGTCTGTTCTCATTTTCTAAATACATAATATACATTTTATTTATAACGTATTTCCAAATATATAATGCTATAAATTTTTCAGTCACCACACTCACAGGAATGCCCAATTTCTACTAGTGAGAAGAAACTATATTTCATTAGAACTGATTTCCTTAGTTATCTCATACATTATATTTTACCCATTTAAAAACATTCTCTAAGAGGGGTATTTATAGGCTTCAACAAACTGCCAAATGTTGTCCAAGAAAAAATAAAAGGTTAAAAAGCCCTGCTGAGCAGAGGAACTCAAGGAAGGTGAAGCGAAGCTTTACACACAGTGGTTGCAATTCCAAGGCACTCCCGGGTCCGGGACAGACATGTTTGCTAACGGCAGGAGCCACAGAGCGGTCTCGTGTTCAAACAGTCACCGATCCCGAACGGATCAAAGTGCGACTCCTGATACATGACCCATGAGAGCCTGTGCCTTCCTCCTCATGGACAGGACCCACTGCTCTCGCTCCGGCCTTGATCACTGAGCTTCCGAATTCATTTAGAAAGTAATCAATGCTTTCTAACTTCCCTTGCCCCACATCTACTCCAACACTGCCAAAAGCATCTTCCACAAACACTTCCCTAACTTTCGCATGCTGTCCCCTTTACCTCGGAAGATCTTCTTTCATCTCCAGCCACTTTGGGAATTTCTATTAATTGTTCAAAACTCACATCACATTTCGGGGCGCCTGGGTGGCTCAGTCGGTTGATTTCTTGATTTTGGCTCAGGTCATGATCTCAGGGTCATGAGATTGAGTCCCACATCGGGCTCCCTGCTCAGCAGGGAGTCTGCTTCTCCCTCTGCCCCTCCCCCCACCACGGTGCACTCTCTCTCTCTCTCTCTCTCTCTCTCTCTCTAATAAATAAATACATCTTCCAAAACAAACAAACTCAGGTCACATTTCACCTCCTCTTAACAACTACCACACAGCAGAGTCACTTCCTTCCTCTTCCACGCTATTTGTAACTTGTGCCTATTGTCACAGTTCCACTACTCATCACGCTGTAGTAATAATTTATTTACGGGACCAGGTTCCTGACTGGTCTGTAAGCTTCCAGAAAACAGAGACTCAGGCCTCTCTGCATCCCTAGGACCGGCACGAGAAAAGAAGGTATTGAATGAATGTCTTCTGTGCCCTTTACTGACTGATTTCAAGCACCATCCCGCTTCACTAAGGAAGGAACTGGAGGCATTTCCTCCCAGGCAACAAGAAAGAAGAAACCTCAAAGACCACTCCCTGGTTTGAAGTCTCCAAGACAGAAGCTGATCGAAGTCGGGAGAAAGATCCAGTTTTGCAAAGAAGAGGAACATTCTGAATATGCTAAATTTTAGTTGATAACAGAAAACCACCCAGCATTAATTCATTCATTCCATGTTCACTGAGTGTCTATTAGAGCATCTGCGCTCAGAGAGCTCACTCTCTGGTAGAAAAGCCTAATCAACAAGACGAAAAGAAAGCTGAAGTGTCAACACAGGTCAGCGTTAAAGGTAGTCCCTCTGGGAGTGAAACCAAGAGACACGACAATTACAATATAAATGAGGAAGTATATACCTGTTCATAGACTTGGACCATAGATCCCGCTAAGAGGTAGATTTTTGATGAAGAGCCCCAAATAGAGTGATTCTTCAGATTTTTATGGAGAACGGGTTCCAAATATGCTCCATAAATTGTCTGTAATTGCTCTCTTTCTGGGTAACTGAAAGAGGGCACATAAGAAAATAGCTGAAAATACAATGTTCTAGATTATTACGTTAATGTTCATTTGTAGCAGTTTTCCAGCTGCATTGCTCTGAGGTTCAGATACCCCCCCTCCCCAGTTTATCCAGGGACTAAAGCCAGGCTCTAGGTCCCTATTCTGACCCCTACTTATCTGCTCTCAAATACTGAGGGTCCTAAAAGAAGTTTCTGGTGAAATTACTTGAAAACATAATTGTTTAGAAATCACTGATTTTTAGAAAGGACCGAAAGGTAAATTTTGCTTAAGAAAAATTTTAAGTGTAGCTGACCCATTTGGCAGTAATCAACTCAGAACTGTAAAAGTAGAATAAACAAATGAAATCAACCTGTTTCTCTCAAACCAAAATCTATTTCAATACAGCTTAATTGGTAGCTACAACATTTCTGAAAGTACAATTTAATAGATGGGTGCAATTAGCATGAAAGCATCAAAACAATATTTTTTAAGGCAAAACGGAACAGAGGACAAGCTCCAGATCCATAAAATTTACAAGTTCTTGCAACAATTATGGACCATGGAGATGGGTGCATGCATCAGGATTAATGCTGCCACCCACAAACCTGACCTGACTCCACCTTGTGCCTGTTTACATTATGTTTATTTATCTTCATAAAATTTGATAGTATTTTTGTTTTATGAAACCCTTATTAAAATCTAATATCCATCATTCAGATTCCTGATACTAACATTTTAGAACAGAGAGGATACAAAACAGTTGGGTTTTATTTCTAATATTTAAGAAACACTGATTAACGCCTTTATCACCCTAAATTACTGCCTAAAGTTTAGGAAGGACAGGGAAAAAAATAACAGAACTCAAGTTTGACTATTTTTATATTCTTCATCTTAAAAAATTATCATTAATGGATACCTTTAATAAAATTCAAATACAGAAGACGTCTCCCCAAATTAAAAAAAAAAAAAAATTTAAGAACACTATGATACATACTCCACAGCACAAAGACGAACAATGGAAGTAAATCTGGTGGTCAGCTTATGTCTTCCCAGTCTTCCTCCAGCTGACATAGAAGCCACAATCTGAATATTTTCTAAACCAACCCATTCCAAATTTTCATCATAAAATCCTTGATATGTCAGTACCTTTTTGAACATAAATGTATTTTAAATGTTTTAGGCTTAGGATTTTCTAATAGTGATATAAAATATTTTTGCATAAAATTCAATTGTTTCCAAATGCAATCATCCTCCTCTACCTAACTCAAATATTTAAGATTGAAATATACTTTAAATTCTTATAACATTGAAAAATAATACTCTTCAAGACTCTGCATTCAATTAATGTTAGCTGAATTATCCTCATTTTTAAAGTGCTTTTCTCTCTAATAAACATTAAAATCCAGATGACATATAAATCTACCAGCAATTAGGGGAAAAAAAGTGAAAGAAATCAGGAAAAATATAAGGAAACTATTTTGGTTTTCTTTATAAATATTTTGTCATATTCTACAGTTCCATAGTAAAGCTAAGTTTGAACCCATATAAACATAATAAACTCTAATTTAGAATGCAGGGTTTCTAATGTGAAGCAAACCACATAAATAACGACTTCCACACTGACAGAATGCATGGTGTCCGACCTTCGCCTTTACTCGGGCTAAGAGGCAGAGTACTGAGCTAAGGAAGCCCATAAAGGGCCATGACCAAGGACATCTACCTGCTCTCTGAAAAATGCATCCCTAGAAAAATGAAGCAGAAATTTCCCCAAATCCCACATCATCCCCAGCTTCTGCTTTCCCTCTGTTTTAGAAATAAAGGACAGGAAATAAGTATAGGGTGAAGGTTGTTTTTACTCTTCCTGTCATACATTATCTTGCTGTAATGCTAACTTCTATAGGGAAGAACATCAAAGAAGGGAGGCTTGTGGGGGCACCTGGCTGGCTCAGTCAGTAGAGCCTGCGACTCTGGATCTTGGGGTCGTGAGTTCGGGCCCCATGCTGGGTGCAGAAATTACTTAAAAATAAAATCTCTAAAAAAAAAAAAAGAAAGAAAAAAAAGAAAAGGCAGGAAGAAAGTAGTCCTGGAACCAGATTACTACAAGCTTTGGGAGTTCAATGTCCACAACACATGCTGGATAAAACTGACCCCGAGGAGGAAAGCAGATTTTCTAACCCTTTCCCATTACATCCTAACACTTCAAGGAGTAAGACTCACCTGTTGCAGGAAAGCAACCAAAGTGCTAGTGCCCCATTTGTCAAGCTTGGGCAGGTTGATATCTTTCAGGTACAGAACAAGTCTCTCACAGTCCTTCGGTCTGTACACGCGACCCGTGTTAGTACTGATCACCATGCAGGTCTGGCTCAGCTTCTGCAGGAGATGCCGAGACGTGGTCTGGGCACTACAGTGAACTGCAGCGATCTGAGTGGACCGGAGCTGGGAAAAGGCATACCTTAGCAGCATCCTATGAGAGACGGAGGACATTGGACTTCGAAAATACAACCAATTAAACACTGTGTATAGTCAACATAAAATTTCTATCTTATAAATATTTCAGTTTCTAAATTATGTAATATGATGTTTAAGGGGAAAATGGTAAACATGGATATGGCTTAACAGGTAGCTTTCTAATGTTTACAATATAAAAACATAAATTCATATTTGAAGGCACTCTTGGGACTCATTCAACAAAAAAAAAAATCAAAGTTTACAGAAATAATTTAACTTGATAAAGTACATATAAAAGATACCAACTGTTTCCCCACAGTTGAAGGAAAGATTTTAAGATATTAAGTACTCCAAGTTAAAAAAATATTTACTATGATTTTATAGAATTTTTAAATTACTACTAAAAATGTGAAACTAATAATCATGTCTCCTTTATTTCCAGATCCTACACTCAGTAGGCACTAAAAGTAGGCTGAATTACACGGATACAAAAGTTATTTTTAAATAGAGAGCTAATTTCCAGATGCATTTTTTATCACTAAAGCAGGTAATAATTTGTGAGTGTATCTAAGGTATTCAGTTTTTGTTGGGACTGTATGCATGTATCTTCTCAGACTGTTCTCTTTCCATCAGAAAACACATAAGCTGGCAGGAAAAAAAGACATGTTCTTCTCTATAATTCTCTACAGTCACATCATTTTTACAAGTAGTGACAATGGAAAGAGTCCTTCATGAAATTGTAAATGCTACTTTAGGCAAAAGAAAGGTAACAGAGCTGTTAAATTACTTTAAAAGAAGAAAGGAATACAAATCCACACTATGTACCTCAATCAACAATTTTCTGCTCTTACCCTTTGCCACATCCTTCTGGTCCTACAAGAATAAATGGCTGTTTAGTATCAGAACTTAACCACGGTTTGAAATAATCCAGCCCTCGCTGCATGTCAGGAATCTGAATGACGGGGAGAGTCTGGCCATTACTGAAATCATCGGCCGTCAAGTTTTCTGGCTTCTTCAGCACGTAAGATGCTAATCGTCCTCTACTCGAGTCATAGTAAGTATCCATTGGTTTGTGAGGGTCTGGAGGAGATTCTCGTGCCCAATTAAAAACCTGCAGGGGAAAAAGTTGTGACAGGTTTTCACATACTCCAAACAAGAGTGTATGAAATTTTAATTTTTCAAAGTCAATGTCCCAAAGTCAATCATCTTAGTTCAAAGAAAATTCTCCTATGCTAAACCTACCAAATATCTTTTATAATTAAAGCAACATGCTATGTCAAATATTATTCTCTAAATGATAATTCAAGCAAATAAATAAAAGTCATCTAGTTTGCACAGACACCAAGGTATAAATACATTCAACTTATTTAAAGGAGTTTGAATGAACACTGAACCACTGATTTCTCAGTGTAGGAACCTAGTCCCGCCCATTTTGGTGGTTCCAGCACTGCTCTCAAGCTGCTCTTCTTCTAACACTGAAAACTTGCTACCTGCACAGATATAAATCAGAGTTCACCCGACACTAACCTTCAATACCTTGCGTCTGAACTGTGGCATGAGAAGTCTGCTCAAAAGCAGCATACAATCTGGGATAGAGTGGTAACGAGAAGCATTTGACAACAAGGACACCAAAACGGCGGCCACGGAAAGGGGAGCAGCACAGAGAATTAGTAAATGATGGCACCAAAGAAGAAACAGATGATACAAATGCAGAAACATGATGTTGGAGCCAAACCAGAGAAATCCATGTTCAATGCTTTCAACAAAAGCCGATAGGATGATATCCCTTAAGTATACGATACAGTTTTATAAACAACTTGGCTGAAATATACCCTTACATTTATTAAAGAAAATGTTGATAATGATTAATCCATCCTAGCATTCCTAACTGCTAAAACTGTTCTGGTTAAATAAATGATTAAAAATATGTATTATTCTGGGGTGCCTGGGTGGCTCAGTCAGTTAAACATCTGCCTTCAGCTCAGGTCATGATCCCAGGGTCCTGGGATCGAGCCCCGCATCGGGCTCGCTGCTGTGCAGAAAGCCGCTTCTCCCTCTCCCATTCCCCCTGCTTGTCTTCCCTCTCTCGCTGTGTCTCTCTCTGTCAAATAAATAAATAAAATCTTTAAAAAAAATGTATAATTCTAAAACTTAAAATGAATAATTATATATATTCATGTGGCTAATTAGTTTCAAAAATGTTTAACAAAAAAAGATATGGTCCATAATACAGCCTATTAAACATTTTATAAAATTTTAATATCATAAAATACCATAAACTTGTTCAAAGGAAAAAATAAGTACATATATTCAAATGCATAACTCTTCTATTGAATGCATTAATTTCAAAATTAAAAGGTTCTATACCTTACAGTTACAAATCACTCTATTTTGGCGATTAAGAGTCATGAAAATTAAAGAAAAATGTTGACTGAATATAGGTTTTAAATGTGCATCACCTCTTTGGTGAATTCCAGACGTGATTTCATGTTCAGATTTCCGCCAAGTCCCCGTATGAGATTAATAATAAACTGGTCATGATTTTGGCATCCACGTAGATGTGACAGACCGTTCATCACAGTCCCAACCAAACTTGTTTCAACCACATAGTCATTCTGTTAATTAAAATCCATGGTACAGACAAAAAACAAACATTAATTGGTAAACACAGAAACACATAGATTTACACTCACATATCTTTTCAACTATGATTGTTAAATGCATCCCTCTGCTAAAGATGTAGAAAGTTTACATTTCATTCAGTTTACATGTATAAACTTTGAAAATAAAAAGTGATCATAAAAATGCAATTGTGCATTTCTAGCAGTAAGTGCTAGAGTCCTTAAGTAGATGTGTGGTTTGTTTACTTCCTAAACTTGAAGAAAATAAAAGAAAAAGTACATCACTGAGCACTGATCTAAAAAGAACAGTCCCCCATTTCCTCCTGCTGATAAAAAGGAAACTAGAGGACACTGGACGAGTATGGCTGGTAAAAGCAGACTTAATACAAAAAACCCATGTGGAGCTGGCTCTGTACGCACAATTTAAAATGAAACTTGTGGATTGCAGTGGTGTAGATGATTTCGAACTGTGGGCCTCTGGAGCCCGTGTGCAACTGCCGGGGGGTTAAAAGGGAAAAAGGTTCTCATTCATTCAATCTCTAAGTATTTACAGAGAACCATTTATGCATCAGTCACATGTCCCTGCGGTGCTAAGTATGGGGGGAAAAAAAAGGTGACCTAAACAGAAACTTCCATTTGTGTGACTCCAGTCTCGTAGGGGAGACGGTCAACAAGTCCCAGTAAAAGCTCCAGAGAAGGGGCCCCTGGGTGGCTCAGATGGTTTAGCGTCTGCCTTGGGCTCAGGTCATGATCCCAGGGTCCTGGGATCGAGCCCCGCATCGGGCTCCTGGCTCAGCAGGGAGCCTGCTTCTCCCTCTCCCTCTGCCTCTCTCCCTGCTCATGCTCTCTCTCTCTGTATCTCAAATGAATAAAAAAAAAAAAAAAAAAAGCTCCAGAGAAGCAGAAGAGAGTGCTCTCAGAGTAACTCAGATGGAGACCCGCCTCTTTCGAAACGGCAACAGTTAAGCCAGCATCTGAAGGATGCATCCGTCTGGCATGCAGAGAACACAGCACAAGCAAAGGCAAGCCAGTGGGGTAGTTCAGAAGTGCAGACAGCGAGGCAAGGGCCAGAGTACGAAGAACTGCATCGGCCGTGGTAAGGAGTGTAACGTTTATCTTCACTACTTTTAAAGTGTTTTTAAGTAAGAGAGTAAAATGATCCAATTTACATATTTTTAAAAATCACTCTGCATAAAAAAAATATTTTTAGAGGGTTGGAGAAACGGGAGGAAGAGCAGGAAAAAGGAAGGAGATGAGCAGAAATCCAGCTGCTTGGGCCATGCTAAGAGTTCCAGGCTTTAAAGGCAAGATAAAGGAAACCCTCGCATTTTCTTCTACATTGTCTAGTTTGCTAAAATGATACAAGAAAGCAAAGCTCTAGTTATAAATAAAATCAGCATTTGGTTAGAGTAACCATTATAGTATATTTCTCAAAATCTGAACACAGTGAACAAAGAATAAGAAGGAAGGAAGCGTCAACACATTAAAAACACGTCAAACAATCACAGGGACCTGACCTCAAAACAGAATCAGTTTATTTTCTAACTGATTATATCCACTCTATGGCTTGATCATCTTATCCTGTCCTCATGCCTACACTTAGAAACCCCTGTATATCAATATATCCCACCTAGTGTTGTATTTCCCTTTCTAACAAAAACAGCACCCACGCAGATGACCTCAAGGGACTTGTCCTGGAGCGCCTTGCTAGCTCTGCATATTTCATGTTCCTGAAATCCCCACATATCCACTGAAAAGGAGCGAGGCCAGAGGCAGCAGGTATTTACTAAAGCACATACATGCTCATTCATGCATGTTTCAGCACCACACCTGGGTCTGTGGATACACTACAGCTTGGTCCTTGCCCTCAAGGTGCTTCGAGCTGAATGCATGTGGTTATACCAGAAAGAAGAAGACAGCTTGTCAGGCTGGAGGGAGTGCTTCATCCCCTGAGGCCTCCAGGGAACCTCTGTCATTCACACCCCACTCCTCACCAATCCCTGTCCCACCATCTCTTATATCCTTACAGTCAGGAAAAGAAAAAGGTAAGAAAACTGAAGGGAGATCTCCATTTCTCGGCAGATCCTATTCAATCCCCAAGTAGCAACCACTAAATCAAGTTCAGATTAGCAATCAGATGCTTCCCAAAAGTACTTCCACTGCTGTTTACTTCCTCTACTTCTCTATGTTCACAGTTCTCCGAAAAGCAATGACACAAAAACCGGAAATAGCTGAAAAATCGTGTAGAACCTGTAAAAGTCCTCCCCTGCCTTCTGTGCACCTGAAACTGCTATTCATGCTTCAAATTCAAAATCAAGTGTGATCACCTTTTTAAACTCTCCTGGAAGACAGCAATACTCTCTTCATCTGATTCTGATGATCTCTTCACACCTCCGTTTTCTCCATTAGGCAAACCCTCCCAAGGAAGGAGTCTGTCCTGTCTTGTCTAGTGCTATGCTTGATGCCTATGTCAGATATGCAATAATGTCTGCACAGGCAGTGCTCAGTAACACTGTAAACGAGTCGCCATCCCTCTTCTACTGTAGTATTACCTTGACGTTGTTTTTAGCAAGAAATACAAGCAGGCATTTCCTGACAGTGAAATGTGACAGTAACATCATTTTGCTAGTAAACAATGGGAGATTCCACTATTCAAGGTTTTTAGGTAAGCAGTTCAGGACATTGTAGGTGAGAGAACTGAAGTGTTTTAAGACACCATAAAGAAAGTTAAGCCAAGACAAAGAGCAGGAGAGCAGGGAAGACACCTACTTCTCACTCTGCCCCCAGATTCTGGCTGAGATCCACTAAAAGGCAGCTATCTCTAAGCAACACTCTTAATCACTGTACTTCTGGCCTAAATGATTAATTATGAAATATTATGGCTAACTTACCTGCTTCAGAATCCACTGTAAAGCCTTTTCAAAGTAATCTCCAATCCAGTTTTCAAGATTATTCCTATAATTAGGAGGCTGATTCTTCAACCAAGATTTTATCAGAGAATTAACATCTGTCTCTTCATCACTGAAACAGATTAATAAGCATGTAAGAAATTACTTAGGGAGACACTGTCAGGGGCGCCTAGATGGCTCAGTCGGTGAGGCATCTGCCTTCGGCTCAGGTCATGATCCCAGGGTGCTGGGCTCAAGCCCTGTGTCCCAGCCCCACGTCCTTTGGGCTCCCTGCTCAGCGAGGAGCCTGCTTCTCCCTCTGCCCCTCCCCCTCTGCTCCTGCTCAGTCTCCGCCTTTCTCTCTCTCAAATAAATGAATAAAATCTTAAAAAAAAAAAAAAAGGAAGACACTGTCAATTTTCTCTCAAAATGAATTTCTGCTCTGATAAACATTATTCTACACAGGTATTGTATCTGCTAGTATAAGTGTTAACTTTAGTTATTTCTCTATGTATACGTATATATTAGTTATGTGTATATATATACATGCACACATACGTATACGCATATATGTATATGCCATTTTCTGTAAAATAAAGCAAATAAATTTTATCTATATTATAAACACAGAGAGGAATTATATACAGATTAGCCAAAAAGTTGTCTAAATCCTTAGGAATAGAGAAATAGACAATCCCAAATCCCATCTCAGACTTACTGAAACAAAATCTTCACTTTAACAAAATCTCTGGGTGATTCAAAAACACAGCAGAGTTCAAGGACAGCTGCATCTTAATACAGATCTTTAAAAATATTTTTTTCTTCTTCTTTCTCTCAAAAAAAGCCAACTACCTAAATTCTCATGCCACTATTAAAACTCAAAGATCTTTGTTAAGTAAAATACAATTCCTTTAGCAAAACACCTAATTACATGAGTAACATTCAGTGACTGAAATTAAATATAATACTGATATTCAAAATTATATCTTAAATAATTATAAAAAATTATGGTAAGAACAATTCATAAACAATTTTGGAATAGACAAGGGTTCATGATTTTGCCACTTCTTTCCTACTCTCTACCACTGTTTTGTAGCAACACTATAACTACTGAGCCCTTGAATTTCTCCTCTCACATTTCTATCCAGGTAAAAAGGAAAAGAAAAATGGGATGATCAAAAGTAAATACGTGGGGCGCCTGGGTGGCTCAGTCATTAAGCGTCTGCCTTCAACTCAGGTCGTGATCCTGGGGTCCTGGGATTGAGCCCCGCATCTGGCTCCCTGCTCTGCGGGAAGCCTGCTTCTCCCTCTGCCGTTTCCCCTGCTTGTGCTAGTGCTCACTCTCTCTCTCTGTCAAATAAATAAATAAAATCTTAAAAAAAAAAAAAACTTAAAAAAAAAAAAAGTAAATACGTAAGTTACATTAGATCAGCTCAAGTCTGAAAACCAGAGACTCTCGGAGCCCCTGCAGAATAAAGACTTTGCTGTCAATGGTGTTTCCCCAGTGCCTATGGTAACTACACATCTTGATGGTTCATCCAGGACGATCCTGGTTTACTGTCCCAGAATAATTAACAGCATTCTCTTTCACTATCAGAAGGTCCTCATTTGGCCTATAACATAGCAAGTGTTCAACAAATGAAGAAATGAATGGAACCTAAAACCAAGGTACAAGCTGATCAAAAGCAGCGAAAATGTTACCATGTATTTGTATTTTACATGCAATCATATACATTCATCATGCCTCTCACAAACAATATCGGGTTCACCAACAATTTTTAAATCCCGTGCAGCAATCCGTGGTCTTTCTTTCTGCTAAATACCTATCGCACTCTGCTTACCATTTATGTCACTTATATTCTACCTTGTGATATAATTGTTCCATTTATTTTATCTCCTCTACTTGAAGGGATGCTCCACAAAGACAAGCCCTCTGTGTTAGTTTTACCCCTTTCTTGCTCTGTCTCTCCTAAAATGCCTGACTTAAAGTCACATACATAATAGGCATTCAATAAAGATTTCAACATTTAGTTATAAACTTCCCTTTTATGCCACTTTTCTCACCAGATTATAAGAGTATGTTGAACAAGTAGACAAACTGTGTGAGACACGGCTACAAAAGTTATAAACACCATGGTGTATCTTTTAATAATTAATACCTAAAAAATTTAACTGGAGTTCATGACTATTTAATATAAATGTTCCCTAAAATACTATCAAAGCAGCAAGCAATTAGTTTTGGAAACAATCTGAACCGGCCTGATAGCACTATCATGTCACATAACACCGACAATAGCTTCAAGTGGTGCTGAACGAGGAGGGCATTTAGCATTTATACAGACCCCTAAGTGTCAAGTTCTAAAACAGCAATTCAAAAAGCGCAAGAAAGCTTTCTAATTACTCATTCTGGAAAATGAAATTGGCTGTAATGTCTATGTTCTGGCATGAGACTATTATACATGATATCTAAAATTAGTTTATTCTTCATTTTTACCCCTGAAGCAAATACACTGAGGAAGAAAGTAAAAATTAAGTCAGGAGGTCTCCAATTTGTACAGTGAAAGGTCACTTCCCTAGGATGGCCTAGGTTGGCCCTAAAATCCTATGAATCTAAAATTTTATGATTAAAATATTGCTACTTAGTTCTGGATTATCAGCCTCTAGTTCATAACCAGCTTCTTCACTTCTCTGCACTGGTAACATTTAAACAGAAGTAAGAGAAAAAAAGAAACAATGAAATACTTGTTGTCTCACTGAAGCAAACAAATATAATCCTTAGTGACTGTAATACACTAAACACTGAAACAATTTAACTGCAATAAAACCGTTACTCTCTGAATGAAGTAAAACCTAACACAGGAAGTTAATAAAAAATGAGGAAACACGTATTTACACATCATTCATACAACACTTACTCCACTTAGCTATGAAACCAAACCAATAACTGAAGAATATTCTCACATCACGCAGGCAAGTGCTCTGATGGTTTACCTAAGAAAGATCATTCCCATTCTAGATATTGTGGCTGGCGAGGCACAACTTAAATCATGAGTTTCAAATATAAAGTTAACATTTGGGCCAAACTGAATCCTTTCTCCGCTGGGCATGGTGAGGAGTCGATTGTCATCCAGAACTGAATTCAGGGACTCTATCCATTCGGGGTCAATATCACCATCACATATTATCCATGAGCTGACATCTGTTTTCAAAACAAGGAAGTGCAAGTAAAACGAAACTATACGCAGTGATAACAACTAAAAATGAGGAATCAAATAACCATCTCTTAGTCTTCAGAAGTAATTTCCACCCAGTGTTATTTTATATTATGAAGAGCTAAAGTAGAACAAGGTGAGATTTTCCCCGTGACTCTGCACTGCAGCCGAGCTCGAGGCCTCCTGTGGTAACACCCTACCTGTCCCTCAGCCACGTGCCCTGTGATAATGCTCTACCTGTCCCCAAACATACAGAACTAAAGGAAAAGATGGTCTGCAAGACTGGGCTACTTCCAGTCCCATGAGCTTGTGAGATACTCTCCACACCTTTGTCTCCTACCAGGTCCTAAGAATGTAGTATCTCTTGTAGAAAAGACAGGAAACCCATTTTTAGCATCCTATTTGAGAAATACCAAATTCAGCCATCAAATTTCTTTGATATATAAAAAATTGACTTCAAAGGGGAGAAGTAGTGCTATGTACACAAGTCTCTTTTTTTTTAAATCCATCCTTCCTAAAATGAGAATGGTTTCAAGTGTACTTGGAGATAATTCAAACAGGATGATATCACCCATAAAAGTGTGACAAGTCAATACAGGCAATATTTGGTTTTTACTGAGTGTGATATTATTAACCACAGTGAAAATGAAAAACTACACGGAAAATCTCTTCCAATGTCTCAGTTCTAAACCCTTCCCTCACTGGCTTAGAAAAACAACTTTTAATTATGACTGAATAAAAAGTAAGAAGTCTTCTCAGATTCTGGCCAAAAATCCCTTTAAACACCAAACCAAAAAGCTGAGAGCAAGACGACTACTGTTTTACGACTTAAATTTTCAAAATGATTCAAAACACTGTATTCCAACTCATGAGTTAAGAGTGTTTACAGGGCGCCTGGGTGGCTCAGTCAGTTAAGCGTCTGCCTTCGGCTCAGGTCATGATCCCAGGGTCCTGGGATCGAGCTCCCCACTGGGCTCCCTGCTCAGCGGGAATCTGCTTCTCCCTCTCCCACTCCCCCTGCTTGTGTTCCCTCTCTCGCTGTGTCTCTGTCAAATAAATAAATAAAATCTTTAAAAAAAAAAAAAAAGAGTGTTTACACACACACACACCAATTTTAAACCCAAACAAAACTTGTCATCTTATTTGTGACGCAAAAATAGATTTTCTATTTTTTCAGTAAATTAATCTAGTTGTGAATCGCAACTCACCCAGATTACTCCGAGTTTCTATTATAACAGAAGTTCCTATTCAGTCTAGATCAACATGACAGCACATCTTGGGCCCCTCTGAAGTAAACGGTCAACGTACACCATTTATAAGGCAGTTTATGGTTACGTGCAAGACTTTAATAAGGACAGCGTTAAAGACAAGCTCTGTCATCTTCTAAAAAGTACAAAGGAAAGGAAAGCAAAGAATCACAAACCACACACCAACCTTGAGGTTCTCGGACCACTTGGCGAGCGCTGTTTGTCAAAACGCCATCAGACCATTCCCTGGTATCCATGTCAATATGGCCTAACAGCTGACGTCGAGGCATAGCTTTGGGATTCATGGTATACTGTTTGACCACTTTGCCAATTCTGCCCAGCGCTGCCCTTAACATCCTCCACAGGGTTGATTTCCCAGCACCACTTGGGCCAACAATGACAACTCCCATTCTTTGGCGTAACTGTTCATACAATTCTAAAGCCTTCTTGATCTAGTAGAAAAGAAACATGTTTGTATATGATTTATAGTACACAACCATAGTTCTGTTCTCATTCTTAACAGTTGTTCTATTCCAAACATATAAAATTAAAGCCTTTGATTTCTTCAGTGGAAGATAAACAGCCTTAAACAAAATGACACCTAAATAAATCTGAGCATGTTTACACCATGATCTTTAAATCCAGTATTTCTTTAAAAGAAACAAGTATACTTTCCAAATCATTTGACAATATGTTCATTATTTTACTCACTCATTCAAATATATGTATTATTTTATTCATTAGTTGATTCATGCATTTATATCCTGTATCTCTCAAAAAAAAGAGGGAAAAATGTTCATTTTGAACATGTACTTGTGCTACATAAAAAAAGCTACTAAAAAGAATTTCTCCTAAGAAATTGTCAAAGTGAAACTAAGTCATATGTAATCAATTATCAAAAATATATATGATGGGGCGCCTGGGTGGCTCAGTTGGTTAAGCGACTGCCTTCCGCTCGGGTCGTGATCCTGGAGTCCCGGGATCGAGTCCCGCATCGGGCTCCCTGCTCGGCGGGGAGTCTGCTTCTCCCTCTGACCCTCCTCCCTCTCATGCTCTCTGTCTCTCATTCTCTCTCTCTCAAATAAATAAATAAAATCTTTAAAAAAAAAAAAAAATATATATATATGATGGATCTATTATGGGCCAGGCTCTGTAAAAGGCACTAGGAATAAAATGATGAACAAAAACAGACATGGATCCCACATTGCACGAACACTATATTTGGTGGGGGAAAATCAATTATTAGTCAAATATACGATTAGATTAAGCGTTAGTAAGTACGTGAGAAAGAAAAGTAATGAAACACACAGCAAGGAAACTTCATCTGGACTCAAAGATCAGGGAAGGCATCCCTGAGTAAGTGAGATTTAAATGGAAAGATAAAAGATAAAGATAGTTAATAAGGAATTAACTAGGAGAAAGGATCAATATATTATATTCTCTTTTTAAAATTTTATTTATTTATTTGAGAGAGAGAGAAAGAGAGTGCAAGCGGTGGGAGGAGCAGAGGGAGAAGGACAAGCAGGCTCCACACTGAGCAGGGAGCCTGATGTGGGGCTCGATCTCACGACCCCAAGATCACGACCTGAGCCAAAATCAAGAGTCGGATGCTTAACCGCTGAGCCACCCGGGCACTCCTATTACAAAGTATCCTTGACGGTTACCTGATCCGGTATGATTTCATAGCTGGCCTCCTCAAAGACTCGCTGTAGTGCAGAACTCAGTTCACCATATTCCACTTCTCTCAAGTCGATCCCAGGAAACACATCTTTAATCAGCGCATCAAACCGTGAGCAGTCAGCAAACGTAAACTTTGACATTGTATTAAGCCTCAGCGCTTGTACCACAATTTGACTTTCATCAACTGGAGAAAAAGTTTCATTTTAAAATTATTCGTTACTGACTTTAGAAAGTTTTAATGACCGTAAACACAATTTTCAAATACCATGATATTCGTTACTAGTAATTAAATGATGTGCTAGAATTTAGTAACAGTCAAAGCCCTCTGATACCATGTGAACTGACAAGCTTACCTTACTATCTTTTGACCACTGAGAAATAAGGATCCCTAAGGACAGTTCTGGACTCTCTTCCATAGAATTTGAGTCCCAGGGTTCCCAGACTTTAATTAATAATAAAAATCCTTGGGGCGTCTGGGCAGCTCAGTTGGTTAAGTGTCTGACTCTTGGTTTCAGCTCAGGTCATGATGTCAGGGTCCTGGGATCCAGCCCCGTGTCGGGCTCAGGCCTCAGCAGGTAGCCTGGTTGAGATTCTCTCTCCCTCTCCCTCTGTCCCTACTCCACTCATGTGCGTTCTTTGTCTCTCAAAAAATGAATCTTAAAAAAACAAAATAGAAGTCGCCAGCACTTATAATTTTATAGAACTTTACAGCTTTTATGTGATCCTTCAACAACTGTATAAAGTAAGAAAGTATTACATTATTCTGGTTTTATATTTGAGGATATTAAATCTCTAAGGGTTTAAGTGATTTACCGGAGAAAGCAGAGCAGTCTAACAGCTGGGACTCGCATCCAAATCAACTAAGTGCAGACTCAGGCATCTTCAAATACGCCAGTACTGCCTCCCAGAAGTTTAAGTCCTGAGACTGAAAACCAACAGACTGAGCAACAGTCTTTAATCAGACTTGCTCAAAAGTGATTCATAAACCCATCCCCAAACCAAATGTAAATACTAACATCATTGCAAGATTCTTATTTTTTCAAGGATATTAATCAGCTGCTGAAAGCTAAGATACATCAATGAAGGCAAGAAACCGTCTTTAGTCTGGTATTTCTCTATAATTGCTGAATATTTCCATGTTTAAGTACGTGCAAAGAGGCATGGGCACAACAGAGCTTCGTTCAAGCATGAGTAAGCCATCTTTAATTACTATAGGTATGGTTTCAATGTTTCTTAAAAGAGGGAGACAACAGAAAAATAGTAATTTAAGTAGCTCACCAAATGACTTATCTTCCCTGGCATGTGCCAACCCAATAACAGAGCTAAAGCAGCTTCCTTTTTTTAAGATGTATACTTAAATCACTTAAAGTCTGAATAAATAATTTTACATGGTGTGTTTTTCTATGCTGACTTATTTTCAGCGTTTTAACTTAGTTTAAAAAAAAAAGATTTTATTTATTTAATGAAGAGAGAAAGAGAGGGCAAGCAAGAGGGAAAGAATCTCAAGCAGACTCTGTGCTGAGCATGGAGCCCAACACGGGGCTTGATCCCAGGACCCTGAGATCATGACCTGAGCCGAAATCAAGAGTTGGACACTTAACCAACTGAGCCACCCGAGCCCCCCCAACTTACTTTTTAAAAGCAATCTGCAGAGTCGAATATTTGGCCTTTCATAAAGGCACACATCCATGGGTGGGGGAATCATTTATCTTATATAAATGGGGGGAAAAGGTGGTAGAGTATAATAAAATATCATGAGTCTGATCTGAATAAATGATTTGATAAATACATAAGTAGGAAAGAAGAAACAAATCTTATTTACAGAAGAGTTTCAAATAATATTTGCAGATATTCCCCCCTCTAAGAGATGGAGCTTAATCCTTGCCTGCCTGCTTTGAAGGTGAGCCACATTTAGTAACTAGCTTCCGAAAAGTACAGTAGGGAAGGGGGAGAACAGTAATTTCACAGTTATTATTCCAGCGGAGACACCTGGCAAATTCTAAAATAAGCCGGGAAGGTGAACGTCAGCAGTGACGTCATGCGGTCATTGTGCATACACCGATACAATGTGGTAAGATGGGCCCATCACCTCTCTGGTGTTCTTTCCAAATGTTCAGAACCTGGTCTCATCATGACAGAAACATCACGACAAAACCCAGACTGAGGAAGAGTCTACATGACACATGACCTGTACAGCACCAAGGAGACTGAGGAGACATGACAACTGGAGGCAATGAGGCACCCTAGCCTTGATCCTGGAGCAGAAAGAGGGCGTTAACGACAGAACACGTGAAGTCCAAATGAAGTCTGGACGTCAGTTAGCAGTAATATGCCAGCCTCAGGTTCCTAGTTTTGGCAAATGTACCATAGTAAATGAGAGGAGACAACGGGAATGCTATCTTTCTAACTTCACTGTAACTTGAAAGTCATTTTACGGGTAAAAGGTATTTTTTGTAATCTTAAGTTTTTTTTTAAAGGGTAATTTTGCTTGGTATACTATCTCTTTGAAAGAGAAAACCCCTGTACATTTCTACGGTTGTTGTTTTCAGATGAGAGAAATTCTCAGGCTCTGCCCCAGACCTACAGAATCAGGAAGCTGGGCATAAGGACCCAACACTGGTGTTTTAACAAGGCTCTAGGTGATTGTAAATGTACATCAAAGACTGAGGAGAAGTGGACTAGACTATTCCTCTATATAGCACAACTATTTAGTATTTAATGCACATTTTAAAGTTATGATGGGACATTGGGTAAGAACTAGGGAAAAGTGGAATGAAGTATGGATTTCAGTTAAAAAATAACATCAATATTGGTCCACTATTGTGATAAAATATAGCATGCTAATGCAAGATGTTAACAACAGGAGAAACTGGGGGCCAGGCATTTAAAAACCATCTTTATTACTTTTCTATAAATCTAAAAGTGTTCTAAATTAAAGCTGTTGCATTTTTTAAATAAGATTGTATCTGAATAACGAGTCCTACCATTCTGTTTAATGCCGCTTTTCTTCAGCTGCCTAAGAAGGCCTCCACTTCCTCTAAGAACAGTCTTCAAGGCTCTCAGACCCCAGTCGTAATGTTGCTGAGGCGTCAAAAGTTCCCTTAGACACAGAAATCACAAAGCATCAGATAGCTATAAGAAATTATTCTATCGCTATATTTAAAGAAATACAGACTATAACTATGGACATATAGAAACGAGAACCAATATTCCATAAATTTACGTAAAGGACCCAGTCACAGGACTGATCGCTCCAGTGAAACACTGAAGACAGACGATTCCCAAGGATCAGGATAAAGCTGTCATGACCTGGCTATTTACCTTCCTGAAGACACTAAAGGACAAGCACCTGTGACTATTATCCCTCAACTGTTTGATCCACCCATCTGGCTCTCAGTTTCTGGCACTCCAGTTCTCACCAGCTCTTAAGTAACATGAACCAGAATTCTAGGTCGCCCAAAGAAGCTAAAAGTCCATCGCTATTACTAGAAATAAGACAGAAGACAGAAGAAAAACTGTGGAAGATTCCCTCCAAAGAACAGTAGGCTTTGAAGGGTCTGCTGATAAATTCGTTCGATCAACATCATTTAGCTGGAGCACCCCAATAAAAATATTTTGCACAAAAGAAGTGAGATCAAATTCATAGCATTTAAGGAAAATAAATAGTTTTGAGTCAGATGTTAAACTAGAATCTTCCCTATCGATACCTTAAGTACAATATAATCACCAATATGAAAATCACTGAATAGGTACATTGGACAAATGTGAAAAATGATCACTAATCCATAATCGATCACTGGAACCAAAAAATATAAAAATATTTAAGAGAGGAAAACTCACCTGGAGAGATTGAAGATAGCTACCAATTTTCTGCCCAAGACTTTGGCATCCTTGAAGCCTTCTGAATACAGAATAACTTCTGCAATAAGCTCATTGTCTGGACGAGACATGGCTACTGGCCTGAAAAGCTGTTTAAGATTGTCAGGTAGCTTCTGTCGTCCTCCATAACCCTTTCCAGCAGGATTCATTGTGATAAAAATTCCAGAATTAGAATTTATTTCTACCTGAAATGTTAATTTAAAATATGGGCATTAAATATCTGTAACTATAAATATAAAATAGGTTGCTAACAGAAATTTTATTGTACATATTTCTACACACAAATCCTACACCTTGGCAAAAACATACGATAACCTCCTTAGGAGCAACACTATTTACAGAGGCCCTTTATAATTAGTTCTGTGGGGTGTCTATGCTTCCTGAAAGCCTCCTCGTTCCAGGCCCTTGCTGGGTACACAGAGACAACACAACTCTGACCAGAAGTCAGTAACAGTTTATGCCCTTCAGGAGCTTACAGTCTACAGGCAAAAGCACCGCATGATTCAGGCTCTGACAGGGGAGAGCAGAGTACCACGAGAGCCTCTGGCAGGAGCACCTGCAAAAGCACACTTAAAGCCAAATCAAAGTGTGCAAACAATGGACGGGAAGTAAGCAGAAATACCTAGAGGGAAAAAAATCTGGCTATAAAGGAAAAAAAGGAGAAAGAGAAGTGGTTGGGAAGACGAGCGAGAGGAAGGTTGGCTTATGTTTTAATTAGATCAAATATTATAATATTATTACACATGACATTGTGTGTTACTAAAAAGGACAAAAGGTGGTTATGTTTCAAAGCCAGTGGGGAATGGGGAGAAGAGAGAGGGCTACTTCTATCAGGGAGGTAGTAACAAAGACAAGGTCCCTCGGAAGGAGATCCCAGAGCATCAGTGGAAAGACCAGTGCTGACTGGGACAAAGGACAATTCCTTCAGGTTGTTACAGGAGGAGAAAAACCCAGTGTGTAAGAAAGCACATTCTGACGGCAGAAAGGTCAAGACGTTAACAGTTTCTCTCTTCTTTATGAAGAGTTGAAACAGCAGGGAAATAACATATTAGTAATCTAGAACCGGTCTTACTTCCCTGCCCTGCCCTGAAAAACCTGCCCTGTGAAAATGTTATTATGGATTAGAGGATAATTTCACAGGTCTGTGAACTTTCCGTGTTTTCAAACATTATACACTGTATAGAGAAGCTCACACTTTCTACACAAAGAAGTTCACACTGTCATGACGCGAATATGTATCTCCGATGGGAAAAAATGAGGAAGAGAAAAACAGCTAAATGCTTAGTGTTGTAAGATCCATGCAGAATAGGGATCAAAAAACGTAGGCCTCCGACTGAGACAGACTTGGGGTCAGTTCCCAGCCCCACGACTTACTCCTAACTCACAAGCCGTGCTTTCCCCATCCATAAAACAGAAAATATACAGCAGTCCCTCCCTGGAGGGATTCTGATGGGTGTTAGGTGAGATGGGACCGGGAGCATTATGAACAGGGCCAGCACGGAGTAAGTGCCCAGGAAACATTAGCAGATACAATTATAACTTTAGTATTCAGTACCGAACTTTTGAAGGTGAATGGAAAAGTGAGACCAAAAAAGGGTGAGAACCTCAGACAATTCACAGGTAACAAGGTTTAACAGGGGCGCCAGGAAAAACAAAGACAGAATATCTGCCTGAGTAGGAGTAATGAAAAGTCGTAAAAAATATCTGAATTTTAAAATTCCCAACATATCTATACCTCCTTGCCAAGCAGTTCGCACACAGTTCTGTGATTCTTCAAAGCGTCTTGAATTGTCTGGATCTGTGTAGACACGGCTGACAGCACAGATTCTTCTAGTCTATTGAATTCATCAAAACAGCCCCAGGCCCCACACTTTACCAAACCAACAAAAATTCGTCCCATTGACTTCACATCGATGCCCTAAAAAATAACAGCAAAAATTATATCCGTGAAAAAATAAGTTGAAATATAAATCCTACACAAAATGTTTTGAAAATGGTATTTTCAAAATGAATCTTTTTTCCTTTCTGTTCACTAGTCTCCTTGCTAAAAACATTTTTCCTTCCCTTCCCCTATATTCATTTGTTTTGTTTCTTAAATTTCACACGAGTTACCTTGATGAAATAAAGTGAGGGTTGCTGGAGGGGAGGGGGTGGAGGGATGGGGTAAATGGGGGATGGAAGGAGGGCACATAATGTAATGAGCACTGGGTGTCGTGGGGTTTTGTTTTTTTGTTTTTAGATTTTATTTATTTGACAGAGAGAGAGAGAGCAGGGGGAGCAGCAGAAGGAGAGGGAGAAGTAGGCTCCCAGACAGCAGGGAGCCCGATGCGGGGCTCAATCCCAGGACCCGAAGATCATGACCTGAGCTAAAGGCAGGCGCTTCACCGACTGAGCCCCCCGGGAGCCCCAGCACTGAATGTTATAAGCAACTGATGAATCACTAATTTAAAAAAAACAAAACAAAACATTTTTCTACCCTCTAACATAACCCTTCATTCTGTATTTATTTATTTGCACTAGTTCCCTTTAGAAAAGTTATGAGACTAGGGGCGCCTGGGTGGCTCAGATGGTTAAGCATCTGCCTTCGGCTCAGGTCATGATCCCAGGGTCCTGGGATTGAGCCCCACATTGGGCTCCTGGCTCAGCGGGGAGCCTGCCTCTCCCTCTCCCTCTGCCTCTCCCCCTGCTCATGCTCTCTCTATCTCTGTGTGTCAAATGAATAAATAAAATCTTTAAAAAAAAAAAAAAAAGTTATGAGACTATACTCTCTGCAACCTCTCTCCATTTTATTGTTCAAATAAAACAAATTCTGTTTTCAAGTTACTCAAAAGTAAAGTGATTTTGAAATAGGGCATTTCCTATATAAGTACATGAATACTAATCCAAACTCATAACTAACACACTATTATCTAGTTTGTATTATGCATTCTACCTCATCACAATTAAAGACTAAAACTTGTCTTCCAAGAAGTCCACCCAAGGCCTTGACTGATTCAGTTTTTCCAGTCCCAGCTGGCCCGTAAGGGTTTCCTCCGAGACCCATCTTCATGGCTTGAGTGAGGGTGAGGTAGCACTTGTCCGTCAGCGGCGTATAAACCAGCTTGGGAGCATTGCCCTACGCAAGGGAAACAGAAAGCTTGAATATTCATGTTTTATTCAACCTTACAAACATGAAGTTGTGGGACTAGTTAAAAAGCTAAAAAGGCAACAAAAAAGTTAAAGCTGCTAACATAGAAAAATATCCAAAATATTTTTTTACTAGAAGAAACTTTTTAAAGCACAAACTAAAATTAAACTTAGTTAATCCCAAGCATGTAGTTTATTCCATCCTCAATTAATATATTGGAAGGTTTTCCAAATAGTCTCTCAAGTTCTTGATAGTGGTAAAAAGACATATTGCTAAGGCAAAGAAATCCAGAACTCTATTATACAATAATAATCACTCTATCTTGTATTTTAAAATTCATGTAAATTAATTCCCTGAATCTTATGATCCTCATAAATCAGGACCACTTTGGAGACTCAAATGTAATTATTCTGAAAACTTCCTTATGAAATTAATAATATCAACTCATCAAATAATTCTCAAAACGTCTAAGTTTTAGGGAAAACAGATTCCAATTCCAGTTGCAGTTTATAGAGTTTTCCCTTAACTTAGTAGACAGATTTGGGTCTCAAAACACATTTCCTTTCTGAAAGAGTCAGCTGGCGACTCTCCTGACGTACCCTTACTAACATAATTGTCTGACATAGTCTGATGACTGACTCGTTATCATGGGACAAGGCAGAGAGGATACAGCTGGATTTTCTGAAAACAGGTTCCATGAGCTAGGTTACTGGTGTGTGTGTGTGTGTGTGTGTGTGTAGGCGTGGGCCAGACTCCTTCCGTCAACATTGCTGGACTCCACTGTCCCTGAATTAAAGAGACAGCTCCATTTCTACATAAACGCTACTCTAAGAAAAGGCAAATTCACAGAATTCAGTACGACACCGCCATTATTTTTACTTTTCTGCAAATATTTCTCTGATATAACATCTTCTTAGTTATGATGAAACATACTACAGTCGCACACAAAAAAATTCTTAAAGGTTACGACCAAAATAAAAATAATTCTGTCACCCAAAAGCAAATTTCCTTTAAAATAGTTTCAACTGGAAAAATAAAATACTTTGCCACCAGTCATACCTGATACTCGTAAGTATACTGAAGTTCAGAATCCACCATTTGCACATAACACGTGTGATCACTTTTCATATAAAATCTGACTTGTTTTTTCCAGGCCCAGTCTTCAGTTGTATGAACTTGAACTTGGTTTAACTGCTTTACCACATCAATATTATGAATAATATCAAGAATCAATGCTTTAAGTTTAAGCTCCAGAATGCCAGATTCTGTATGCAAATTAAAACATTTGGAGAAAATGTCAGCCTGTGACTTACGTATATATTACATACATACACAGATATTTTAAATGAATTTAAATGGTAATTTTGTGATACATTTGAATGATACGGTCATATGAATCACAGAAGTCAAACAAATGTCAAATCCACCAGTAAAAAATAAGAATTTTGCATATGGAAATGAAGGCACCAAACTTCAGGGAGAGAGGGTCGGGTCCCTTACACGAGGGAGCAAGCACACTGCAGCCTATGTAGCCCTCTGAGCCCAAGTATAAAACATGCACAACGTGCCCTCGATGGCTATTCCGGAGTCTGAAAAAACACAAAGTGTCAGGCAAATTGGGGAAGAGCTGAACGAGAAGTGCCACCAAGCCAATGGTCCCTTTTTGTCTCTCTGGTGTCCCTAGGCCTGGACCCACTGCAGCCAGAAGCCTGAGAGGTGCAGTCGGGGCGAGCTCCGGGGAGAAGGCCGGCGGTCGAGGCAAGCTCGGGGACGGGGGAAGGCTGGCGGTCAGGGAGCTTGGGGGTGGGGGAGGCCAGCAGTCCGGGCGAACTCTGGGGGTAAGCCCGCGGTCCAGGCGAGCTCCGGCAGGGAAGGCTGGCGGTCGGAGAGCAGAATGGGAGCCCAAGAAAACCAAAAAACACTGGGCGGAGCATGGAGACAGAGGGGATTGGGAAAATGACTCTAGAAACTGGGTGATGATTCCTGGGCTCACCCTCAGCTGGGCGATCTCTTCCTTGCCACCAAACCAAAGCCTCCGAGAGCCGGCCATGAGATGGCACACACGTGAGGGCATGTGAGTAGTGTTGCAAAGACTATTTTGTTTGAATTACTGAAGTGTAGATGACGTACAAGGTGGTAACCGTTTCAGGAGCACAGCATGGTGCCTGACGATACTACACACGAGTCAACGACTTCTAAAAAAGAGCTGGCATCAGAACCACAGCCCAGAGAAGGCTGGCTGGAACGTGGGGCCTGAACCCAACACGATCAACCGCTAACAGGAACCATCAACATTATCCAAAGGATGTAAACAAGACCCAGACACTCATAACACAATACTCACAATGTCCGGTATACAATCCCACATCATTCCACATGCAAAGAACCAAAACAATACTTCCTTAAGGAAAGACAGTGAAGGTGAAATAAAGACACTGTCAGACGCAGGCAACGGTAGGAAGGAAATCAGAGCCAGCAACTCCATCTAAAAGAAGCGCCAAAGGAAGTTACTCCATCGGCAGGAAAGTGAGAGTGTCAGGATGAAGGAAGGGCAACAGAAATGGTAAGCATCCAGGTAAACACAGCAGGCCGCTCTTCTCGAGTCTTTAAAACGTTTCATGCTAAAGGCAAACACTGTCACGCAGTCTGAGTTTTCAGGGCACGCAGGGGTGATACACAAGACCGCAGCTACGTAGAAGAGGATAAAGAAACCTGTATGGGGGGAGGTTCCTACATTTGTTTCAAGTAATAAATTACTGATTCTAAGTACAATATAAAAGCATGTATATTCTAATTCTTAAACTAAACCTCTGAAATAGGTGATGGGTTGAAAGATACAGTCAAAAACACAAGACATAAATTAAGATAGAGTAACAAGAAGAAGTTCAGATAACCCCAAAGCAGGCAGAAGACGGACCAGTTTTCATACCAGTGTTCCCTGGATCCTCCGAACTTGTATCAACGGCAGTATAGTGCTCTAGCTTAGTCACCAGCTGTGTTTCAATCTGATGAAGACTATGGTCTTTGATAGCATTTTCTACATCTTCAGTGAATTTAATCTGCTCTGCCAAACATAGTATCTAATGAATAAAGAGAAAAGTTATTTTTGAAAGGTAAATTTACTTAGAAAACTTCATCAACTGAAGGGGAGATACCTTTTCCCAGACCCCCAGCTGTGTACTGGGTCTCTAACAGAAGGTATCACCGGTCCCTGCAACACTGTCCCGGGAAAGCTCACCAAGAACTCACCTCAAGCTACTCTCCCACGGGCCTAGTGCCTGGTCCTAGAACCCACCAGGCTCCCCGTAACCTAAGAGGCTCTGTATTTTCTTCTCCCGACTCTCCTCTTTATGAATGGCTTCTTGTCAGAAAAAGTATGCAAAGGTATCAGTGCATTCCAAAATAATCTCAGGCTACTAAAGAAGTCTAAACTTCCGAAATTCCAATTTTCTCTTAAGTTCTGTCTTCATCTTTCAGTCTAATACCCATAAACAGAAACTAGCTATAGATCAAGAGACATCCTTATATTTACATAAAACATGAAATATTAACACTGCTTGAAAGACTTTCTGTAACAGAACCAACCTAGCACGGCTACTGATAAAGCTGTTATACGTTAACTATACGTTATACATTATACTAGCCTTTGAAAACTTCTATTAAAATAGTTTAGTAGAGTTCTTAGATGAATGCAGAAAACCCATCATATAAAACGACTAAACCTACTGACCAATTACTATGGGACAGTTTTTTTCTGATAGATACTTTTCAGCATCTAGATGAATATCATCAGATGCCTCTACTTACCAGATTAACTCATTTAGTTATCTACATATACATTTTATAACTTCACACAGCAGGCTAAGCTGCCATCTTGTTCGAACTTAAGACAATGTGTTAACATACTATCAAAAACATTATATAAATATCATTATGTAAATAGCATTAAATACCATTCTTTAGAGGAGGAGTAACTCTTTCCGGGGCAAAGCTGTCTCCCCTAATTTGCGGGACAAACTCAGCAGCCTCTTTCATCAAGTGTATGAGGAAGCATTTAAGCAGATCCAAATCCGCTTTTTGAGAAAGACCTTTGCTCTTTAATCTTCATACAAAAATGTTCACTTGCTACCTCCAAACTAATACTCCCATCTGTGGATTCCCTTTCAGGCAATACTACCAAATTTCTGCATTTTAAGTGCACATTGATAATCTCAATTTTTAACAGTCTGCTATACAACTTCTGTGAGAGGCTAAGAGAAATAGTAGTCAAAATACAGTCCTGGCTACTTCTCAGGCCACACTACCATTATGGTATCTGGGCAGTCACTAATATTATTAATAACCTAAAATCCAGCACTCATTAACAGTGCTTTGCAAACGTTTACACTTTAAGCTTCCAAACAACCTGGCTCCATACGTATCATCACGCCCTCTGAACTGAGTGCCCGCAAGAGTCAGTCCGAGAACACGGACAAAAGCAGGATTTGAACCAGGGCCTGTGGGATCCCTTCCACTCGGCGTGCTGTCTCCTTCCCAGATCACAACGCTCCTTCTCTACATTATTTCAGGCCCTTAAAAAAAGCCTCTAGAAAGCTGAACTAGCAGTATGACTCATACCAGACACTCATGCAGGTATGCTACTCAAGCCCCATACGTAAAGGCTCTTGAGAGAAATTTTTCTTCGCGCTAACTGCTAAGACACCAGAATTCTTTGTTTTGGTTGACAACAAGCTATTCCTACTTTCAGGAGTTCATGTTTTTATGGAGACAGTGAACTACTGACACTTTCTGTAGTCCCCGCTCCCAGCCAGGTGCTTGCGAGCCCTGAGGCGGGCTGCAGGCTCAGACCAGCAGCTTCCCTCCCGCGCCTACAGCCCCCCCGCGCATCTCCTTACACCGCTGTCACTCCCCCAGTCAATCGCCACACAATCCTTCCTTCTGGAAACGTTGTAATACTCTGTCTTCTATTCCAAGTTCACTTGAATCCTACCTGGAAGTTGAAAGGAGTAGAGAACATTTCCAGAAGCAACAGAGCAGCTTACCTGGGACGCTGCAATGGCATTGCTGCTCGCTGATGATTACCCTTAGTTTTCTCTAAGAGCTTAACAAGAACTGTTAAAACATACTTCAGTTTGTCTCGACCTACCAGAAGACGCAAATGACAGGAATGAGACCGTGGCTAAGAATCGAAAATATTCAAGTTTCCCATCGAACTTCTCAAGCTTTGAAAGAACCAACAAAAAACTTGTTCCAGTAGCTACTAAATGGTTTAGTGTGGAAAGCACATAACCTTGAGCAGTGGGGTAGATTTTCCTGTGAGACATCACAGAGTATCTCCAATGCCTGCTCTTTACAGGTGCCGAGAACCGAAGCCCCTGATGTCCCGTACCTGCGGTATGAGTCTCAGCCTCAGTGAAACGAATCCTGAACAAGGCAGGATGCTTAGCACAAGTCTCAGCACTCAACACTGCACCACACCGGGTAAGATCGGGACCACGTCCTGTAAGATCCAGATCCGCGGCCACGCTTCAGGTCCACGACCCACCATGCAGACTAGCTCTCGGCTCCCCTGCCGACACCCCAGTTCGGTGCCATGGCCCTATTTCAGACACGCACGAACACCCCGCTAACCTCCCACCAGCGCCAACCTCTTGGATGACTGACGGGAGACGGAGGCCCAGTGCACAGACCCTCTGCCTCAGTGATGCACTAACCACCTGGAACCAGGAAGCCACTGCATCACTGAGCCCCTGGCCGGCCTGAGCGCCTCTGACCTCTGCCTGAAAGCCTCTCAGTCACCACCATGCAGGTCTTCTGTCACAGTCTACAGCGGAAGGAACAAAGACTCAGAAGTTAAGCAATCTGTCAGAAACTGCTACAGAAAAGAGAGAACAAGATGATGCCAGTTGTCGGGCCCCCAGCCTCCGTGTCAGGGATCTTCCCATGAAGCCAGGCCTGCCTATCTGCCAGACGCGAGCCCCTTACCTGTGAAGGGAACGAGGATGGGTCAACTGAACCTTGACAACTTCGTCCAGCAGTAACACATTCTATCAACAACTGCTTCAAAGTCTGCTTCATTTCCAAGGCTAAATTATTTAACCAGGTCTGAAAATAAAATTAAGAATAATATATACAAGGAGCTCCTGAGTGGCTCAGCAGGTAAGCATCCAACTCTTGGTTTTGGCTCAGGTCGTGATCTCACAGCGGTGAGATTCTCTCCCTCTGCCCTTCCCGCCTGCTCATGTGCTCTCTCTCTCAAAATAAATGAATAAACCTTTCAAAAAAATAATAATATACACAAGTCATAAAACAAATATACACTCTACTGACTGACCCCATTCATTTATTTCAAGAGGCAGGATTATAATTTCTTTTTGACTCTCACACTCCCAAAATGTGTCATATGACATATAATAATTTATCAATAAAGAAATTAAATAATTTGAGGAAAACAATTTTCTTACCTCTTGGGATAATGGTTAAGTGTGAAAACTCATAAATGTACACTTAGCTATCACTGTCATCATCTCTACAAATGACTATAATACGAGCAAACTAACCCCTTCATTTCAATGTTACAAGAAATCAAACTAGAGAGCCAGGCCAATAAAGCAGAGTCGCGGTGACTAGCTCATCTCGGGGCTCATGCTATCCTGTGAGCTCACATTCAGAAAGCTGCAGTGGAAGAAGGGACTGCCTTATTAGGGTGAGCTCTATTATGTGGGGAGCTAAGCTACTTCTTTAAACAAAACTAATTCTGTTTTGGGGTCAAAATAATACATTTTTCATTTTAAGATAGATAAAATAATAAAGTTAACTGGAGTTAACAGAACAACAATAACTGATAACACTAGCAATGAATATTTATTAATCATGACTCTAAAAGACTGTATATTTGCAATAAAATGTAAGTGCAAAACCTACACTGCAAATAGCTTTTCATCATCATTAAACTCTAAGTTCTGGACTTCTCCAACTCTGGACCCTTTCTGGTATGCAGCAGCCGGAACTTCACTGCAGCTCAGCCGGGGGCTCCGGCATGAGAACGACTCTGGGAGAGGCCGCACACAACCGCTCTGCTGATCACGGCCTCAGCCTGCGGACTTCCTGTGCCCTCTGCTGGCAAAGCTGCTGCGGACCTACTGCTCAGACGCACGCTCCTCCTCTCTCTTCGTCCGCTGCCAACAAAACCCCAAGACGGGCAAACAACAACACAGCAACAAAACCTTTCACCTAACATAAACATGGGAGCTTCTAACAAACCTGTGCTTCCAATCACCTGACTGATGTCATCAACATTTCATCAAATGTTAAGGTCCACTCAGGAAAAGAAATTCTGCCCAACGGTAGAGACAGGTATGTGTGTGATCAGGCATGGGCCCCGGCCGCCAGCTGGAAGATAATCCTGGTCCGTGAAAGTTACAGTGCAATGTGCTGCGACCTCCTGCTGTCTGGTTTCAGCGGTATCCCTGTCGGACGTCTTTGACCACTTACTTCCAAGGATCCAGGGCCCATTAATCAATAGTTTTCCTGTGCATGCATTCGTTTTAAACTTACTTGTTCACCTAATCATCTCATATAAAATCATCTCATACAGCCATCACCTCATACAATACATTTTGGGTGTGTGAGAGTCAATAACAAATCATAATTCCACCTTCTGAAGTAAATCATCTTTTTCAAGTACCTAGTGAGTGTTTAGGCTCCTAACACTACCTAGTGTACTTAAAGCCAGTCATCTCATTTAATTTTCAACAGACAGTCTTTGCAACAGACAGTAAGATGGGTACTAAAATGGGTATTTTACAGACAAGAAAGCTGTGATTCCAAGCCACATAGCTAATAAGTTGAGGAGTTAAGATTAATATCCAGTCTTTCCGTCTCCAAAGCAAAGATTCTTTTTTTTTTTTTAATTTTTTTTTTTTTTATTTATTCATTTGAGACACAGAGATACAGAGAGAGAGAGAAAGCATGAGCAGGGAGAGAGGCAGAGGGAGAGGAAGAAGCAGGCTCCTCGCTGAGCCAGGAGCCCGATGTGGGGCTCGATCCCAGGACCCTGGGATCATGACCTGAGCTGAAGGCAGACGCTTAACCATCTGAGCCACCCAGGTGCCCCCAAAGCAAAGATTCTTTTCATAGTTACACAATGCCTTCCAAAGACTAAAAATCTGTATTTTCTTCAATATCAAATCATTCTCAACCTAACAAATAATTCTTTTAAGATACGAGATGAGTTTCCTAAAAGGCCTAAGTTTACCCTACAAATAGACTAAATTATTTTTGATACAAAGTTCATAGTTTCTTTTTATTTTCATACTTGAAGAACTACTTGCCTCTACATTATTTGATAGAAGAACTTTATTTTTAAAAGGTACAACTTCTCCGTCTAAAGATTTCATTGCAGTTATATGTTTAGATTCTTCATCGAAGCACACACTGTTAATACCTATAATATAAAAGAACAATTGAAATGTAAAAGGATTAAAGACATAATTATTAAACAAGATACATCATTACCACAGTGTATAATGTGTACCTCATAATATGTATTATAATGTATAGGAATTATGTTGATTCTCCTATGTAATAGAACAGTTTTTCCTAATCAAAAATTGAAAACAACCAAAATGGCCACCAATAGGTGAATGAATAAACTGTTACATTCAAATAACGGAACACTACTCAGCAATAAAAAGGAATAAAATGTAGTTGCAGGTATCTCAAAAACATGATGAGCAAAAAATGGCCAGACACAAATGAGCGCGTAGGAACACGTACTGATGATTCCACTAACATGATATAAGACAAAAGAGAAGAAGGAATGGGGAGGGCAAACGGGACCTCCCTTCCCCCAGATTGGTATTTTATTTTATGGTAGACAAAAATACTTCAATATACTGATATACATATACACCCAATTTTAATCTTCACAAAAACCCCGTAAGTTGTTATTTCCAATTAGAGGAGGAAAGTAAACTTCAGAGAGGTAAACTGGGAGCTGGCTAATCCCGGGTAGAGGCCGAGTTTGAAAGCAAGCCTGCTGATTCCAAGAGCTCCGGCCACTGCCTCCCACAGCCCAAACCAGATCTGCGAATGGAGCGCCCGAGGGCCTCGCGCCCAGGGCCAGGGAACACGGGTGTGGGGCACCGGGAGCTAAGACAGGAGGGCTCCACAGCCGTACGGCCTCGGTCACCTCCTCCACCACACACTGCCGCACCAGAGCCGTCCCCAACCCTAAAGGGCATGCTGCGCTCCAACAAAACTGCACAGCAGGAAGCCCGGCACCAAGCCAGTCGGCCTGGGGCCTGTCGGTGGCTGACCCCTGACCGTAAGCGAAGATGGTGACACTGTTTTACTTCATTTGAAAAATATGGCTGTTCTCCAACAAATGGAACATTCTGACACAACAGTCACCATTATTTTTATAGCAGACGGAGTGCATGGTCCCTGACCCGCCAACAGCAACTCAGCAGGAGGGACGCGCACGGCTCTGTCACCACACTGTTCACCAGGGGACCTCGCCTCAGCCCACGGCCGGCCCCCGACGGCCCTTCCCCGCCCCAGACCTCCCCACTGGCAACGCCTTCAGAGGGCGTCCACTCGGCAATGAAGGGGCGCGTTCTCCTTCTCTCTGCAGCCAGTGCCTGACGCCTTCCCATCTTGCTGCTAGCAATGACCGGCACGCTCTGCGGACCGCAGCTTCAATGTCCCCTTCGAGACGCCCCAGGAGGACACGAACTGCTCCTCAGCCGCGGCTGTGCCAACCGCAGGAGGTGCTGTGGATCCGTCCACGCAGCAGGCTGTCTTTCCACTGAACTATAAACTCTTCTTGACTGTGGGACACGCATTCTATTCGACAGTCTACCTCAGAGCCTAATACTACGCCTGGCAGATCCTGAAACGCAGTAACTACGTGTTGGAGACCTGTTGACTCTTACCAGCAAACAGCTTTTTGAGGTGCGACTGGATCACCGAGGGGCTAGTCGACTGGCCCAGCACCTCCAGCAGGTCATCGTCACCGAGGAAATAAAACCTGGGGAACGCTGAGCGTTTCTCCTGACACAAACACAAACAAGAACAAGAGCCTTAGCTCTTCAAATGAGTCACACAATAAAGGACTTTAAAATTTATTATAGAAGTACTTCTAAAAAACATGCCTCCAGAAACTCATTTAATGATTTCTGACATCTTTGAAGCTGATCAAGTATCGTCAGCAGAGAATTTCTGATTCCCGCGTGGGTAGTTAACGTTGTGACTCTATTGTCTTTCTTGATGTCAGCCATTATTGACCTACAGAAGAAAAAATAGTTATTTTTACCTTTATTTTAGCAGTTTCCGGCTGAAAGAGAAATACTGAGACATTTATTTTTTGCCTGCTTGGAACAAACTAGAAGTAACACTATTTTAACAGCAAAACATCACTATGCTTCTAAGAAATAACGCTAAAAATTAAGAATAGCCCATTACTGTTTTTAAATACTTTATTTCTTCTTAAGTGAGCTTTACACCCAGTGTGGGGCTTGACCTCATGACCCCGAGATCTGGAGTCCTATGTTACACTGACCGAGCGAGCCATGTGCTCCCCCATTACCATTTTCAACCTACCTTATTGCAAATTCTCCAATTTCATTCATTCGCTAAACACCTATTAAGCCCTATCTCGTAGAGATAATGGTCCAGTGACAGAGAAAGATATTAAATATTTTCTAAAAATATTTAAATAAAATTATGACAAACGCTAAGAAGGAAAAGTACAAAGTATTCTTAACACAGCTAATAGGACAACCCCTAACCTATGGCTTCAGAAAGTCACTGAGATGGAGAGCTGCACAGTGAGTAAAAGAAAACACCGGTGAGCGGGAGGGGAGCAAAAGCGTCTCCTAAGCAAACAGAGCAGTGCAAGGGAGGCTGCAGAAGTGGACACGGAGCAGACTAGGCTTTATCCTTGGAGCAAAGGGAAAGAAAAGCAGCAATCAAACTTCCCTTGTCACAGACTACTCTGGCCGCTGGGCAAGCGGCTTAATGGAGAAGACGAGCGCAAGCCGAAGGTCGGGAGAAAGGAGAGACAGAAAAGATACGCTCCAATAGATCAAGTAGGTTAGAATCAACAAACGTGCTAACAAACGTGCATTTGGAGGTGTTTGGGGAGGTCAAATATCCATTATGTTTCCACTCTGAGTCAAGGTACCAGTGACTGAGAAAGGAATGGGAAAGATTTGGGCCAAAGGGATGAACTCGTGAATCTCGTTTTGAAGTGCGGAGGATGTTCAGTATATTGGAGCTCAGAGGAGAAAGATGGGCTCGATAAATACCCTGAGTGGCTGCAGCAGGTGGAAAAGAATGAGGGGGTGGCCATGAGCGCCCACAGAGCGCACACAGAGAGAGAGAAGAACCGGAGCCTGAAACCGGGGGAGGGCCCACACCTACATGCTGAGAGAGGCCTGAGCACCAGGAACTCGAGCGGACCCAGATGACCAGAAAACCAGAGGACAGTATCCCAGAAGCCAAGGGAAGAAACTCTCCAACAAGAGATGCTCAGCTCTGTAAATACTAGTCAGAGATGAAGTAAAACGAGGCATGCAAAATGCCCAGCAAATTACAACAGGAAAGGAATGGGTAACCCTAGGAAATGGCAGGTATAGATCAGTCCTGTCATCATTACCCTTGCGCTCCCATACTATTATTGCTAATATCCAGTAGAGTGGTAGGGACAGCAATCAGATCAACGTGGTTCAAGAAGTAAATGGCTGAATGAGAGCAAACAGCTCCTCAGAGGGATCCAGCAGAGAAAGAGGTTGAAGACACAGACAACACTCGTAACATAAAGGTACTCAGCTTGTGTTAAGCCCCTTGTGATATGAATGAAAAAACTGCCACGCATGTCGATGTCTTACGCTGCCGTACTTACCGAAAATCCTCATCAACTCTGTTGAAGCGTGTCTGTTCTTTTGGCAATGCTCCACGGCCAAAAATGGGTTCCAGATATACCCACTTCCTCTGAATATGGTTTAAACTCTGTAGGTATTCATCTAATTCTGCAAGTTTTCTTTCCCAAATTGACACTTTATCTTCAAATCCTTTATAATAAGGAGAATCCTTTAAGGACTGAAGAAGGCACCTGTTATCTCCAACTTGATTCACTATGTCTTTCCAGTCTTTAATTAGCTTGATAGTTCGACTTTGGCTGTCTTCGTAATCAATCAAGGTAAATACTGCTCCAACTCCCCAAAGATCAAGTTCACGTAAAGCTTCTCTGATTGTAACCTCACCTTGTGCCCGACTATTTAAATCCTAATTAACACAAAATATCCATATTTATTATTTCAACATTAATTACCATAGACATAAATCATAAAACATTTCAAAAAAGATATATTTTTATTTGGTTTTTCACAATAAAGTAATAATAATAATAAGTGAATATATTTTACATGCAATCCAAGAGAACTGCTCATGTATCAAAGAGATACCAGATACTAAGTATCCAGGTTCACACAAAGTATATATAAAGTTCTACCATATACTTTTTACTTCTAAAAAGGAAAAAGAATTCAAGAATCCATCACAAAACACAAAAACAGGCTGGCTTTGGGGCGCCTGTGTGGCTCAGTAGGCTACATGACCAACTCCTGATACCGGCTAAGGTCATGATCTCAGGGTTGTGGGATCGAGCCCCAAATTAGGGTCTGTGCTGGGCATGGAGTCTGTTTAAGATTCTCTGTCTCCCTCTCCCTCTGCTCCCTCCCCCTCTCTGAAAAAAAAAAAAATAGTCTGGCATGTTTAAAACTTTGCAGACCTCAGGAATTTTATTGTAATTTAATTTTAAGTTCTGATACGCCTAAAGTGATTAATAACCATCTTCTACAGAAGTCATGCTTTATAACCTCACAATTATCTAAATAGGCTCCAAGATTATGAACACACACAAAGGTACATATCTTAAGTACGAAATATGACAATCTGACATCAAGAGTACTTTTCTTTTTGGGGCGCCTGGGTGACTCAGTCGGTTAAGCATCTGACTCTTGGTTTCAGCTCAGGTCGAGACATCAGGGTTGTGAGATCGAGCCCCATGTGGTCGGGCTCCTCGCTCAGTGGGTGTCTGCTTGAGATTCTCTCCCTCTGCCTCTGCCCCTCCCCCCGTGTGTGCATATGGTCGCTCTCTCTCACATAAATAAATAAATAAATAAAATCTTTAAAAGAGAGCGAATTCTTTCATTTTTACACTGAATGGGCAAAACACAACACAGAAAGTAAAATGTTAAAACTGAGAGCTGTGCAAGTTTTACTTTTACCTGAGACCTTTTCTAAACCTGATTAGCAAATTGGTTCTTGGTTTAGCTCTCTGGATTTTGGCTTCTCTTCGCTTTTATTTACAATATATCCCATGATTTTAAATATATTTTTATGTAAAATGATTTGTATTTGTTTTTTTTAATTAAAGCTGACTCCCTTAAACCAAGACATTTCTTCATTTCATATTTTTTCTCTCTCTCAAGGAAGGGGTTTATGATGCTTCTATACCCCCACACATATTCAGAGGCATTACGAAAGAAAAAATAATGGAATAGGGGAATACGGTCACTATACTAAGAGGAAAAAAATTTAACTTGCTGTTTTATTTAAATAAAATACAAAGCAAAACCATATGTTAACAAAGGTCATATCTATGAGATATTTATAAAAGTGAATCCTACTTTAAGGTCTGAAGCTTTGGCAACAATCGTGTCAGCTACTCTGAGGAGATCACCAAACAGTAACTTCTCCAGGCAAGTCCCCCGAGGAAGACCAAGTAGACGAAAAAGGTCAAGCCAGTGATCTGGAGATAGATGCTCTCCTCTCACATATTTCAAAATAGGTATCACAGTCTGTTAAAAAAACATATGTACACACATGAACATATATTATCAAAATGCAAATTGTTATCCCCTTTTATGATTAGCTATAAAAATTTTAATTACTGTTATTTTATTTAATAATCTAGAAATCAAATTCTCAAACAGAATTGCACATTAATTTATTAATTATTTAATAATAATTTAATAATTATTAGTTAATTTTATTAAACATTGCTGTGGATACATGCAAATATCCCTTTGTAGCTTGATGTATTTTAAAACATGACCTAAAATATTTCTATTTTTATTATTTAGGATACGACCTATATCCTAAATATGCTAAATGACCCATAACCTAAATTGCAGTAGGAGGTATAAACACTCCAATTTACGGAAAGCATAAATTTGTTAGTTAAAACTTTTCAAAAGCATAGGAGAAATACCAGTAATTTCTAGGGTTTATTCTATCCTTCCTGTTTTCTTCATGTGATGTCATCACTAAAACCAGAAACTGACTCCCAGCCCCCTCGGCTGCATAACGACCCCAAGATGACTCTCGCGCAGCAGGAGCACCAGGTCTTACTTTGTATCTGTCGACTTCTGACTGCAACTTCACGGTCATGGCCGAATGTTCTTCCACTTTCCGTAACCTGTCGTGCCAAGTCATCAAGAACTCCTCCAACAGATACGTCTTAGTCCTGGAAAACACCAGGACACCTTAAAATGCACATCCCCCAACACACCACTAAGTTATAAGAATCTAAACAGTGCTTATGAGCCACACCGAAACGTAATCCAGTCTTCGCTGGCCATTTCCTGAAGCCCCCGCTGAAACTCTTCATAAAGCGCCCAAATCTGTGCACAGCTCTCAATGTCCTTGGAGATGCTATACACCAAGGACAAGTTGGGCTCTTCTAGTCCAAAATGATGGCAATCATCACTATAGAAACAAAGAGTGAAATATCATTAGATTTTTAAAAAACTGTTACATCTCACTGTTACTGAACTGCATTCCCTGTGTGTGCATGCATGTGCGCACACCTGCGTATCTGACAGGGAGCCAGACAGTGGGGGACTGCATGAGAATTTTACTGTAACTACTTAAGTATAACCTCTTTTAAATTCATAAATGTGTGTTTTTCTAAAGGAGTCAAAGTGGAGCTGGTAACACATATATTTATGTGCATCATATACATCGTAAAAATAGAAATATTCAGAATTATTTATATTCATGGATTAACTGAGAAGAGATGAATATTAATATCCAAGAGTTAGATTCTGGAATATAAGATACCCTTTTAGATAAAAGGTATAATGCCATTTAGTCAGTGTGGTACTAAACCCTCCACTCCCCCATGAAGACAATTATCTTATGGATGCATTTGCGTAAACAGAGACCAAACCTAAAACAACATTTAAACTTAATACCTTGTGGGCGCCTGGGTGGCTCAGTCGGTGAAGCATCTGCCTTCGGCTCAGGTCATGATCCCAGAGTCCTGGGATCGAGCCCCGAGTCGGGATCCCTGCTCAGGAGTGAGTCTGCTTCTCCCTCTATCCACCCCCCCCAACCCCCACCACTCCTGTATGCTCTCTCTCTCTCAAATAAATAAAATCTTTAAAATAAAATAAACTTAATATCTTGTATTATTGTAACACAAAACAATTTTTTTCTTGTAATTGTCTTGTTATTTTGCTAGGTTCATTTTTTTTTCTCGGAGTCTCTGAAAGCAATCTGCCATTAATTTTACGTATCCCATTTTTAAATACAATGAAAGCACAGAAAGCGAGTATTCCGACTCCCTAATTTAACTTTTAAGTCAATTTAGTTTTCTGTTCTACTTCTAGGCCTAAACGGAAATTTGCTTTTTTTCCCTCTCCTGACAGAGCCCAGCCACGACTCCTAAGAAAGCAACAGCATGAGCCCTTCTTAGTTCTGTCTTTAAAACTACAGAATTTTGCATTAAGATAAACAGATGTAAGAATGTTACTGGCTGAACATATGCAAATATGAATCAAAATGATCACTGTCAATTTTGAAGAAAAAACATACACCAGCTTCTTCCTTACGGCTTCAAGATCATCAAACTCAAGTCTTTTCTCTTTCATTGATCTGGCACTTGCATCAAGAGCATTTTGCTGGCCAGTTTCAATAATATCGTCACCAGGCTTTAGTTGGTCCCAACGAGCTTTAAATTTTTCCAGTTCTTGATAGTAGATCTGAAGACGTGACTTCACATTTCCTTTCATTACTTCAATCTGTAAGAGTCAAGAGTTTATATAATTCAGTTCAGAGAAAACCTCACTTCCCTTTCATATTTTATTTCTAACATTTTCTATTTAGAGGTGAATAAACACCAATA